CTGAAGATGTTGTTCCCCAAGATGATCAGAATGAACGAGAGCAACCAGCTGGAGTGGGAGGTGGACAAGGATATGTTACAGGTACAGTACATGTGTATATAGAGGGATATGTTACAGGTACAGTACATGTCTGTATAGTGGGATATGTTACAGGTGCAGTACATGTGTATATAGAGGGATATGTTACAGGTACAGTACATGTGTGTATAGTGGGATATGTTACAGGTGCAGTACATGTGTATATAGAGGGATAAGTTACAGGTACAGTACATGTGTATATAGAGGGATATGTTACAGGTGCAGTACATGTGTATATAGTGGGATATGTTACAGGTGCAGTACATGTGTATATAGTGGGATATGTTACAGGTACAGTACATGTGTGTATAGAGGGATATGTTACAGGTGCAGTACATGTGTATATAGTGGGATATGTTACAGGTGCAGTACATGTGTATATAGTGGGATATGTTACAGGTACAGTACATGTGTGTATAGAGGGATATGTTACAGGTGCAGTACATGTGTATATAGAGGGATATGTTACAGGTACATTACATGTGTATAGAGGGATATGTTACAGGTGCAGTACATGTGTATATAGTGGGATATGTTACAGGTGCAGTACATGTGTATATAGAGGGATATGTTACAGGTACATTACATGTGTATAGAGGGATATGTTACAGGTGCAGTACATGTGTATATAGTGGGATATGTTACAGGTGCAGTACATGTGTATATAGAGGGATAAGTTACAGGTACAGTACATGTGTGTATAGAGGGATAAGTTACAGGTACAGTACATGTGTATATAGAGGGATATGTTACAGGTACAGTACATGTGTATAGAGGGATATGTTACAGGTACAGTACATGTGTATATAGTGGGATATGTTACAGGTGCAGTACATGTGTATAGAGGGATAAGTTACAGGTACAGTACATGTGTGTATAGAGGGATAAGTTACAGGTACAGTACATGTGTATATAGTGGGATATGTTACAGGTGCAGTACATGTGTATAGAGGGATAAGTTACAGGTACAGTACATGTGTGTATAGAGGGATAAGTTACAGGTACAGTACATGTGTATATAGTGGGATATGTTACAGGTGCAGTACATGTGTATATAGTGGGATATGTTACAGGTACAGTACATGTGTGTATAGAGGGATATGTTACAGGTACAGTACATGTGTGTATAGAGGGATATGTTACAGGTACAGTACATGTGTATAGAGGGATATGTTACAGGTACAGTACATGTGTATATAGAGGGATATGTTACAGGTACAGTACATGTGTATATAGAGGGATAAGTTACAGGTACAGTACATGTGTGTATAGAGGGATATGTTACAGGTACAGTACATGTGTATAGAGGGATATGTTACAGGTACAGTACATGTGTATATAGAAGGATAAGTTACAGGTACAGTACATGTGTGTATAGAGGGATATGTTACAGGTACAGTACATGTGTATATAGAGGGATATGTTACAGGTGCAGTACATGTGTATATAGTGGGATATGTTACAGGTGCAGTACATGTGTATATAGTGGGATATGTTACAGGTGCAGTACATGTGTGTATATAGAGGGGATATGTTACAGGTACAAGTAATGTGTTGTATAGAGTAAGTTACAGGTACAGTACATGTGTGATAGAGGATAAGTTACAGGTACAGTACATGTATATAAGGGTATTTACAGTTACAGTACATGTGTTTATAGAGGTATGTTACAGTACATGTGTGTATATAGAGGGATATGTTACAGGTACAGTACATGTGTGTATAGAGGGATAAGTTACAGGTACAGTACATGTGTTATATAGAGGGATATTGTTACAGTCTTCCCTCCAGTACATGTGTATATAGAGGGATATGTTACAGGTACAGTACATGTGTATATAGAGGGATATGTTTACAGGTACAGTACATGTGTATATAGAGGGATATGTTACAGGTACAGTACATGTGTATTATAAGGGATATGTTACAGGTACAGTACATGTGTATATAGAGGGATATGTTACAGGTACAGTACATGTACTTGTATAGAGGGATATGTTACAGGTACCAGTACATGTGTGTATAGAAGGGATATGTTACAGGTACAGTACATGTGTATATAGAGGGATATGTTACAGGTACAGTACATGTGTATATAGAGGGATATGTTCAGGTACAGTACATGTGTATATAGAGGGAGATGTTACAGGTACAGTACCTGTGTATATAGAGGGATCCTGTTACAGGTACAGTACATGTGCTAGAGGGATATGTTGGGATACAGTTACATGTGTATAGAGAGGAACCTTTATGTTCCAGGTACAGTACTGTGTAGAGGGATATGTTACAGTGAAACATACATGTGTATAGAGGGATATGTTACAGGTACAGTACATGTGTATATAGAGGGATATGTTACAGGTACCAGTACATGTGTTATAGAGGGATATGTTACAGTTACATGTGTTTTGTATAGAGGGATATGTTACAGGTACAGGTCAACATTGGTGTATAGAGGGATATGTTACAGGTACAGTACATGTGTGTATAGAGGGATATGTTTACAGGTACAGTACATGTGTATATAGAGGGATATGTTACAGGTACAGTACATGTGTATATAGAGGGATATGTTACAGGTACAGTACATAAGTATATGAGGGATGTGTTACAGGTATATACATATATATATGGGGATATTTTACAGGTTCAGTAGATGTATATATGGATATATACAGGTACAGTCCATGTGTATATAGAGGGATATACATAGTATATGTTATATAGATATATATAATATATATATATGTATATATATATATATATATATAGATATATATATATATACATATAGAGGGATATATATATATATATATATATATATATATGTATATATATGGATATTTTACAGGTTCAGTAGATGTATATATATATATATATATATATACGGTAAGTCCTTATATATATATATATATATATATATATATATATATATATATATATATATATATATATATATATATATATATATATATATATATATATATATATATATATATATATATATATATATATGGATATTTTACAGGTTCAGTAGATGTATATATATATATATATATATATATATATATATACGGTAAGTCTATATATATATATATATATATATATATATATATATATATATATATATATATATACTGAACCTGTAAAATATCCCTATATATATATATATATATATATATATATATATATATATATATATATAAGGACTTACCGAATAGTACTTAGTCGCTCCTCTTCTACCTTGGGGTGTAGAGGTTTGCCAGAGAGATCGCCAGACGTCTGTATCAGCAGTTTTCTTTCTGGCTTTGCTCCATTCCAGTCCTCTATCAGTTAAGCACTGTCGGATGTTGTGTTCCCAGTGAACCCTTTGTCGTCCTGGGGGTCTGGTTCACTGGTTCTTAGCCTCCCCTGGCGGCCGATTTTCTCCCATTCTGCAAACATGTCCAAACCTTCGTAACTGAGACTGATCTACTCGGGTTAGTAGGGGCTGGGTATCAAGATCCTGACGTATTGTCTGATTGCGGACTTTGTCCCTTCTTGTCACTTGGACCACCTTTCTGAGGTATCTCATTTCCGAGGCCTGCAGCTGGCCTCTGTGAGCTGTTGTCATTGCCCATGACTCACATCCATAGGTCAGGACTGGTACATAGGTAGAGCGGTAAACAGCCATTTTCGTCCTCTTGCCAATTTCTCTTTTGCTAAGAAACCCTCTGTTTATGGCCTGGAAGAGTCTCCCAGCAGCTGCTTTTCGTGTAGCCAGCTCAGTCATAATGCCTCCGTTTTGGTCTAGTACAACTCCAAGGTATTTAAACTGGTTAACCTTCTCCAATGCATACTGTCCCATCATGATCTGGTGTTTCTTCTCCTCTCTTGAGATCACCATGGTTTTAGTTTTGGAGATACTGATGGTCATCCCTTTCTTTTCAAGCTCTTCCTTCCAGACAAGTAAGTTGGACTGAAGGTGTGCCTCTGATTTAGCTATCAGGGCCACATCGTCTGCAAAAGCCAGCTCTGATATACAGATTGGTCTCATCTTCCAGTACCCTACAGAGTACTTCTTTGTCTTCTCCTTACAGGTCTTGATGACATCATCCATCATAAGAATGAAGAGGTAAGGTGAGAGAATATCACCTTGTCTAACACCGCTGGCGGTCTTGAATTCTTCGGACTTTTAGTTTGCTGTTCTTACATAATTTCTGCACCTTTTGTATTGCACTGATCAGGGGTGCTGGGATGTTTTTCCCTGCCAAGCAGTCCCAGAGCTTGTTCCAGGGTACCTTGTAAAATGCCTTTTCCAGATCCAAAAAACATAAGTGCATCTCACTCTTATATTCCAGGGCTTTTTCACTCATCTGTTTCAGTGTGAAGATAAGGTCTTGAGTACTTCGGTTTGCTCTGAAACCACATTGGGCCTCGTCCAGCTGTGGCTCTACCAGACTTCAAAGTCTCTGCTCAAGAATTCTAGAGTAACTTTTACCGGGAACGCTGAGGAGGTATATGCCTCTGTGGTTTTCACATTGTCTGTTATCACCTTTTTAAAATATAGGTATAATGATGGCAATCTCCCAATCTTTTGGTATAGTTTTGGTACACCAGGCTGCCTGGAGAACCTTCAGTAGAAGGCGCTCACCTTCGACTCCCATATATTTGACCATCTCTGGTGTTATACCATCATGACCTGCTGCTTTTCCCGCTGTAACAAATAGTGATTTTCACTATTCGGCCGAATACGAATAGCGGGGCCAACTATTCGGCCGAATACGAATAGTGTATAGTGTATAGTGTATAAAATATATCTAAAAAACACACATTTATAATGTCATATGTACGCTGAACTTGTACTTCACATAAAGTAGCACAGAATAGTCATCTTCTTCTTTAGCATTCTGAGTCCTTGAGGTTTACTGCTGCATATATCAATTGTTTCCATTCATCTCTCTGGCTCGCCTTCTCTTCACAATTTGTGACACCAGTTGTTTGCAGGTCTGGCTGGACATTATCTCTCGAACTTCTTTTTTTTGTCTGCCTCGTGGTCTACGCCCATTCCTCTCTCAGGTGTTACTTCTCTGTCATCTGACATTCTTTCAATATGCCCCGACCATTTTAGTCTGTTAGCTCTCATGATGCCAGTGATCAATGGTGATTTAAACAGATTATGTGTTACGTTGTTGCTTCTCACTCTCCATTCCCCGCTGTTAGCATCTTTGATGGGTCCAATGATTTGTCCTGGAACTGTTTTCGAAAACTTGTAATAAGGCCTCAGCTATTTTATTTCTGCTTCAAGTTTCAGAGCCAAATTAAAGGACTGGTATCTTAAAAGTTTTATTTATTTTGATTTTGTTTTTGTCAGACAGACACTTTGACTTTAGCAGATGTTGAAGGGCATAGTACACTTTATTTCTAGATGGTATTTCTTCTCTCAGCATGTTGGAACAGCTGAAGTTTGCACATAAGTACTTATATGTTTCCATTGGTTTGATTTTCATATTATCGACTTGTATGTGGCCGGAGTTTATATTCTTTCCATGTCTAGTTAGTATTCGCACAGAATAGTAAACATTTACAAACATTTTATGTTCTGCATCCTTCAGTCAGTCTGTGGTAGCTAATAACTAGGATTGAAAGAATCCTAAGTATTATAACAAGTAACTAAACTTGGAAATTGTCACTAACAGCTTAGTTATTGCAGGAAAGCTGCATTAGCTTTCAATAAAACCGATCGTTCCATGTTATCAGCATTAGGCTGTATGTGCAGAAGCAAGTGTAAGGTAACTACTATTCGTATTCGGCCCGACCACAACTATTCGGCCGAATACCGAAAGTCAATAGGTCCACTATTCGGCGCCAAAGCGAATACGAAGCGAATATTCGGTACAGCCCTAATATATATATATATATATATATATATATATATATATATATATATATATATATATATATATATATAGGGATATGTTACAGGTAGGGTACATAAAGATATACAGGTATATGTTTCACTTACAGTACACACACACACACACACACACATATATATATATATATATATATATATATATATATATATATATATATATATATATAGGGATATGTTACAGGTAGGGTACATAAAGATATACAGGTATATGTTTCACTTACAGTGAAATATATATATATATAGGGATATGTTACAGGTAGGGTACATAAAGATATACAGGTATATGTTTCACTTACAGTACATATAAATATATATATATATGTATATGTTACAGGTAGGGTACTTAAAGATATACAGGTATATGTTTCACTTACAGTACATATAAATATATATATATAGGTATATGTTACAGGTAGGGTACTTAAAGATATACAGGTAGGTGTTTCACTTACAGTACATATAAATATACAGAGATATGCTGGAGGTGCAGTGCAAATAGTTATACAGAGGTATATAGCAGGTACAGTACATGTGTGACACAGATGTATTTCCATGCTCCCCAAGTTGAAGCATGCCTAACAAAAAAGTGATTAGATAGGTTCTGTCTTTCTGACGGTTACTAACAAGGCCAGTGATCCCAAAAATCAACAGTAAACCTTCTATCCACAAGCTTCAGTCCTTGGCTACAATGTCTCAGACATGACTCCTCGAGAGCTGAATCTTTCTTTCCTCTTCGTCTTTTTCCAGCCCTCTTGTATCCTTTGCTCTGTTCGCGTGATCCGTTTGTCTTTTCTGTCACCTGTCATCTTTCAGTTCTCTGCTACCTTCTAATATCTCGTCAGTTATCTGGCTTGCCGGTTTGGCATGTCTCCTTATGAGTGCCCGTGACCTATGTTATCCTCCTGGCTAGGTCTATCCTTCTGAAAGCTTGTCTATCTCTCACGTTGGCTGCTTGTCTATCTCTCACGTTGGCTGCTTGTCTATCTCTCACGTTGGCTGCTTGTCTAACTGAAAGATTTATGTGCCCAATAATTGCTACACCTGTCTTCAAACTCTGGTTGCCATGCTTAAAGCAATCCGTCTTTCTATCCTCCTGCGGTTTCCCGGCGGATCTCAGCGCGGTCTAAGATCTCATGCTTCCGTGTCAGCGATTTCCCGTACATTTCTTCAGAACCAAATGTACCTGTTCACCCTTTGTCCGTATTGTCCGTAGCACCTGTTCCTACTTGATCCTAAAGATGTCTGGCCTGTTATACTACACAGATGTTGCAGGTACAGTACAAAAAGATATACAGAGATATGCTTTAGGTACAGTACATTTACAGGGATATATGCTTTAGGTACAGTACATTTACAGGGATATATTGCAGGCACAGTACAGGAATATATACCGGGATACGTTAGATGATAACCCGTCTACGTGAGTTAGATAATACACCTGTCTACGTTGATTGATTGGCACCTTTCCGTCTTTCCGGACGATACTCTTATATTGCGCTATCAGGAGGCATGAGACTCACAGCCCATGGCGATGGCGAGTGTGACTAGCAAGACCCGCCCGTGTCAAGAAAAGTCTTCCACAATGATAACATGGGATTTCAGGACCATTGTTAACAACATTTGTGATTAATCCGTGGTTTTTTTTTTTTTTTTCGGACGCTCAGCTCTCATCCTTTCTGCAATCATTTCTTCCTTCAGTCTCATTCCCTTCCTGATATGTCCTTTTCACACAACACGGTCCATGGTATTTTGTTCCCATGAGTCCACCTTAATACCTGTATCATTCATGTCCCGCTTGCACATCTTTATAACGTAGTAGAGGTCGGCCTCAACATCTTCTTCCTGCATTTAATTCACCACAAAGGATGTCTTTAGGGACTCTGCCATCCTCTATTCTCCAGGTGTGACCCAGCCACCTGAGCCTTCGAAGACTGAGCATAGAAAAGACGGCTGTAGTACCTGCTCTTTCCAGTACCTCAGTGTTTGTGATCTTGTCCTGCCACCTAATGCCAAGTATTCATCTTAGGCATTGCATGTGAAAGCTATTAAGCCGTCTCTCCTGGTGCAAATAGGTTGACCGAGTTTCACTACCATAAAGCAGAGTGCCGAGAACATAAGCCTGTTAGTCTTTTCTCCATAGCACAAAGCCAGGGCAGTATTGTAGAAACAATATGTTGCCCATGAATAATAATCCCTCTCTCGACCTGCCTTGTTTACTCCAAAGGAAAGGTAAAACCAGTACATTTGGAACAAGGAAGGCCGCAGAAGCTGCCGGATCAGAAGAGCAGTGCCCGATCTGTCCACCTGTCAGAGCTTCCCTCCTAGACCAGCTGCCAGCCAAGGCGAAGAGCCTGGTCTGCCCTGCCATAACAAAAGTTTTCAGGTTGCATTTCCTCTTCCTAGGAAAAGGCTAGTATCCTCCTCCGCCCGAAGCCGTTGGCACAATATGGGATGTTGGGTTCAGTATACGCCGCCCAACGTTCGGCGTAACAGAAGACAGGTGGTACCGGCTACTGTTTTACGATAGCTCAGTCATATCTGACCAAGACCTGACAAACAATACTGACATTGTCTACCTGTCTACATTTGACAGATGATACACCTGTCTACAATAGTTAGATTATACACCTGTCTACATAGTTGACAGATGATACACCTGTCTACATAAGTTAACTAATTTATCTGTCTATATAAGTTAGATGATACGCCTATCTTCATGAGTTAGATGATACACCTGTCTACATAATTTAGTTGATACACGTGTCTTTGTGAGTTAGGTTATTACCTGTCTACATAAGTTAGATGATACGCCTGTATACATGAGTTAGAAGATACACCCGTCTACATTAGAAGATACACCCGTCTACATTAGAAGATACACCCGTCTACATTAAATGATACACCCGTCTACATTAGAAAATACATGCGTCTACGTTAGAAAATACATGCGTCTACGTTAGAAAATACACCCGTCTACGTTAGAAGATACACCCGTCTACATTAGAAGATACACCCGTCTACATTAGATGATACACCCGTCTACATTAGATGATACACCCGTCTACATTAGAAGATACACGCGTCTACATTAGAAGATACACCTGTCTACATTAGATGATACACCTGTCTACATTAGATGATACACGCGTCTACATTAGATGATACACGCGTCTACATTAGAAGATACACGCGTCTACATTAGATGATACACGCGTCTACATTAGATGATACACGCGTCTACATTAGATGATACACGCGTCTACATTAGATGATACACCCGTCTACATTAGATGATACACCCGTCTACATTAGATGATACACGCATCTACATTAGATGATACACGCATCTACATTAGATGATACACGCGTCTACATTAGATGATACACGCGTCTACATTAGATGATACACGCGTCTACATTAGATGATACACGCGTCTACATTAGATGATACACGCGTCTACATTAGATGATACACCCGTCTACATTAGATGATACACGCGTCTACATTAGAAGATACACGCGTCTACATTAGAATATACACGCGTCTACATTAGAAGATACACCCGTCTACATTAGATGATACACCTGTCTACATTAGATGATACACCTGTCTACATTAGATGATACACGCGTCTACATTAGAAGATACACGCGTCTACATTAGAAGATACAACCGTCTACATTAGATGATACACCCGTCTACATTAGATGATACACCCGTCTACATTAGATGATACACCCGTCCACATTAGATGATACACCCGTCTACATTAGATGATACAACCGTCTACTTTAGGTGATACACATGTCAACCTTAAATGATACACCTGTCCACAATGGGTTGTCCGCAGAAACACGCCCTGACGGTCATGGAGGGGCTGGGAGCGGCCGTGGAGACCCTGCAGGACTCTCAGCTCTTGAATGCTGTTCTTATTGCCCTGGGTCAGACCCACGACAAGAGGAACATCAAGCCCTGGATGCTCACAGTAGGTATCACACAGGTGACGGTATCACACAGGTGACGTTATCACACAGGTGACGTTATCACACAGGTGACGGTATCACACAGGTGACGTGATCACACAGGTGACGTGATCACACAGGTGACGGTATCACACAGGTGACGGTATCACACAGGTGACGGTATCACACAGGTGACCTGATCACACAGGTGACGGTATCACACAGGTGACGGTATCACACAGGTGACGGTATCACCCTGGTTTAGATTGGTTTGGTTTTAACAACGGATCAACATCATGGCACAAAGGAAGTAACCCATAAGCTCTCCGTTCTAATTATAACTCAAGTCTGAATCCGAGAATTTCAGTCAGTGCACGAAATCCCTAGTACCAGCGAGAATCCTTAACTACTTTGGATAGTATCACACAGGTGACAGTATCACATTGCTAACAGTATCACACAGGTAACTGTATCACATGACTGATAGTATCACACAGGTGACAGTATCACATGACTGACAGTATCACACAGGTGACAGTATCACATGACTGACAGTATCACACAGGTGACAGTATCACATGACTGACAGTATCACACAGGTGACAGTATCACATGACTGACAGTATCACACAGGTAACAGTATCACATGACTGACAGTATCACACAGGTAACAGTATCACATGGTGCTGACAGTATCATGCAGCTAACAGTATCATAAGATGACAGAATCACAAATGCGACAGTATCTTACACTGTACAGTATCACACAGTTAACAGTACCACGTGGCTGACAGTATCACATGGCTTGACAGTATCACATAAGTGACAGTATCACATAGCTGACAGTATCACATGCCTGACAGTATCATATCAGTGATAGTTTCACATGCCTGACAGTATCATACCAGTGATAGTTCCACATGGCTGACAGTATCAACTTGCTTACAGTATCATACAGGTAACAGTATCATAAAGGTGAAGTTTCATACAGGTGACAGTATCACATGGCTGAAAGTATCAAATAGCTGACAGTATCACACAGGTTACAGTATCACATGGCTGGTATTTTCACACAAACTATGATATTACACAGGTGACAGTATCAAATATGTGACAGTATTAGACGGCCTGAAAGTATCACACAGGTGACAGTATTACACAGGTGACAGTATTACACAGGTGACAGTATTACACAGGTGACAGTATTGCACAGGTGACAGTATTACATAGGTGACAGTATCAGACGGCCTGAAAGTATCATACTGGTGACAGTACCACATTGCTGACAGTATTATAGAGGTGTCAGTATCATAATGTGATAGTATTTCATGGTTAACAGTATCACTCAGCTGAAGACTCCCAAGATGTGACAGCATCACAGATTTCAGAATACCACACAAATACCAGGCAAAGCTAGAGCCACATGCTCCGTCAAGTCTACATAACTGTCTGTCACATGTCGTCACATCACATCTAGTCAACTCTCCCTTCTCCTGATCTCTGTCACATGTCGTCACATCATATCTAGTCAACTCTCCCTTCTCCTGTTCTCTAACTACTACCTTACTGATCTCACCGACTTCACTGACTTCACTGACCTCACTGACCACTAAATGCTGGCAATCTCTTGGTCTTTAGCGCATGTGGCCTTCGCTAAGTGTTGGTCTGGAGGCGGTCCTGGCAGATCACTACACAAGGGAAGTCAGCGAGGCCTGGAAGAAACTCTACAGCTACATCTGCCTGCAGATGAGGACTGGCATGCAGAACCCTGACCTCTGTGTCGACATCGACGATGGGATGTCTTCATGAACCCTGACCTCTGTGTCGACATCGACGATGGGATGTCTCCATGAACCCTGACCTCTGTGTCGACATCGACGATGGGATGTCTCCATGAAGCCTGACCTCTGTGTCGACATTGACGATGGGATGTCTCCATGAACCCTGACCTCTGTGTCGACATCGACGATGGGATGTCTCCATGAACCCTGACCTCTGTGTCGACATCGACGATGGGATGTCTCCATGAACCCTGACCTCTGTGTCGACATCGACGTTGGGATGTCTCCATGACTGTGCTCGAGTCTGTGTGCTGAACTCTCCTGACCTGTCTGAGAGACACACACGACAATAGAAGAGGAAACATGTCTGTGACATGTCAGCTTGTGACATGTCTGTGACATGTCAGCTTGTGACATGAATGGGACATGTCAGCTTTTGGCTTGTATGTTTCTGTGTCTGGGAATGATCTCCTGGACATGGACAACACAATCAGGCTGGCCTTGTTGCAGAGTAGAGAACACATCAGCAACAAGCGGCATCTGAAAATCGGACCTGTAACACAACATGAAGTTACAACTCAACAAATCGCCTGTAACACAACATGAAGTTACAACTCAACACATCACCTGTAACACAACATGAAATTACAACTCAACATATAATCTGCAGCACAACATAAAGTTACAACAGAACATATCATCTCCAACATAAGAAGTTACAACTGAATATATCATGTGTAACACAACAGGAAGTTGTAAGTGTACATATAATCTGTAACATATGAAGTTACATGTGAACATAACTGTAGTATAAGAAGTTACAACTGAACATATCGCCTGCAATACAAAAAATTATAACCGAACATAACCTCTGTAACAAAGCATGAAATTACAACCGAGCAAACCATCTTTAACATAACAAGAAGCTACAACCGAACATATCTGTAACACAAGCCTGAAACTGTGTGCAGCTGGTGGAACAAGGTTGTTTGTTGAAACTGTGTGCAGCTGATGGAGCAAGGTTGTTTGTTGAAACTGTGTGCAGCTGGTAGAGCAAGCTTGATTGTTCAAACTGTGTGCAGCTGGTGGAGCAAGGTTGATTGTTGAAACTGTGTGCAGCTGGTGGAGCAAGGTTGTTTGTTGAAACTGTGTGCAGCTGGTGGAGCAAGGTTGTTTGTTGAAACTGTGTGCAGCTGGTGGAGCAAGGTTGTTTGTTGAAACTGTGTGCAGCTGGTGGAGCAAGGTTGTTTGTTGAAACTGTGTGCAGCTGGTGGAGCAAGGTTGTTTGTTGAAACTGTGTGCACTGTGTGCTGGTGGGAGCAAGGAGCAAGGTTGTTTGTTGAAACTGTGTGCAGCTGGTAGAGCAAGGTTGTGTGTTGAAACTGTGTGCAGCTGGTGGAGCAAGGTTGTTTGTTGAAACTGTGTGCAGCTGGTGGAGCAAGGTTGTTTGTTGAAACTGTGTGCAGCTGGTGGAGCAAGGTTGTTTGTTGAAACTGTGTGCAGCTGGTGGAGCAAGGCTGTTTGTTGAAACTGTGTGCAGCTGGTGGAGCAAGGTTGTTTGTTGAAACTGTGTGCAGCTGGTGGAGCAAGGTTGTTTGTTGAAACTGTGTGCAGCTGGTGGAGCAAGAAACTGTTGTGGTTGTTTGTTGAAAACTGTGTGCAGTGGTGCAAGGCTGTTTGTTGAAAACTGTGTGCAGCTGGTGGAGCAAGGTTGTTTGTTGAAACTGTGTGCAGCTGGTGAGAGCAAGGTTGTTTGTTGAAACTGTGTGCAGCTGGTGGAGCAAGGCGTTGTTTGTTGAAACTGCAGCTGGTGGAGCAAGGTGTGTGTGTTGTTGCAAAACTGTGTGCAGCTGGTGGAGCAAGGCTGGTGTTTGTTGAAACTGTGTGCAGCTGGTGGAGCAAGGTTGTTTGTTGAAACTGTGTGCAGCTGGTGGAGCAAGGTTGTTTGTTGAAACTGTGTGCAGCTGGTGGAGCAAGGCTGTTTGTTGAAACTGTGTGCAGCTGGTGGAGCAAGGTTGTTTGTTGAAACTGTGTGCAGCTGGTGGAGCAAGGTTGTTTGTTGAAACTGTGTGCAGCTGTGTGGAAGCAAGGTGTTTGTTGAAAACTGTGTGCAGCTGGTGGAGCAAGGGCTGGTGGAGCAAGGCTGTTTGTTGAAACTGTGTGCAGCTGGTGGAGCAAGGTTGTTTGTTGAAACTGTGTGCAGCTGGTGGAGCAAGGTTGTTTGTTGAAACTGTGTGCAGCTGGTGGAGCAAGGTTGTTTGTTGAAACTGTGTGCAGCTGGTGGAGCAAGGTTGTTGTTGAAACTGTGTGCAGCTGGTGGAGCAAGGTTGTTTGTTGAAAAACTGTGTGCAGCTGGTGGAGCAAGGCTGTTTGTTGAAACTGTGTGCAGCTGTGCAAGGTTGTTGTTGAAACTGTGTGCAGTGGAGCAAGGTTGTTTGTTGAAACTGTGTGCAGCTGGTGGAGCAAGGCTGTTTGTTGAAACTGTGTGCAGCTGGTGGAGCAAGGTTGTTTGTTGAAACTGTGTGCAGCTGGTGGAGCAAGGCTGTTTGTTGAAAACTGCAGTGGTGGAGCAGGCTGTTGTTGAAATGTGTGTGCAGCTGGTGGAGCAAGGCTGTTTGTTTGTGTTGCAAAACTGTGTGCAGCTGGTGGAGCAAGGCTGTTGTTGTTGAAACTGTGTGCAGTGTGGAGCAAGAAACTGTGCAGGTGGAGCAAGGTTGTTTGTTGAAACTGGTGTGCAGCTGGTGGAGCAAGGTTTGTTTGTTGAAACTGTGTGCAGCTGGTGGAGCAAGGTGTTTGTTGAAACTGTGTGCAGCTGGTGAGCAAGGTTGTTTGTTTAAACTGTCGTGCAGGCTGGTGGAAGCAAGGATGTTGAAATGCAGCAAAGGCTGTTTGTTAAACTGTGTGCAGCTGGTGGAGCAAGGCGTTTGTGTGAAACTGTGTGCAGAAAATAAACTGCAGTGCATGTTTTACAGTCAAACTATCTGCTTTGTTTGTTGAAACGCGGGTTGGAGCGAATGACCTGAAGACATTGTTTAAAAAGTGAAAATGCAAAGCATGCAAAAACTGTTTGTTCCAGCAATAAATTGGAGAATGTTTACAGTCAAACTATCACTGTAACGCCGAATGACCTGAAGACATTGTGTTAAATGTCTGACAGCACAGCTGTGTCCAGCAATAAGAGAATGAAGCTCACTGGAACTATTCAGCTGTTTGAAGGCATCAAATAGAGAAATGTAAACATCGTTGATTACATCTACAGAAATGCCGACATCCTTGATTACATCTACAGAATTGTAGACATCCTTGATTACATCTACAGAAATGCCGACATCCTTGATTACATCTACAGAAATGTAGACATCATTGTTTCCTTGAAGGCAAAAAATAGAGGAATGTTGATTTCTTTGATTTTTTTTTTTTTTTTTTTTAGCAATTATTGCTGTAAATGCAGAAATGTTTGGTTGTTCGCCCATTTTTTTTAACTTTGCTTTTGTTCCACAACTTGAGTTTTGTGTGTACATCCATTTTACATTTCTGGCTTATTTGACTTCAAAAGACACTTTATTGCCTTTTACAACATGCTTGTTGGGGTGGCGGGGGGGGGGGGGGTCAGGGAGGGGGTAGTGTTGTGTTTATGTACGTGTAGACTATCTTACATACTGTTGTGTCCATGTCTACATCAAACATATGTTTTTGTCCATGTCCCTATCTCACACGATCAGCTGTCACGCATAATGATGTGTCTACGTACATGATGACTCTCACATGCTGTCATGTACATGTCTCTATACTGAATACTGTTTTATCCATGTCTCTATACTGAATACTGTTTTATCCATGTCTCTATACTGAATACTGTTTTATCCATGTCTCTATACTGAATACTGTTTTATCCATGTCTCTATACTGAATACTGTATATTATCCATGTCTCTATACTGAATACTGTTTTATCCATGTCTCTATACTGAATACTGTTTTATCCATGTCTCTATACTGAATACTGTTTTATCCATGTCTCTGTACTGAATACTGTTTTTGTCAACCAATACACATAATGTTGTGTCTATGTACATGTCAAACATCTCACACATTATGTCATGTCTTAAACTCACATTCTGTTACGGTGTCTACATTTACATACATTTTTTACATTTCAATTGAAAAAACAATTCTCTTTAATGTCATTAGAAATGTGTGAAACTCATAATTTTTTTCCAAAGATTAACGTGAGATACACAAACAAGAGATACATAAACAAGAAATACTCAAACAAACAAGAAGATATATAAACATAGATAGACAGACAAACAATAGATACACAGAATAAGACCATACACAAACAAACATGAAATCATAAACAAGAGGTACACACACAAAAAAGTTATAAAAACAAGATGTATAAAAACAGAAGATACAAACAACTAGAGATACACACACAAAAAAAGATACACAAAAAGAGATACGCAAACAACAGATGCACAAACAAGAAATGCACAAATAAGAGATACACAAACAAACAAGAGACATATAAACAGGAAATACACACAAAAAAAGAGAAACATAAACAGACAGGAGGTGCAAAAACAAAAGAGATACAGAAACAAGAGATATACAAACATGAGATATACAAACACACAAAAGATACATCAAATATGAGATACACAAACAAGAGGTACATAAACAAAGAGATTCACAAACAAACAATAGATACACAGACAAGAGATACACAAACATGAAACAACAGACACATAAACAGTATATACACGGACAAGAGATACATAAACAAACAAATAACATGCAAACATGAGATATAAAAACAGGTGATACACAAACAAGAGGTACACAAACAAACAAAAAGATACACAGACAAGAATTACACAAACAAACAAGAGAAACACAAACAAGAGATACACAAACAAACAAGAGATACACAAACAAACAAGAGATATACAAACAAACAAGAGATATGCAAACATAAGATAAAAACAAGAGATACACAAACAAACAAGAGATAAACAAACAAGAGATACACAAACAAACGAGATACACACACAAACAAACAAGAGGTAACAAACAGAAGATACACAAACAAACAAAAGACACACAAACAAGAGATACACAAGCAAGAGATACACAAACAGGAGGTACACAAACAGGAGGTACACAAACAGGAGATACACAAACAGAAGACAAAAAGTAAACAAGAGATACACAAACAAGATACACAAACAAACAAGAGATACACAAACAAGTGATACACAGACAAGAGGTACATAAACAAACAAAAGATAAACAAAAGATACATAAACAGAGATACTCACACAGGATATACACAAACAGGAGATACACAAACAAAAAAAAACACACAAACAAGAGATACACAAACAAGAGATACACAAGCAAGAGATACACAAACAGGAGATACAAAAACAAACAAGAAATTCACAAACAAGAGATACACAAACAGGAGATACAGAAACAAAACAAGAAATACACAAACAAGAGATAAAACAAACAAGAGATACATAAACTGGAGATAAACAAACAAAAGATACACAAACAAACAAGAGATACACAAACAGAAGATACACAAACAGATACACAAAAAAAACAAAAGAGATACACAAACAAACAAGAGATACACAAACAAGAGGTACACACATAAGAGATACATAAACTATTTTTTAAAAAATACAAAGAATAAGTGACAGACAGTTTCTTTTATTGTATAGAAACATGCATCCAATCACAAAATTGTAATCACATACATCCAATGAGACAGCTGCTTGTATTAGCCCAATCAGTATGTTTCTAGCTGGTAGACACATCACGGTTCTGCTGGATTTGTGCTGCTAGCTACCTATTTAGCTTCGTGCTCAAGTGAAGCTGGGTTTTTACAAACAAAGCAAAAAAATAATAACCAATCAGAAATCTATGAATCTTGTGACAATAACTGGGTGTCAACGTGGAAGTCAGCGACACACGGTGTGTAGCAAACTCCAATGCTGCCAGCTCTAATGTCATCTAAATCAAACAAACAAACCAAGAGTAACTTATTTCTTGAAAACACAACCTGCAAAACAACATACACACAACCTGGCACACATAACTGTGTATTAACCTGGTGCTCATAATCTGTTATGCAACCTGGCACATATATTCTGTTACATAACCTGGCACACATAATCTATTATACAACCTAGCATACATAATCTGTTACATAACCTGGCACATATCATCACATAGCCTGGCAAACATAACTTGTTACAGAACCTGGCACATATAATCTGTTACAAAACCTGGCACACATAATCTATTATACAACCTGGCACACATAATCTGTTACATAACCTGGCACATATCATCACATAGTCTGGTAAACATAACTTGTTACAGAACCTGGCACATATAATCTGTTACAAAACCTGGCACACATAATCTATTATACAACCTAGCACACATAATCTGTTACATAACCTGACACACATAATTTGTTACATATCCTGGCACACATTGTTACAAAACCTGGTAAACACAACCTGGTACACATAACCTGGCACACAAACTGATACACATAAAGTGGCACACAACTTAGCTTTGCATCATAACGTGATACACATAACATGCTACACAACCTGTCCCACAAACTGGTACACACAAGCTTGCATATATAACCTGGCACACAACCAAACATAGAAAACACAAACCTAGCACACAACCTGGCATAAAGAACCCAAACCTAGCATACAGCCTGACATACAGAACATAAACATTGCACAAAAACTGACATACAGAACACAAACCTAGCATACAACCTGGCATAGAGGACACAAACCTAGCACACAACCTGACATAGAGAACACAAACCTAGCATACAATCTGGCATAGAGAACACAAACCTAGAATACAATCTGGAATAGAGAACAAAAACCTAGAATACAATCTGGCATAGAGAACACAAACCTAGCATACAACCTGACATAGAGAACACAAACCTAGAATACAACCTGACATACAGAACACAAACCAAGAATAAAATTTGACATAGAGAACACAAACCTAGAATACAACCTGGCATAGAGAACACAAACCTAGAATACAACCTGGTATAGAGAACACAAACCTAGCATACAACCTGGCATAGAGAACACAAACCTAGAATACAACCTGGCATAGAGAACACAAACCTAACATACAACCTGGTATAGAGAACATAAACCTAGAATACAACCTGGCATAGAGAACACAAACCTAGCATACAACCTGGTATAGAGAACACAAACCTAGAATACAACCTGGCATAGAGAACACAAACCTAGCATACAACCTGGCATAGAGAACACAAACCTAGAATACAATCTGACATAGAGAACACAAACCTAGAATACAATCTGACATAGAGAACACAAACCTAGAATACAATCTGACATAGAGAACACAAACCTAGAATACAATCTGACATAGAGAACACAAACCTATAATACAATCTGACATAGAGAACACAAACCTAGAATACAATCTGAAATAGAGAACACAAACCTAGAATACAACCTGGCATAGAGAACACAAACCTTGAATACAATCTGACATAGAGAACACAAACCTAGAATACAACCTGGCATAGAAAAAACAAACCTAGAATACCATCTGACATAGAGAACACAAACCTAGAATACAACCTAAAATAGAGAACACAAACCTAGCATACAACCTGACATAGAGAACGCAAACCTAGCATATAATCTGACATAGAGAACACAAACCTAGAATACAATCTGACATACAGAACACAAACCTAGAATACAAACTGACATAGAGAACACAAATCTAGAATACAACCTGACATAGAGAACACAAACCTAGAATACAATCTTACATACAGAACACAAACCAAGAATAAAATCTGACATAGAGAACACAAACCTAGAATACAACCTGGCATAGAGAACACAAACCTAGAATACAATATGGCATAGAGAACACAAACCTAGCATACAACCTGACATAGAGAACACAGACCTAGAATACAACCTGACACAGAACACAAACCAAGAATAAAATCTGACATAGAGAACACAAACCTAGAATACAATCTGGCACAGATAACACAAACCTAGCATACAACCTGGTATAGAGAACACAAACCTAGCATACAACCTGACATAGAGAACACAAACCTAGAATACAACCTGACATACAGAACACAAACCAAGAATAAAATCTGACATAGAGAACACAAACCTAGAATACAATCTGGCATAGATAACACAAACCTAGCATACAACCTGGTATAGAGAACACAAACCTAGCATACAACCTGACATAGAGAACACAAACCTAGAATACAATCTGACATACAGAACACAAACATAGAATACAAACTGACATAGAGAACACAAACCTATAATACAACCTGGCATAGAGAACACAAACCTAGAATACAACTGACATAGAGAACACAAACCTAGAATACAACCTGGCATAGGGAACACAAACCTAGAATACAACCTGGCATAGGGAACACAAACCTAGAATACAACCTGGGATAGAGAACACAAACCTAGAATACAATCTGGCATAGAGAACACAAACCTAGAATACAATCTGGCATACAGAACATAAACCTAGAATGCAAGCTGGCATAGAAAACACAAACCTAGAATACAATCTGATATATAGAACACAAACCTATAATACAACTGACATAGAGAACACAAACCTAGAATACAATCTGACATACAGAACACAAACCTAGAATACAAGCTGGCATAGAGAACACAAACCTAGAATACAACCTGACATACAGAACACAAACCCTACACAAAACCTGACATGCAGAACACAAACCAAGCACACAACCTGACATACAGAATACAAACCCTGCACAAAACCTGACACTGAAAACAAAAACCTGGCACATAACCTAGCACACAACCTGACACAGAGAATGCAAACCAAACACACTACCTGGCATAGAAAACACAAACCTTGCACAAAACCTGGCATAAAGAACACAAACCTAACACACAACCTGGCATGGACAACACAAAATAGCACACAACCTAACATAGAGAACAATAACCTATCACACAAACTGAAATACAGAACAATAACCTAGCACACAACCTGGCACAGAGAGCACAAATCTAATATAGAGAACACAAACCTAGCACACAACCTGGCATAGAGAGCACAAACCTAGCATACAACCTGGCATAGAGAGCACAAACCTAGCATACAACCTGACAGAAAACATTCATTGGTCAGTAATGTGCCAGAATGCCAGCTACAAGTTATGATGCCAGTTTTACAGAAGCAGGCACACATGATGATGATGATGTGTCCTCAGACCCAACCACCCACACACCACACATAGACACCACACAAAAACCACAAGCACCACACACACACACACACAAAATGTTCACAAGGGGTAGAGGATGTCATAGTGGCCGGGCCGGTAGAGCAGTGTCACAGTTGGCTTGGGGTCAGCCTCATCTGTTGCATCACTAGGGTTGAAGTTGAAAGCATTGCAGGCCAGCCCCTCACGGTCCATGTACTCCACACAGATGGGCACTTGCAGAGCTTTGGTCAGGGCCACGATGTGGATGTGGTCACTCTCTCGGCCCATGGGCTCCACCTCCTGAACACAAACACAATCAGCATATGTCACAGAACAGATATCTAATCTTTTCACATGTACATTAACTACAAGTCCCAGGAACAGATATCTAATCTTTTCACATGTACATTAACTACAGGTCCCAGGAACAGATATCTAATCTTTTCACATGTACATTAACTACAAGTCCCAGGAACAGATATCTAATCTTTTCACATGTACATTAACTACAAGTCCCAGGAACAGATATCTAATCTTTTCACATGTACATTAACTACAGGTCCCAGGAACAGATATCTAATCTTTTCACATGTACATTAACTACAGGTCCCAGGAACAGATATCTAATCTTTTCACATGTACATTAACTACAAGTCCCAGGAACAGATATCTAATCTTTTCACATGTACATTAACTACAGGTCCCAGGAACAGATATCTAAGCTTTTCACATGTACATTAACTACAGGTCCCAGGAACAGATATCTAATCTTTTCACATGTACATTAACTACAAGTCCCAGGAACAGATATCTAATCTTTTCACATGTACATTAACTACAGGTCCCAGGAACAGATATCTAATCTTTTCACATGTACATTAACTACAGGTCCCAGGAACAGATATCTAATCTTTTCACATGTACATTAACTACAGGTCCCAGGAACAGATATCTAAGCTTTTCACATGTACATTAACTACAAGTCCCAGGAACAGATATCTAAGCTTTTCACATGTACATTAACTACAGGTCCCAGGAACAGATATCTAATCTTTTCACATGTACATTAACTACAAGTCCCAGGAACAGATATCTAAGCTTTTCACATGTACATTAACTACAGGTCCCAGGAACAGATATCTAATCTTTTCACATGTACATTAACTACAGGTCCCAGGAACAGATATCTAATCTTTTCACATGTACATTAACTACAGGTCCCAGGAACAGATATCTAAGCTTTTCACATGTACATTAACTACAAGTCCCAGGAACAGATATCTAAGCTTTTCACATGTACATTAACTACAAGTCCCAGGAACATATATCTAATCTTTTTACATGTACATTAACTACAAGTCCCAGGAACAGATATCTAAGCTTTTCACATGTACATTAACTACAAGTCCCAGGAACAGATATCTAAGCTTTTCACATGTACATTAACTACAGGTCCTAGGAACAAATATCTAAGCTTTTCACAGGTACATTAACTATAGGTCCCAGGAACAGATATCTAAGCTTTTCACATGTACATTAACTACAGGTCCCAGGAACAGATATCTAACCTTTTCACATGTACATTAACTACAGGTCCCAGGAACAGATATCTAAGCTTTTCAATGTACATTAACTACAGGTCCCAGGAACAGATATCTAACCTTTTCACATGTACATTAACTACAGATCCCAGGAACAGATATCTTACCTTTTCACATGTATATTAACTACAGATCCCAGGAACAGATATCTAACCTTTTCACATGTACATTACCTACAGGTCCCAGGAACAGATATCTTACCTTTTCACATGTACATTAACTACAGGTCCCAGATCACTGAACAGCCCTATGTGCAAGAACAATCTGAAAATGCTTTCTCTCTCAGGCATTCGTGTAGTCAAATTGTGGAAATGCTCTCTCTCTCTCTCTCTCTCTCTCTCTCTCTCTCTCTCTCTCTCTCTCTCTCTCTCTCTCTCTCTCTCTCTCTCTCTCTCTGCCCTCCATGTAGCCATAATATGGAAATGCTCTCTCACTGCCCTCTTTGTAGCTACAATGTGGAAATGCTCTCTCACTGCCATCCGTGTAGCTACAATATGGAAATGCTCTCTCACTGCCATCCGTGTAGCTACAATGTGGAAATGCTCTCTCACTGCCATCCGTGTAGCTACAATGTGGAAATGCTCTCTCACTGCCATCCGTGTAGCTACAATGTGGAAATGCTCTCTCACTGCCATCCGTGTAGCTACAATGTGGAAATGCTCTCTCACTGCCATCCGTGTAGCTACAATGTGGAAATGCTCTCTCACTGCCATCCGTGTAGCTACAATGTGGAAATGCTCTCTCACTGCCATCCGTGTAGCCACAATGTGGAAATGCTCTCTCACTGCCATCCGTGTAGCCACAATGTGGAAATGCTCTCTCACCGCCATCCGTGTAGCTACAATGTGGAAATGGTCTCTCACTGCCATCCGTGTAGCTACAATGTGGAAATGCTCTCTCACTGCCATCCGTGTAGCTACAATGTGGAAATGCTCTCTCACTGCCATCCGTGTAGCTACAATGTGGAAATGCTCTCTCACTGCCATCCGTGTAGCTACAATGTGGAAATGCTCTCTCACTGCCATCCGTGTAGCCACAATGTGGAAATGCTCTCTCACTGCCATCTGTGTAGCTACAATGTGGAAATGCTCTCTCACTGCCATCTGTGTAGCTACAATGTGGAAATGCTCTCTCACGGCCATCCATGAAGCTACAATGTGGAAATGCTCTCTCACAGCCATCCGTGTTGCTACAATGTGGAAATGCTCTCTCTATGCCATCCGTGTAGCTACAATGTGGAAATGGTCTCTCACGGCCATCTGTGTAGCTACAATGTGGAAATGCTCTCTATCTCTATCTGCCATCAATATAGTCAAGCTGAATAAGACAGCATAAATGCTTGTGGCTAGAAGTTGCTATAAAATAGCAAAAATGGTTGTGCTTACTAATAGCTGCTAGGTCTATAAGATAGCATAAATGGCTGTGGCTAGTAGTTGCTATAAGATTGCATAAATGGTTGTGGCTAGAAGTTGCTATAAGATTGCATAAATGGCTGTGGCTAGAAGTTGCTATAAGATTGCATAAATGGTTGTGGCTAGTAGTTGCTAGGTCTATAAGATAGTATAAATGGTTGTAGCTATTAGCTGCTAGGTTTATTAGATTGCATAAATGCCTGTGGCTAGAATTTGCTATAGGATAGCATAAATAATTGTGGCTAGTAGTTGCTAAAAGATATGACTACAGAAAACACTTATATGGCTACAGAGGACACATATAGGGACTGCATTAGTACAGTCAACAGGAGACTCGCTTTCAAATCCAGCTGCGACTCGCTGCAGCCCATGGCCAGTGTTTGAAACTGGACGGTTCCTGGGGTTCACCCAGCCTCTAGGTAATGGGTACCAGAGCTAACACTTTGGGGTACAGTTTCTTATCAGCTGCCCGTACTGGTGGCAGAGCACTTATGGTTTACAACCGTGTGCAATGATGCTGGTTCACATCTCCCAACTTTACCTTTTACCTTTACTTTGAAAAAACACATATATGGCTACAGAAAACATATATATCGCTACAGAAAACATATATATCGCGACAAAAAATACATATATGGCTACAGAAAACACATATATGACAACAAAAAACACATATATGACTACAGAAAACACATATATGGCCTCAGAAAACACATATATGGCTACAGAAAACACATATATGGCTACAGAAAACATATATATGGCTGCAGAAAACATATATATTGCTACAGAAAACACATATATGGCTAAAGAAAACACACATATTGCTACAGAAAACACATATATGGCTACAGAAAACATATATTGCTACAGAAAACACATATATGGCTACAGAAAACAATATATAACTACAGAAAACATATATATCGCTACAGAAAACATATATATGACTACAGAAAACACACATGCTACAGAAAAACATACAGAAATCACATTTAAGACTACCGAAAACATACACATGACAACAGAAAATTCACATACCACAGAAACAATATATGGCTACATAAATCTCATACAAGACTACAGAAAACATACACATGACTACAAAAAAATATACATGCTACAGAAACACATATATGACTACAGAAATCTCATATAAGACTACAGAAAACATACACATGCTACAGAAAACACACATATGGCTACAGAAATCTCATACAAGACTACAGAAAACAGATACATGACAACATAAAATACACATGCTACAGAAAACACAAATACGGCCTCCAACCTGACTACAGAACTGTCTGACTGTCCTCTCCCCATCAATAAAGTGAATGTACGACTCTTCATTGGCCTGCAGGTGGCCAGATACCAACAATCTGAAAGTCAAATATAATTTTGTTGACCCACTCTTACTATCTCTCTCTTTCTCTTCTTAGCAACTGTATCCATTTAACTGGAACTCAGAATTTTTACACCTTATGTGCTTCAGCCCTAATGCGCTGAGACAAGCGCTTACGATGTCACTTCAGTACAGACCAGCAGGTTAAATAACTGTACACAGAATCTCAGCAGAAAGGAGTTTTCATCTGACAGCTTATTTCTCTGCTTTAGTATTGTGTTGTCCATTCGGCCAGCAGTGGGTTGCAACAAACTGATTTGTGTCACTTTTTTGTGTGTGTCTTACACTGGACTTGATATAATTCTGTTATTTTCTACTTGATATAATCTTGCTTATTTTTATGTAGAAGAAGGCAAAGTGGAAGTGAAGACGAGCTACTGGCACATTAGTTGTTCAATCTTATAATGTGCTAACCACGGCGTCCGTGGCTAAGCCGTTGCGAGTCTGACTTGTAATCCAACGTACCGCGATCGAAACCTGCGCGGGCTGCGTTGATTTTTATAGTGGTATGGGGCGTCGCATGTCGACCCAGCCTCAAATGGGTACCAGGACGGGCTGTCCTGGGAAAGTAAAGACGGCCGGCGTAATGCTGACCACATTACCCACCGAGTGCCGATTGGTCTGTAAAAATATGAGTGCTCTTCCCATATGCCCGATGCGCCTAAGGGCGTGTAAAGGGATCTTTACTTTACTTACTTTACTATAATGTGCTAACCTGTTATTATCTTGTAGTTGTTACACTTGCTTTCTTGCTTTAAGTTTTTCTTGGAATGTGTAACAAAGAGGAACACTGGTTTAGCAAAGCCGGTCTCAGGTTAGGTCATCTCAATATTTGCCACATTATGAGGACGCTGCCTGAACTGTCCCTTATTCTGAATCAAAATGTCCATATGTTCGGCACAAGTAAAAGTCGATTAACTGATAACATTTCAGACAAAAACATATTTATTAAAGGCTTTGCAAATGAAACAAGAGATGGGTCTAGCGGTCTACGTTAGTAATTCACTTATGTTCATTGTAGGCCCTAGATTTTAATACTGATGCTTAAAAAAATCAAACCAAATGTGGGAAAATATAATCACATCATAGAATTCATCTCCAAGAATTAGTCAAGCATCTCTAGAACAACAAAGTATTGCTCAACTATTTTAGATTATATATATGTTACATGCCCAGATCACATCATAGAATGCAAGGTGCCCAACTTGACAATGAGTGATCATCACACAGCACAAGGTTATTTGATACCTTCCAGACTCAGACCCATCTAGACCACTGCCTCACAATTTGGGATGGCTGTCCAAGTTCAATCATCAAACCACTTAAAGCACTTCAAAAAAGAGTTGTACGCTTAGTCAGTAATTATCATACACGAGACAGTTGCAGTATAAAGATCTTGAAGTTTTGACCGTTCCATAAATGACTGCTTGTCACTAAGTCCAAAGTTATTCACAAAATCTTATCAAAAATATGTTGTTGGTGTCTATTATAATTATTATTATACTTTTTATTATCATTATTTTCTGCTGAAATGATATTTGCATGAATAATGTATGCATGGAGTGAGGTCAGAAGGGCACAGTGTGCAACAAACATCTACATCAAGTTTGGATGAGAACAACAGGTGATGATTGTGTATGGCCCAGACATACTCATAATCCTCTCATGACAACAGTTTCAAGTGACAATCATTTTTCTCACTATATCATCTATTTATTTTAGTCAATGTATTTCACAAGTAAATGGATTTTATTGACTTTATTTTAATAAACATATCTATGAATGATTTCCATTCACAGTTAAAGTTTAATTGTATTTGAAGGTGTGTATATGGTATCAGTTTTATTGATATCTATCAATATACCTCTGAAGTCAATGAGCAGACAGAGAAGTTGTTGGCAGGGGTCAACCAAGTTGTTGGCAGGGGTGAACCAAGTTGTTGGCAGGGGTGAACCAAGTTGTTGGCAGGGGTGAACCAAGTTGTTGGCAGGGGTGAACCAATTTGTTGGCAGGGGTGAACCAAGTTGTTGGCAGGGGTGAACCAAGTTGTTGGCAGGGGTGAACCAAGTTGTTGGCAGGGGTGAACCAAGTTGTTGGAACTCTACACTTAGCATCAAAACACAACTGTCTCTGAGTATCCAGGGACTCTGTCTACACTTAGCATCAAAAGGCAACTGTCTCTGAGTATCCAGGGACTCTGTCTACACTTAGCATCAAAGGACAGCTGTCTCTGATTATCCAGGGACTCAGTCCACACTTAGCATCAAAAGGCAACTGTCTCTGAGTATCCAGGGACTCAGTCTACACTTAGCATCAAAAGGCAACTGTCTCAGTTGGATCAGGAGGGAGGGTTTAATCCCACATCCAACCCCAGTGCCAGTAAAATTTTTCCCAACAATCGCTGTACATCCCTGCATATCGCTGTACGTCCCTGCATATCGCTGTAGGTCCCTGCATATCACTGTACGTCCCTGCATATCGCTGTATGTCCCTACATATCCCTGTATGACCCTGCATATAGCTGTATGTCCGTGCATATCACTGTATGACCCTGCATATCGCTGTATGTCCCTGCATATCGCTGTATGTCCCTGCTTATCCCTGTAGGTCCCTGCATATCGCTGTATGTCCCTGCATATCGTTGTATGTCCCTGCTTATCCCTGTATGTCCCTGCATATCGCTGTATGTCCCTGCTTATCCCTGTATGTCCCTGCATATCCCTGTATGACCCTGCATATAGCTGTATGTCCGTGCATATCACTGTATGACCCTGCATATCGCTGTATGTCCCTGCATATCGCTGTATGTCCCTGCTTATCCCTGTATGACCCTGCATATCGCTGTATGTCCCTGCATATCGCTGTATGTCCCTGCTTATCCCTGTATGTCCCTGCATATCGCTGTATGTCCGTGCATATCGCTGTATGTCCGTGCATATCGCTGTATGTCCCTGCATATCGCTGTATGTCCCTGCATATCCCTGTGTGTCCCTGCATATCCCTGTATGTCCCTGCATATCCCTGTATGTCCGTGCATATCCCTGTGTGTCCCTGCATATCGCTGTATGTCCGTGCATATCCCTGTGTGTCCCTGCATATCCCTGTATGTCCGTGCATATCGCTGTATGTCCCTGCATATCGCTGTATGTCCCTGCATATCGCTGTATGTCCCTGCATATCGCTGTATGTCCCTGCTTATCCCTGTGTGTCCCTGCATATCCCTGTATGTCCGTGCATATCCCTGTATGTCCGTGCATATCCCTGTATGTCCGTGCATATCCCTGTATGTCCCTGTGCCTACTGATTGTATCCAGAATAATCATTCTGTAAAACATGCTAGTGTACACTGCAGTGCTCCGAACAAGACCATCAATGTAAAACATACTAGTGTACACTGCAGTGCTCCAGACAAGACCATCAATGTAAAACATACTAGTGTACACTGCAGTGCTCCGAACAAGACCATCAATGTAAAACATACTAGTGTACACTGCAGTGCTCCGAACAAGACCATCAATGTAAAACATGCTAGTGTACACTGCAGTGCTCCGGACAAGACCATCAACGCTGACACATTCTAATCAATTCAAATATGTAAACAACTGGTCCATAAGAAATGATCATGACTGTGATGAAGCTACTAACCTTAGATAGACAACAAAATAGTCTGAGAGTCCTTGGTCATTGAAGGTCTCTAGAAGTTTCTCCACGGTGCCTGGACACTCCACTTGCTTCACAATATCTACAAACTGACAAACAATCATTTCATATGATCATCACACTGAACAGGCAATCATGTCACAATATCTACAAACTGTCTCTCCCCTGTACCCAAGTGACCATGCACTCTCTCCCTTGTACCCAGGTGACCATGCACTCTCTCCCTTGTACCCAGGTTGACCATGCACTCTCTCCCTTGTACCCAGGTTGACCATGTACTCTCTCTCTCTCCTGTCCCCAGGTTGACCATGTACTCTCTCTCTCTCTCCTGTCCCCAGGTTGACCATGTACTCTCTCTCTCTCTCTCCTGTCCCCAGGTGACCATGTACTCTCTCCCCTGTCCCCAGGTGACCATGTACTCTCTCCCCTGTCCCCAGGTGACCATGTACTCTCTCTCCTGTCCCCAGGTGACCATGTACTCTCTCTCTCCTGTCCCCAGGTGACCATGTACTCTCTCTCTCTCCTGTCCCCAGGTGACCATGTACTCTCTCTCTCTCCTGTCCCCAGGTGACCATGTACTCTCTCTCTCTCCTGTCCCCAGGTGACCATGTACTCTCTCTCTCTCCTGTCCCCAGGTGACCATGTACTCTCTCTCTCTCCTGTCCCCAGGTGACCATGTACTCTCTCTCTCTCCTGTCCCCAGGTGACCATGTACTCTCTCTCTCTCCTGTCTCCAGGTGACCATGTACTCTCTCTCCCCTGTCCCCAGGTGACAATGTACTCTCTCTCCTGTCCCCAGGTGACCATGTACTCTCTCTCCTGTCCCCAGGTGACCATGTACTCTCTCTCCTGTCCCCAGGTGACCATGTACTCTCTCCCCTGTCTCCAGGTAACCATGTACTCTCTCCCCTGTCTCCAGGTAACCATGTACTCTCTCCCCTGTCCCCAGGTAACCATGCACTCTCCTGCCCCCAGGTAACCATGCACTCTCCTGCCCCCAGGTGACCATGCACACTCCTGTCCCCAGGTGACCATGCACTCTCCTGTCCCCAGGTGACCATGCACTCTCCTGTCCCCAGGTGACCATGCACTCTCCTGTCCCCAGGTAACCATGCACTCTCCTGTCCCCCAGGTAACCATGCACTCTCCTGTCCCCAGGTAACCATGCACTCTCCTGTCCCCAGGTAACCATGCACTCTCCTGTCCCCAGGTAACCATGCACTCTCCTGTCCCCAGGTAACCATGCACTCTCCTGTCCCCAGGTAACCATGCACTCTCCTGTCCCCAGGTAACCATGCACTCTCCTGTCCCCAGGTAACCATGCACTCTCCTGTCCCCAGGTAACCATGCACTCTCCTGTCCCCAGGTAACCATGCACTCCCCTGTCCCCAGGTAACCATGCACTCCCCTGTCCCCAGGTGACCATGCACTCTCCTGTTCCCAGGTGATCATGCACTCTCCTGTTCCCAGGTGATCATGCACTCTCCTGTTCCCAGGTGATCATGCACTCTCCTGTTCCCAGGTGATCATGCACTCCCCTGCCCCCAGGTAACCATGCACTCCCTTGTCCCCAGGTAACCATGCACTCCCCTGTCCCCAGGTAACCATGCACTCTCCTGTTCCCAGATGACCATGCACTCTCCTGACCCCAGGTGACCATGCACTCTCCTGACCCCAGGTGACGATGTATCTCTCCCCTGCCCCCAGGTAACCATGCACTCTCTCCCCTGACCCCAGGTGACCATACACTCTCTCCCCTGACCCCAGGTAACCATTCACTCTCTCCCCTGACCCCAGGTGACCATGTACTCTCTCTCCTGACCCCAGGTGACCATGTACTCTCTCTCCTGACCCCAGGTGACCATGCATCTCTCCTGACCCCAGGTGACGATGTATCTCTCCCCTGCCCCCAGGTAACCATGCACTCTCTCCCCTGACCCCAGGTGACCATGCACTCTCTCCCCTGACCCCAGGTGACCATGCACTCTCTCCCCTGACCCCAGGTAACCATTCACTCTCCTGACCCCAGGTGACCATGCACTCTCCTGACCCCAGGTGACCATGTACTCTCCTGACCCCAGGTGACCATGTACTCTCCTGACCCCAGGTGACCATGTACTCTCTCCCCTGACCCCAGGTAAACATTCACTCTCCTGACCCCAGGTGACCATGTACTCTCTCTCCTGACCCCAGGTAATCAATCACTCTTCTGACTCCAGGTGACCATGCACTCTCCTGACCCCAGGTGACCATGTACTCTCTCTCTCTCCCCTGCCCCCAGCTAACCATGCACTCTCCTGCGCCCAGTTGACCATGCACTCCCCTGCACCCAGGTAACCATGCACTCTCCTGCACCCAGGTAACCATGCACTCTCCTGCACCCAGGTAACCATGCACTCTCCTGCCCCCAGGTAACCATGCACTCTCCTGCCCCCAGGTGACCATGCACTCTCCTGCCCCCAGGTGACCATGCACTCTCCTGTCCCCAGGTGACCATGCACTCTCCTGTCCCCAGGTAACCATGCACTCTCCTGTCCCCAGGTGACCATGCACTCTCCTGTCCCCAGGTGACCATGCACTCTCCTGCCCCCAGGTGACCATGCACTCTCCTGCCCCCAGGTGACCATGCACTCTCCTGCCCCCAGGTGACCATTCACTCTCCTGCCCCCAGGTGACCATGTACTCCCTTGTCCCCAGGTAACCATGCACTCCCCTGTCCCCAGGTAACCATGCACTCTCCTGTTCCCAGATGACCATGCACTCTCCTGACCCCAGGTGACCATGCACTCTCCTGACCCCAGGTGACGATGTATCTCTCCCCTGCCCCCAGGTAACCATGCACTCTCTCCCCTGACCCCAGGTGACCATGCACTCTCTCCCCTGACCCCAGGTAACCATTCACTCTCTCCCCTGACCCCAGGTGACCATGTACTCTCTCTCCTGACCCCAGGTGACCATGTACTCTCTCTCCTGACCCCAGGTGACCATGCATCTCTCCTGACCCCAGGTGACGATGTATCTCTCCCCTGCCCCCAGGTAACCATGCACTCTCTCCCCTGACCCCAGGTGACCATGCACTCTCTCCCCTGACCCCAGGTGACCATGCACTCTCTCCCCTGACCCCAGGTAACCATTCACTCTCCTGACCCCAGGTGACCATGCACTCTCCTGACCCCAGGTGACCATGTACTCTCCTGACCCCAGGTGACCATGTACTCTCCTGACCCCAGGTGACCATGTACTCTCTCCCCTGACCCCAGGTAACCATTCACTCTCCTGACCCCAGGTGACCATGTACTCTCTCTCCTGACCCCAGGTAATCAATCACTCTTCTGACTCCAGGTGACCATGCACTCTCCTGACCCCAGGTGACCATGTACTCTCTCTCTCTCCCCTGCCCCCAGCTAACCATGCACTCTCCTGCGCCCAGTTGACCATGCACTCCCCTGCACCCAGGTAACCATGCACTCCCCTGCACCCAGGTAACCATGCACTCCCCTGCCCCCAGGTAACCATGCACTCTCCTGCCCCCAGGTAACCATGCACTCTCCTGCCCCCAGGTGACCATGCACTCTCCTGCCCCCAGGTGACCATGCACTCTCCTGTCCCCAGGTGACCATGCACTCTCCTGTCCCCAGGTGACCATGCACTCTCCTGTCCCCAGGTGACCATGCACTCTCCTGCCCCCAGGTGACCATGCACTCTCCTGCCCCCAGGTGACCATGCACTCTCCTGCCCCCAGGTGACCATTCACTCTCCTGCCCCCAGGTGACCATGTACTCCCATGCCCCCAGGTGACAATGTACTCACTGTGTCATAGAAATCTTCCAGTGTAAACTGAGGGAAGCCAAGAGAGATCAGCATGTCCTTGGACTTGTGCACAACGTCTACAAAACTGGTGAAGATAGCAACATGATCATTACAACTGTCCCCTGGCTGATGACTGGGTGACACAGAGACAGTCACATGAGAATACTAAACCCAACAACAGAGAAGCTGTCAGTTGAACATGTTAGACATGACACAGACTGTCATTTAAACATATCAGGAATGGTACAGACTGTCAGTTGAACATATCAGGAATGGTACAGACTGTCAGTTACACATGTCAGACATGGCATAGACAGTCAGTTACACATGTCAGACATGGCATAGACAGACAGTTACACATGTCAGACATGGCATAGACTGTCAGTTACACATGTCAGACATGGCATAGACAGTTACACATGTCAGACATGGCATAGACAGTCAGTTACATATGTCAGACATGGCATAGACAGTCAGTTACACATGTCAGACATGGCATAGACAGTCAGTTACATATGTCAGACATGGCATAGACAGTCAGTTACACATGTCAGACATGGCATAGACAGTCAGTTACACATGTCAGACATGGCATAGACAGTCAGTTACACATGTCAGACATGGCATAGACAGTCAGTTACACATGTCAGACATGGCATAGACAGTCAGTTACACATGTCAGACATGGCATAGACAGTCAGTTACACGTGTCAGACATGGCATAGACAGTCAGTTACACGTGTCAGACATGGCATAGACAGTCAGTTACACATGTCAGACATGGCATAGACTGTCAGTTACACATGTCAGACATGGCATAGACAGTCAGTTACACATGTCAGACATGGCATAGACAGTCAGTTACACATGTCAGACATGGCATAGACAGTCAGTTACACATGTCAGACATGGCATAGACAGTCAGTTACACATGTCAGACATGGCATAGACTGTCAGTTACATATGTCAGACATGGCATAGACAGTCAGTTACACATGTCAGACATGGCATAGACAGTCAGTTACACATGTCAGACATGGCATAGACAGTCAGTTACACATGTCAGACATGGCATAGATTGTCAGTTACACATGTCAGACATGGCATAGACAGTCAGTTACATATGTCAGACATGGCATAGACAGTCAGCTAAACATGTTAGACATGACACAGTCTGCCAGGTACACATGTCTGACATGGCAATCATTCACTGATCACCAAAGGACAAACAGGAAAATCAATCACTGACCACCAAAGGACAGACATGAAAATCAATCACTGACCACCAAAAGACAGACTTAACAATCAATCACTGATCACCAAAGGGTAGACATGACAATCAATCACTGACCACAAAAGGACAGACATGACAATCAATCACTGACCACCAAAGGACAGACATGACATTTAATCACTGACCACTAATGGGCAGATGTGACAATCAAAGACCAGATATGACAATTAATCACTGATGATGAAAGGACAGACATGACAGTCAATCACTGACCACTAATGGGCAGACATGACAATCACTCACTAAACACTAACGAATAGACATGACAAAGACATCTTTGTTGACCCACCTCTTGTACCCGTCAGCATCCTGCAGTAACTTCTCTAAGAAAGAAAACCCAAAAGCACGAAAGAAGCAGTTACCGTCTCCTCGAGTTTTCCTCATGTTCTTGTAGCGACCTTTCAGATCCTGGCACCGAAACATATCAGGTAGTGTATCACAACATGTCATCTGTAGCAGTGTCTCTAACAGCACTGACATACAACACAGACTGTGTGAAATATACAACACTGACATACAACATATACTGTGTGAAATATACAACACTGACACACAAAATATTCTGTGTGAAATATATAACACTGACATACAACACAGACTGTGTGATATAACAACACTAACATACAACACAGACTGTGAAATATACAACTCTGACATACAGCAAACAGTGTGTGATATCACACTTGCATACAATAAACAATGTGTGAAATTTACAACACTGACACACAATATACAGTGTGTGAAATATACAACACTGGCATACAGCAAACAATGTGTGAAATATACAACACTGGCATACAGCAAACAATGTGTGAAATATACAACACTGGCGTACAATAAACAATGTGTGAAATATACAACACTGGCATACAGTAAATAGTGTGTGAAATATTCAACACTGGCATACAGCAAACAATGTGTGAAATATACAACACTGGCATACAGCAAACAATGTTTGAAATATACAACACTGGCATACAATAATGTGTGAAATATACAACACTGGCATACAACAATGTGTGAAATATACAACACTGGCATACAATAATGTGTGAAATATACAACACTGGCATACAATAATGTGTGAAATATACAACACTGGCATACAACAATGTGTGAAATATATAACACTGGCATACAGCAAACAATGTGTGAAATATACAACACTGGCATACAGCAGACAATGTGTGAAATATACAACACTGGCATAAAATAAACAATGTGTGAAATATACAACACTGGCATACAATAAACAATGTGTGAAATATACAACACTGGCATACAGCAAACAATGTGTGAAATATACAACACTGGCGTACAGCAAACAATGTGTGAAATATACAACACTGGCGTACAATAAACAATGTAAGAAATCGACACTACTGCTACAGTGGTGGGATGGTACAAACCTCAATCTTGTGCCTGTAGACAGAATCTTCATCGGAGTACTCCTCCACAATTTCATCAAAAGTCAAGAGGTTGCTGATGAGAGGCTGAGACTCAGCAATCTCCAGATTTACAACAAAAAAGTTTACATTAATCAGACTCAGTGATATCTCTTCACTACTCACAACTGTCACCATACTTTCATACATCCATACAATCATCACTGTATTTTCATTTATCCATACAATCCTCACTGTAATTTCAAACATCCATAGAATCATCACTGTACTTTCCCTGTACACTCATTGCTTTGGCACAAAAATGAAGATCCGGCCATCAATTTGTGATGAGCTTAGTGATACAATTTATTTTTCTCTGATAAACCTAGTCTGGACTTTCTTAAGCATATTCACTCACTAATATGCATGTGTGTGCCAACTCCTGAGTACCAAGCCATACTAATGACCTTCTGACAGCCACAGTTTCCATGGTGAAGCTGCAAGTTGTCACAGCAAAGTTGCCATTCATCTCATTGATAGTTTTTTTTTGTTCTCATCAACCAGTGTTCAGACTAGTCCCACATCCATACACATGTTACAGTACTTTCTCACATCCATACAATTACTAACATACTTTCTAATATCCATAGTTATCAATGTACTTTCTCACATTCATACAATTACTAACATACTTTCTAATATCTATAAAGTTATCAATGTACTTTCTCACATCCATACAATTACTAACGTACTTTCCTACATCCATAAAGTTATCAATGTACTTTCTCACATCCATAAAATTACTAATGTACTTTGTAACATCTATACAATTATCAATGTACTTTTCCACATCCATATAATTACTAATATACTTTTCCGCATCCTTACAATTAACAAAGTATTTTCCCAATCCATGTACACTCCCATATCCAAACAATTGTCCTATATTCCTATATTCAAACAATTATAAATATAAGACTAAAATTACAAGATCATAATTCCCACATAGAAGACTGGACAAACTGACCTCTTTCTCAATGATTCTCTGCTGGGCCATTATGACTTCATCATAGTTTCTATCTGTTCAAAAGTCAAACAAACATTCAGTCACAGAAGCACTCATGTAGTACGTATCATGCCATGTAATTCTGTCTGTGTACAGTACAACCATGTACAGTCAGTGTTTGATCACTGTCTATGTTTCTGTACTATACAATCATGTACAGTCAGTGTTTGATTATTATGTTTCTGTACCATACATACAATCATGTACAGTCAGTGTTTGATCACTGTCCATGTTTCTGTACCATACATACAATTATGTACAGTCAGTGTTTGATCACTGTCCATGTTTCTGTACCATACAATCATGTACAGTCAGTGTTTGATCACTGTCCGTGTTTCTGTACCATACATACAATTGTTTACAGTCAGTGTTTGATCACTGTCCATGTTTCTGTACCATACATACAATCATGTACAGTCAGTGTTTGATCACTGTCTATGTTTCTGTACCATACATACAATTATGTACAGTCAGTGTTTGATCACTGTCCGTGTTTCTGTACCATACATACAATTGTTTACAGTCAGTGTTTGATCACTGTCCATGTTTCTGTACCATACATACAATTGTTTACAGTCAGTGTTTGATCACTGTCCATGTTTCTGTACCATACAATCATGTACAGTCAGTGTTTGATTATTATGTTTCTGTACCATACATACAATTATGTACAGTCAGTGTTTGATCACTGTCCATGTTTCTGTACCATACATACAATTATGTACAGTCAGTGTTTGATCACTGTCCATGTTTCTGTACCATACAATCATGTACAGTCAGTGTTTGATTATTATGTTTCTGTACCATACATACAATTATGTACAGTCAGTGTTTGATCACTGTCCATGTTTCTGTACCATACATACAATTGTTTACAGTCAGTGTTTGATCACTGTCCATGTTTCTGTACCATACATACAATTGTTTACAGTCAGTGTTTGATCACTGTCCATGTTTCTGTACCATACAATCATGTACAGTCAGTGTTTGATTATTATGTTTCTGTACCATACATACAATTATGTACAGTCAGTGTTTGATCACTGTCCATGTTTCTGTACCATACATACAATCATGTACAGTCAGTGTTTGATCACTGTCCATGTTTCTGTACCATACATACAATCATGTACAATCAGTGTTTGATTATTATGTTTCTGTACCATACATACAATTATGTACAGTCAGTGTTTGATTATTATGTTTCTGTACCATACAATCATGTACAGTCAGTGTTTGATCACTGTCCATGTTTCTGTACCATACATACAATCATGTACAGTCAGTGTTTGATTATTATGTTTCTGTACCATACATACAATTATGTACAGTCAGTGTTTGATTATTATGTTTCTGTACCATACATACAATCATGTACAGTCAGTGTTTGATCACTGTCCATGTTTCTGTACCATACATACAATCATGTACAGTCAGTGTTTGATCACTGTCCATGTTTCTGTACCATACAATCATGTACAGTCAGTGTTTGATCACTGTCCATGTTTCTGTACCATACATACAATTGTGTACAGTCAGTGTTTGATTATTATGTTTCTGTACCATACATACAATCATGTACAGTCAGTGTTTGATTATTATGTTTCTGTACCATACATACAATTATGTACAGTCAGTGTTTGATTATTATGTTTCTGTACCATACATACAATCATGTACAGTCAGTGTTTGATCACCGTCCATGTTTCTGTACCATACATACAATCATGTACAGTCAGTGTTTGATCACTGTCCATGTTTCTGTACCATACATACAATCATGTACAGTCAGTGTTTGATTATTATGTTTCTGTACCATACATACAATTATGTACAGTCAGTGTTTGATCACTGTCCATGTTTCTGTACCATACATACAATCATGTACAGTCAGTGTTTGATCACTGTCCATGTTTCTGTACCATACATACAATTATGTACAGTCAGTGTTTGATCACTGTCCATGTTTCTGTACCATACATACAATTATGTACAGTCAGTGTTTGATCACTGTCCATGTTTCTGTACCATACATACAATTATGTACAGTCAGTGTTTGATCACTGTCCATGTTTCTGTACCATACATACAATCATGTACAGTCAGTGTTTGATCACTGTCCATGTTTCTGTACCATACATACAATTATGTACAGTCAGTGTTTGATCACTGTCCATGTTTCTGTACCATACATACAATTGTTTACAGTCAGTGTTTGATCACTGTCCATGTTTCTGTACCATACATACAATTGTTTACAGTCAGTGTTTGATCACTGTCCATGTTTCTGTACCATACAATCATGTACAGTCAGTGTTTGATTATTATGTTTCTGTACCATACATACAATTATGTACAGTCAGTGTTTGATCACTGTCCATGTTTCTGTACCATACATACAATTATGTACAGTCAGTGTTTGATCACTGTCCATGTTTCTGTACCATACAATCATGTACAGTCAGTGTTTGATTATTATGTTTCTGTACCATACATACAATTATGTACAGTCAGTGTTTGATCACTGTCCATGTTTCTGTACCATACATACAATCATGTACAGTCAGTGTTTGATCACTGTCCGTGTTTCTGTACCATACATACAATCAGGTACAGTCAGTGTTTGATCACTGCCCATGTTTCTGTACCATACATACAATCATGTACAGTCAGTGTTTGATCACTGTCCGTGTTTCTGTACCATGCATACAATCAGGTACAGTCAGTGTTTGATCACTGCCCATGTTTCTGTACCATACATACAATCATGTACAGTCAGTGTTTGATCACTGTCTATGTTTCTGTACCATACAATCATGTACAGTCAATGTTTGATCACTGTTCATGTTTCTGTACCATACAATCATGTACAGTCAATGTTTGATCACTGTTCATGTTTCTGTACCACACAATCATGAAAAGTCGATGTTTTATCACTGTTCATGTTTCTGTACCATACAATCATGTACAGTCAATGTTTGATCACTGTTCATGTTTCTGTACCATACAATCATGTACAGTCAATGTTTGATCACTGTTCATGTTTCTGTACCATACAATCATGTACAGTCAATGTTTGATCACTGTTCATGTTTCTGTACCACACAATCATGAAAAGTCGATGTTTTATCACTGTTCATGTTTCTGTACCATACAATCATGTACAGTCAATGTTTGATCACTGTTCATGTTTCTGTACCATACAATCATGTACAGTCAATGTTTGATCACTGTTCATGTTTCTGTACCATACAATCTTGTACAGTCAATGTTTGATCACTGTTCATGTTTCTGTACCATACAATCATGTACAGTCAATGTTTGATAACTGTTCATGTTTCTGTACCATACAATCATGTACAGTCAATGTTTGATCACTGTTCATGTTTCTGTACCACACAATCATGAAAAGTCGATGTTTTATCACTGTTCATGTTTCTGTACCATACAATCATGTACAGTCGATGTTTTATCACTGTTCATGTTTCTGTACCATACAATCATGTACAGTCAATGTTTGATCACTGTTCATGTTTCTGTACCATACAATCATGAAAAGTCGATGTTTGATCACTGTTCATGTTTCTGTACCATACAATCATGTACAGTCGATGTTTTATCACTGTTCATGTTTCTGTACCATACAATCATGTACAGTCAATGTTTGATCACTGTTCATGTTTCTGTACCATACAATCATGTACAGTCAATGTTTGATCACTGTTCATGTTTCTGTACCATACAATCATGTACAGTCAATGTTTGATCACTGTTCATGTTTCTGTACCATACAATCATGTACAGTCAATGTTTGATCACTGTTCATGTTTCTGTACCATACAATCATGTACAGTCAATGTTTGATCACTGTTCATGTTTCTGTACCACACAATCATGAAAAGTCGATGTTTTATCACTGTTCATGTTTCTGTACCATACAATCATGTACAGTCAATGTTTGATCACTGTTCATGTTTCTGTACCATACAATCATGTACAGTCAATGTTTGATCACTGTTCATGTTTCTGTACCATACAATCATGAAAAGTCGATGTTTGATCACTGTTCATGTTTCTGTACCATACAATCATGTACAGTCGATGTTTGATCACTGTTCATGTTTCTGTACCATACAATCATGTACAGTCAATGTTTGATCACTGTTCATGTTTCTGTACCATACAATCATGTACAGTCAATGTTTGATCACTGTTCATGTTTCTGTACCATACAATCTTGTACAGTCAATGTTTGATCACTGTTCATGTTTCTGTACCATACAATCATGTACAGTCAATGTTTGATTACTATGTTTCAGTACCATACAATCATGAAAAGTCAATGTTTGATCACTGTTTTTGTACCATACAATCATGAAACATCAATGTTTGATCACTCTACTTGTTTCTGTACCATACAATCATGTACAGTCAATGTTTGATCACCATCTATGTTTCTGTATCATACAGTCATGCTCAGTCAGTGTTTGATCACTGTCCATGTTTCTGTGCCATACAATCATGTACAGTCAATAAAGCAGGCGATCACGTTAGAAGTGAGAAGAAGCGTGACGCTTGTTAGCTCTCACGTTTGACATGAAATTGTATTTAGGTTGAAATTTGCTTTGACGCTCTACTGCTTCTACTTCTAGTCTAGTCTAGCATTGATAATTTCTCATCATCTGTGAATAAATAGCCATGGATAGACAGAGCAAGCTAATATATACAGTCTACAGTGTTGTCTTGACTAAATCAATACACACCAGGATCATAGTTGAAGTCCTCTTGCACGGTGTCGGATCTAGGCTCCATGGATGAGGACTGGTGTCAGAGGCGGAGAGAAGTGGATCGTTGTGTCGGAGCGTCTATCTCTCAAACCGTTCTCGGCTGCTGGCTGCAGGGGCAGATCACTCTCTCTACTTTACACTAGCCACAAACTTGGCCACTCAGTTGCTAAATTTGGCCACCTTGCTGGCAACACTGAACAGATTTGTGTACCAGTTTCAGAACTTTCCGCCAGAGTTTACAGCTAGTGAGCGCGAAGAAGAAGAAGTATTAGTGAAGAAAGTCGGGATGTCTTAGATTTTCCAGCTCAACTTAATTTTATATAGGTGAAATACGGCATATTTTCGGTTGGGGAAGACTTTAGTTTTTTGTTTTGCGTGCACATCCGTTTTACAGATCTGACTTTTTCATGAACGCTGTTTGTTTCTCACAGATACACTACAACTCTGAAAGGAACTACCCTAACTAGTCGCATTCTACGAGATGCTTGTTGGGGTGAGGCAGTTGGTCTCCCCCCCCCCTCCCCACCTTTCTTTTCCAAATGTGGTCCAGGAACCAACCCCACCCACATAGGGATAACCCAGTTCAAAAACATGGCCTGGCTGCAGCACCGGAACGCTGACATGTATCTCGTGAAGGCCCAGCTAGAGAGGCTATTCTCGAGATAAATAAGAAAAGTTAAGGACCCTTTTCCACGCCTTCATGTGTATTAGGCATATAGGGCTAGACCTATATTTTATAGACCAACCTGCATTTTGTGAGTGATTTGGTCAGCATTATGCAGTCCCCCTTTACTTTCCAGAACTGCACCAGGCACCCACTCAAGGCTGGGTCGACCTGGGAGCCAAAATCATTTTTTTAAGTCCGGCTCCGCCGTGAAGCAAACCACGACTTTCCGATCCACATGCGAGCGTCTAGCCACTACACCACGGCGATTCCCCCGAGACAAATGAAAACCGTCAACTGATTAGAGCAAGGAGATGTCAACAGTCGATATTTGGACAGTAGTACAAATCACGTTGGACATTTTAAAAATATGTTATAGACTGAACTTACATATTACCTATTTAAAAATCGGCACCACAGTAAACCGTGCATACCAATGGGTCCGTTTTTCGAAGGCTTGAGAGCAAAACTGCTCGACAGGTAATTGTAACGCACTCTTAGAACATGCTTTGTACAATAGAAACAGCATCCCGCACGCAGTGGCTGGCTTCGCTTGATCAGGTTAATATCAGGAGCATGCCATGGATTTTCTGTCCTGAGTATTCGCATGTGCGAGGTAACGTGCAGGCTGACAGTCTGGCTATGGGATCAAGTAGACCATGCAACAGAACAGAGTACTCATGATTGAAATAGAAACAAAATACTTTGTACATCCCAATTATAATCAGGCTACTGACGAAGAGGTGTAGTAGGTAGGAGACTGCCCTGAGTGCAGTCATGTCAGTTTTTCATACATTTGTTTACCCATTCGATGCTTTGAAAGTGATATCATCAGCAGACATGAAGCAGGCATTGCTCTATACACTCGACCAGCAACGGATTATTTCTGTAAGGATTATTGTTTGAAGACTGCTAAAATAATCTCACACCCAAATAGAGAAGCTGGTCGCGTGCAATCCAATTGTGTGCAAGCGGCACATAGTTGCACTGCTGTCTGTATGTGAAAGTTACAAGATTTTACAGGTGAAAATGTACTTTAACGTGGTAACGGACAGGGAACACATTCTGCTTCAGGTATTGGGGGGAGGGGGGGGGGGGGGCAAGGGACATCAGCTGAAAGAAAAGTGGCTTTTAGATGGTATAAGAAGTGGATCAGAGTGTCGCCTAACAAAACAGCCTAGAATACAATGATAGTTACTTTGAACCGAGGACGCCGGGAATGGATAGACATAGTGTTGCGTGCTGATCTGGAAGGGTGTAATAGTATGTGAAGGGACAGAGTGGTATGATAGTAATTTCTGTGAGTTCACGTGGATTAGTGTTAGCATTGGCCCGAGTAGTGAGGGGGAGAGAATGTTGACCAGTGAAAATGTATTATCAGGAACGAGGCGTGCACGCACGAGAAAGTAGACGCGTGGGTTTACTGTGTGGGGGCTGACAAGCATGGTTAACGAGAAGAACAGAGAAAGACTGAATTACGTGACAGCGTGATTCTCATGTAGCATCAGCCATCCACATAAGCGTGATTCTCATGAAACATCAGCCATCCACATATGCGTGATTCTCATGAAACATCAGCCATCCACATAAGCGTGATTCTCGTAAACGCCCACGTGAGCCTCAAGAACACTACAGGAGCATGATTCCCGAGAACACCCACACGGGCGTGCCTCTCGTGTAAACATCAGCCACCCACATGAGTTTGGCAGAGATAAATTGGGCTGCGTAGATAGTCCGAGTCAGTGAGCTGTAGCCACAGGGCTAAAGCACTGAGGAAGTGCGGGTGTAGTACACACCCAGCACGAGAATGCTGAGAGTCGAGAGTCAGACACAGAGAGAGAGACCAAGTCAGGGTCAGCTAGTATCTTTCTCGAGTAAGACAGACAGAGTACCGTACGACTACAAGCATCAAGGGCTGAGGTTGCGATACTGGTCGAAGGTAAGTTTCGCTGGCGAGTACGTCCAAAGGGACGGGATGCTCCAATAGTAACTGTTCTGGATGACGACGCAAGGAGATGTATGGTCACTACGAAAGCAGAACAGTGGGGATGCCGACGAGAGCTGTGTGCTAGAGGGGACTTGTATTAGAAGTCCTGTCGGTAATCGCAGTCCTTCGACAGGCTGACGTGCTGTGTGGTGGAGAACGGCAAGGAAGTCCGTCTCCAGTCAGCCGTGGTTGTCTGCTGAAAGAATATCAAGGTCGGATTAAATGGAGACAGCAATCAAACAGGCAGAGAATCCATCTATTGAAACACTAGTTCAACTGAAAAGGGGGGGGGACCTGGTGTGGTGGCAGAGATTCTGTAAGAGTCCAACACTGGGAGAGGGGGGGGGGGGTGGCAGAGATTCTGGAAGATGTCCAACACTGGGAGAGGGGGGGGCAGAGAGATTCTGGAAGATGTCCAACACTGTGGGAGGAATGGGCTGGGGGGGGGGAAAGATTCTGGAAGATGTTCTACACTGGGAGAGGGGGGGGGGTGCTGGCAGAGATTCTGGAAGATGTTCAACACTGAGAGGGGAGGAGGGGGAAAAAGATTCTGGAAGATGTTCAACACTGGGAGGGGGGGGGGGTGTGTCAGAGATTCTGGAAGATGTTCAACACTGGGATGGGGGGGGGGGGCAGAGCAGAGGGGAAGATGTTCTGGAAGATGTTCAACAGGGAAAGGGGGGGGGGTGGCAGAGATTCTGGAAGATGTCCAACACTGGGAGGGGGGTGGGGGTGGCAGAGATTCTGGAAAGATGTCCAACACTCAAAAGGGGGGGGGGGGGTGGCAGAGGATTCTGGAAAATGTTCAACACTGGGAGGGGGGGGTGGGGTGGCAGAGATTCTGGAAGATGTTCAACACTGGGAGAGGGGGGGGGGGCAGAGATTCTGGAAGATGTTCCAACACTGGGAGAGGGGGGGGGGCAGAGATTCTGGAAGATGTTTACACTGGGGAGGGGGGGGGGGCAGAGATTCTGGAAGATGTTCAAACACTGGGAGGGGGGGGGGGGTGCAGAGATTCTGGAAGATGTTCAACACTTGGGGGGGGGGGGCAGGAGATTCTGGAAGATGTTTCAAACACTGGGAGGGGGGGGGGGAGATTCTGGAAGATGTTCAACACTGGGAGGGGGGGGGGGGAACAGAGATTCTGGAAGATGTTCAAACACTGGAAAAAGGGGCGGGGGGGGGGGAAACAGAGATTTCTGGTAAGATGTTTCAACACTGGGGGGGAGGGGGGGGGGGCAGAGATTCTGGAAGATGTTCAACACTGGGAGGGGGGGGGGGGCAGAAAATTCTGGAAGATGTTCACACTGGGAGAGGGGGGGGGGCAGAGATTCTGGAAGATGTTCAACACTGAGGAAGGGGGTGGGGGGGGAGAGATTCTGGAAGATGTTCAACACTGGAAAGGGGGGGGGGGGGCAGAGATTCTGGAAGATGTTCAACACTGGGAGAGGGGGGGGGGGGCAGGAGATTCTGGAAGATGTTCAACACTGGAAGTGGGGGGGGGGGGGAAACAGAGATTCTGAAAGATGTTCAACACTGGGAGGGGGGGGGGGGGGCAGAGATTCTGGAAGATGTCCAACACTCAAAAGGGGTGGGGGGGGGGTGGCCGAGATTCTGGAAGATGTTCAACACTGGAAAGGGGGGGGGGCAGAGATTCTGGAAGATGTTCAAACTGGGAGAGGGGGGAGGGGGGGATGGCAGAGATTCTGGAAGATGTTCAACACTGGGGGGGGGGGGCGGGGTGATGGGGGGGGGGGGGGGGGGCAGAGATTCTAGGAGATGTTCAACACTGGGAAAGGGGGGGGGGGGGGTTGGCAGAGATTCTGGAAGATGTCCAACACTTGGGGGGGGGGGGGGGGGCAGGGAGATTCTGGAAGATGTCCAAACATGGGGGGGGGGGGGGGGGGGGGCAGAGATTCTGGAAGATGTTCAACACTAGGAGGGGGGTGGGGGTGGCAGAGATTCTGGAAGAGATGTTCAACACTGGGGGGGGGGGGGGGGGGGGGGGGTGGTGGCAGAGATTCTGGAAGATGTCCAACACTTGGGGGGGGGGGGGGGGGGGGCAGAGATTCTGGAAGATGTCCAACAACTGAGGGAGTGATGGGGGGCAGAGATTCTGGAAGATGTCCAACACTGAGGGAGTGATGGGGGGCAGAGATTCTGGAAGATGTCCAACACTGAGGGAGTGATGGGGGGCAGAGATTCTGGAAGATGTTCAACACTGAGGGAGTGATGGGGGGGGGGGGGGGGAGGCAGAGATTCTGGAAGATGTCCAACACAGCAAATGTCCACACAACATCCCTACAGCAAATGTCCACACAACATCCCTGCAGCAAATGTCCACACAACATCCCTGCAGCAAATGTCCACACAACATCCCTGCAGCAAATGTCCACACAACATCCCTGCAGCAAATGTCCACACAACATCCCTGCAGCAAATGTCCACACAACATCCCCGCAGCAAATGTCCACACAACATCCCCGCAGCAAATGTCCACACAACATCCCCGCAGCAAATGTCCACACATCTCCACAGCAAATGTCCACACAACATCTCCACAGCAAATGTCCACACAACATCTCCACAGCAAATGTCCACACAACATCCCTACAGCAAATGTCCACATGACATCCCTACAGCAAATGTCCACACGACATCCCTACAGCAAATATCCACACGACATCCCTACAGCAAATGTCCACACAACATCCCTACAGCAAAAGTCCACACAACATCCCTACAGCAAATGTCCACACAACATCCCTACAGCAAATGTCCACACAACATCCCTACAGCAAATGTCCACACAACATCCCTACAGCAAATGTCCACACAACATCCCTACAGCAAATGTCCACACAACATCCCTACAGCAAATGTCCACACAACATCCCTACAGCAAATGTCCACACAACATCCCTACAGCAAAGGTTAGATGCTGCAGACTTTCTAACAGTGTGGCAACCTCAGGCCCACAACATCGTTAAAAATATGGTTGTCATCATGTGTAGACTTTGTCACCACAGACAGATTTGACGAACAGAAAGACAGACAAACATCCCAGACAAGTAGACAAACAATCATAGACAGACATGTAGATACACATCACAGAAAGACATGCAGGCAAACATCATAGACAGATATAAAGTAAAAGTAAAGATCCCTTTTCCCGCCTGTAGGCTCATCCGGTATATGAAAAGAGCTCTCATATTTTTACAGACCAATCGGCATTAGGTGGGTAATGTGGTCAGCACTACGCAGGCCGTCTTAATTTACCCAGGATATACATCTTGGTACCGATTTTAGGCTGGGTCGACTCCATGCTATGATAATAATCTATGCAGCCGGCAGTGGGTTTCGATTGCAGTATGCTGGAATTATGAGTTAGACTCACAATGCCTAAGCCATGGACGCAACATAGACAGATATGCAGACAAGCATCACATACAGACAGATGTACAACCAGGAAGCAATGTCAACTATAACAGCTGGATGACGAGAGATCAAACAATATATTTAGACTTCTGGTCTTTCAGTGACACCAACTCTTGGTGTCCAATCACATCTGTACAACAAACTCAACACAAGCAAGTCATCACTTTATACTGTATGTCAACAATTCAGTCTGATGTAATATGTACGTAATTACTGATATCAAAACAGCTCAGAATTATTGGGAATATCAAACTAAACTATGTAAGACTGCGACGTTTGGAAATCATGAGGATGTGGAACAAACATCTCAGACTAAGATGTCTGGAAATGATAAGGATGCAGAGTGCGATGTCTGGACAGGATGAAGATGTGAAACAAGACTATGTCAGAACAGGATGAAGATGTAAAACAAGACAATGTCAGAGTGCGATGTCTGGACAGGATGAAGATGTGAAACAAGACAATGTCAGAGTGCGATGTCTGGACAGGATGAAGAAGTGAAACAAGACAATGTCAGAGTGCGAAGTGAACTCAGGAATTGTGAGAGGAGCCAACAGTGGCGGCAAAGAAGCCAACAATGAGGAAACTGTGAGATAGAAGAGGCCAACAATGAGGAAACAGTGTGGGAGAAGAAGCCAACAATGAGGAAACAGTATGAGAGAAGAGGCCAACAATGAGGAAACAGTGTGAGAGAAGAATCCAACAATGAGTAAACAGTGTGAGAGAAGAAGCCAACAATAAGGAAACTGAGAGAGAGAAGAAGCCAACAATGAGGCAACAAAAGAAACCAACAATGAGGAAACAGTGTGGGAGAAGAAGCCAACAATAAGGAAACAGTATGAGAGAAGAATCCAACAATGAGTAAACAGTGTGAGAGAAGAAGCCAACAATAAGGAAACTGAGAGAGAGAAGAAGCCAACAATGAGGCAACAATATGAGAGAAGAGGCCAACAATGAGGAAACAATATGAGAGAAGAATCCAACAGAGTAAACAGTGTGAGAGAAGAAGCCAACAATAAGGAAACTGAGAGAGAGAGAGAGAAGAAGCCAACAATGAGGCAACAAAAGAAACCAACAATGAGAAAACTGTGAGAGAAAAAGCCAACAATGTCCATCTGCAGTCCTAGGATGATTCCAAGAAACACAAGAACCTGGGTTTTGAGTGAATGCTTGACTGTGTGTTCTACCACTTGTAATGGAACTTCATCTTCAACAAGTACCTGATGTTGATCTGTGCTGTGTCATAGACGATAAATCTGTGATCGGAGTTAAAGATCAATTGGGCTAATGACATGCAAGGCAATTCTGTTAAACCTGTTCTGTGATTGTTGTCATGTCTTGTGCCTGTGTGTGATGTGAGTGTATAACTGTGTCTGTGTGTGGTTTGAGTGTGTGACTGTGTGGTGTTAGTGAATGATCATGTCTGTGTGTAGTATGAGTGAATGATTGTGTGTGTGGTGTTAGTGAATGATCCTGTCTGTGTGTAGTATGAGTGTATGATTCTGTCTGATGTGAGTGTGATTCTGTCTGTGGGTGGTCACGTCTGTGTGTGGTGTGAATGTATGATCATGTCTGTGTGAGTGTATGATCGTGTATGTATGTAAGATCAAGTCTGTGTGTGGTTATTCCAATGTGTGTGTAAAATCAAATCTGTGTGTGATGATTTCTGTGTGTGTGTGTGTGTGTGTGTGTGTGTGTAAAATCAACTATGGGTCTGTGTATGATTGTCTGTTTAGTGTGAGTGTATGATCATTTATGTGTGCTGTGAGTGTATGTGTGCTCCTGTGGGCAGGTGTGAGTGTATGTGTGCTCCTGTGGGCAGGTGTGAGTGTATGTGTGCTCCTGTGGGCAGGTGTGAGTGTATGTGTGCTCCTGTGGGCAGGTGTGAGTGTATGTGTGCTCCTGTGGGCTGGTGTGAGTGTATGTGTGCTCCTGTGGGCTGGTGTGAGTGTATGTGTGCTCCTGTGGGCTGGTGTGAGTGTATGTGTGCTCCTGTGGGCTGGTGTGAGTGTATGTGTGCTCCTGTGGGCTGGTGTGAGTGTATGTGTGCTCCTGTGGGCTGGTGTGAGTGTATGTGTGCTCCTGTGGGCTGGTGTGAGTGTATGTGTGCTTCTGTGGGCTGGTGTGAGTGTATGTGTGCTCCTGTGGGCTGGTATGAGTGTATGATTGCTCCTGTGGGCTGGTGTGAGTGTATGTTGGCAGGTTGAGTGTATGTGTGCTCTTGCGAGCAGGTTGAGTATGTGTGCTCCTGTGGGCAGGTGTGAGTGTATGTGTGCTCCTGTGGGCAAGTGTGAGTGTATGTGTGCTCCTGTTGACATGTGTGAGTGTATGTGTGCTCCTGTTGACAGGTGTGAGTGTATGTGTGCTCCTGTTGACAGGTGTGAGTGTATGTGTGCTCCTGTTGACAGGTGTGAGTGTATGTGTGCTCCTGTGGGCAGGTGTGAGTGTATGTGTGCTCCTGTGGGCAGGTGTGAGTGTATGAGTGTATGTGTGCTCCTGTGGGCAGGTGTGAGTGTATGTGTGCTCCTGTTGGCAGGTGTGAGTGTATGTGTGCTCCTGTGGGCACGTGTGAGTCTATGTGTGCTCCTGTTGACAGGTGTGAGTGTATGTGTGCTCCTGTGGGCACGTGTGAGTCTATGTGTGCTCCTGTGAGCTGGTGTGAGTGTATGTTGGCAGGTTGAGTGTATGTGTGCTCTTGCGAGCAGGTTGAGTATGTGTGCTCCTGTGGGCAGGTGTGAGTGTATGTGTGCTCCTGTGGGCAGGTGTGAGTGTATGTATGCTCCTGTGGGCAGGTGTGAGTGTATGTATGCTCCTGTTGACAGGTGTGAGTGTATGTATGCTCCTGTTGACAGGTGTGAGTGTATGTGTGCTCCTGTTGACAGGTGTGAGTGTATGTGTGCTCCTGTGGACAGGTGTGAGTGTATGTGTGCTCCTGTGGGCAGGTGTAAGTGTATGTGTGCTCCTGTGGGCAGGTGTAAGTGTATGTGTGCTCCTGTGGGCAGGTGTGAGTGTATGTGTGCTCCTGTGGGCAGGTGTGAGTGTATGTGTGCTCCTGTGGGCAGGTGTGAGTGTATGTGTGCTCCTGTGGGCTGGTGTGAGTGTATGTGTGCTCCTGTGGGCTGGTGAGAGTGTATGTGTGCTCCTGTGGGCTGGTGAGAGTGTATGTGTGCTCCTGTGGGCTGGTGTGAGTGTATGTGTGCTCCTGTGGGCTGGTGTGAGTGTATGTGTGCTTCTGTGAGTGTATGTGTGCTCCTGTGGGCTAGTGTGAGTTTATGTTGGCAGGTGTGAGTATATGTGTGCTCCTGTGGGCAGGTGTGAGTGTATGTGTGCTCCTGTGGGCTGGTGTGAGTGTATGAGTCCTCCTGTGGGCAGGTGTGAGTGTATGTGTGCTCCTGTGGACAGGTGTGAGTGTATGTGTGCTCCTGTGGGCAGGTGTGAGTGTATGTGTGCTCCTGTGGGCTGGTGTGAGTGTATGTGTGCTCCTGTGGGCTGGTGTGAGTGTATGTGTGCTCCTGTGGGCAGGTGTGAGTGTATGTGTGCTCCTGTGGGCTGGTGTGAGTGTATGTGTGCTCCTGTGGGCTGGTGTGAGTGTATGTGTGCTCCTGTGGGCTGGTGTGAGTGTATGTGTGCTCCTGTGGGCTGGTGTGAGTGTATGTGTGCTCCTGTGGGCTGGTGTGAGTGTATGTGTGCTCCTGTGGGCTGGTGTGAGTGTATGTGTGCTCCTGTGGGCTGGTGTGAGTGTATGTGTGCTCCTGTGGGCTGGTGTGAGTGTATGTGTGCTCCTGTGGGCTGGTGTGAGTGTATGTGTGCTCCTGTGGGCTGGTGTGAGTGTATGTGTGCTCCTGTGGGCTGGTGTGAGTGTATGTGTGCTCCTGTGGGCTGGTGTGAGTGTATGTGTGCTCCTGTGGGCTGGTGTGTGAGTGTATGTGTGCTCCTGTGGGCTGGTGTGAGTGTATGTGTGCTCCTGTGGGCTGGTGTGAGTGTATGTGTGCTCCTGTGGGCTGGTGTGAGTGTATGTGTGCTCCTGTGGGCTGGTGTGAGTGTATGTGTGCTCCTGTGGGCAGGTGTAAGTGTATGTGTGCTCCTGTGGGCTGGTGTGAGTGTATGTGTGCTCCTGTGGGCTGGTGTGAGTGTATGTGTGCTCCTGTGGGCTGGTGTGAGTGTATGTGTGCTCCTGTGGGCTGGTGTGAGTGTATGTGTGCTCCTGTGGGCTGGTGTGAGTGTATGTGTGCTCCTGTGGGCTGGTGTGAGTGTATGTGTGCTCCTGTGGGCTGGTGTGAGTGTATGTGTGCTCCTGTGGGCTGGTGTGAGTGTATGTGGGCTGGTGTGAGTGTATGTGTGCTCCTGTGGGCTGGTGTGAGTGTATGTGTGCTCCTGTGGGCTGGTGTGAGTGTATGTGTGCTCCTGTGGGCTGGTGTGAGTGTATGTGTGCTCCTGTGGGCTGGTGTGAGTGTATGTGTGCTCCTGTGGGCTGGTGTGAGTGTATGTGTGCTCCTGTGGGCTGGTGTGAGTGTATGTGTGCTCCTGTGGGCAGGTGTGAGTGTATGTGTGCTCCTGTGGGCTTGTGCTCCTGTGGAAGAAAGAGAGAATGAAGATTGGACAACAGTGAACTGTAACAGAAGCTACACAAGGATACTCATTATACAGTAAACTGGTGTCTGTGACCCCAGAGTCGATCCCTGGTCCCAGGGGGATGGTCACACCATCAGCTGTCACATAGGCTTGTGCAGGGTCTGGACAAGATCTGCCAATACCTGTTGAAGGGAAGAGCGGTTTCTCATTGAACCTTTTAGGGACTATCTGACACAGCTAGATGACATGACAGAACCTCACAGGGACTATGTGACACAGCTAGATAACATGACATAACCTCACAGGGACTATGTGACACAGCTAGACGACATGACAGGACCTCACAGGGACTATGTGACACAGCTAGATGACATGACAGGACCTCACAGGGACTATGTGACACAGCTAGATAACATGACATAACCTCACAGGGACTATCTGACACAGCTAGATGACATGACAGAACCTCACAGGGACTATGTGACACAGCTAGATAACATGACATAACCTCACAGGGACTATCTGACACAGCTAGATGACATGATAGGACTTGCTGATTAACCTTTTGTACTGTGTCCACATCCAAACCAGATGATTGCCTTTTGTACTGGGTCAAAAACCACACCAGATGATTGCCTTTTGTACTGTGTCAACAACCACACCAGATGATTGCCTTTTGTACTGTGTCAACAACCACACCAGATGATTGCCTTTTGTACTGTGTCAACAACCACACCAGATGATTGCCTTTTGTACTGTGTCAACAACCACACCAGATGATTGCCTTTTGTACTGTGTCAACAACCACACCAGATGATTACCTTTTTGTACTGTGTCAACAACCACACCAGATGATTACCTTTTGTACTGTGTCAACAACCGCACCAGATGATTACCTTTTGTACTGTGTCAACAACCGCACCAGATGATTACCTTTTGTACTGTGTCAACAACCGCACCAGATGATTACCTTTTGTACTGTGTCAACAACCACACCTGATGATTACCTTTTGTACTGTGTCAACAACCGCACCAGATGATTACCTTTTGTACTGTGTCAACAACCACACCAGATGATTACCTTTTGTACTGTGTCAACAACCACACCAGATGATTACCTTTTGTACTGTGTCAACAACCACACCAGATGATTACCTTTTGTACTGTGTCAACAACCGCACCAGATGATTACCTTGTGTGCTGTGTCAACAACCGCACCAGATGATTACCTTTTGTACTGTTTCAACAACCGCACCAGATGATTACCTTTTAAACTGTGTCAACAACCACACCAGATGATTACCTTTTAAACTGTGTCAACAACCACACCCGATGGTTACCTTTTGTACTGTGTCAACAACCACACCCGATGATTACCTTTTGTACTGTGTCAACAACCACACCCGATGATTACCTTTTGTACTGTGTCAACAACCACACCAGATGATTACCTTTTGTACTGTGTCAACAACCGCACCCGATGATTACCTTTTGTACTGTGTCAACAACCACACCCGATGATTACCTTTTGTACTGTGTCAACAACCGCACAAGATGATTACCTTTTGTACTGTGTCAACAACCGCACAAGATGATTACCTTTTGTACTGTGTCAAGAACCACACCAGATGATTACCTTTTGTACTGTGTCAACAACCACACCAGATGATTACCTTTTGTACTGTGTCAACAACCACACCAGATGATTACCTTTTGTACTGTCAACAACCACACCAGATGATTACCTTTTGTACTGTGTCAAAACCACACCAGATGATTACCTTGTGTACTGTTTCAACAACCGCACCAGATGATTACCTTTTGTACTGTTTCAACAACCACACCAGATGATTACCTTTTGTACTGTGTCAACAACCACACCCGATGGTTACCTTTTGTACTGTGTCAACAACCACACCCGATGGTTACCTTTTGTACTGTGTCAACAACCACACCCAATGATTACCTTTTGTACTGTGTCAACAACCACACCCGATGATTACCTTTTGTACTGTGTCAACAACCACACCCGATGGTTACCTTTTGTACTGTGTCAACAACCACACCCGATGATTACCTTTTGTACTGTGTCAACAACCACACAAGATGATTACTTTTTCTGTGTCAACAACCACACCCCATGATTACCTTTTCTGTGTCAACAACCACACCAGATGATTACCTTTTGTAGTGTCAACAACCACACCAGATGATTACCTTTTGTAGTGTCAACAACCACACCAGATGATTACCTTTTGTAGTGTCAACAACCACACCAGATGATTACCTTTTGTAGTGTCAACAACCATACCAGATGATTACCTTTTCTGTGTCAACAACCACACCAGATGATTACCTTTTGTAGTGTCAACAACCACACCAGATGATTACCTTTTGTAGTGTCAACAACCACACCAGATGATTACCTTTTGTACTGTGTCAACAACCACACCAGATGATTACCTTTTGTACTGTGTCAACAACCACACCAGATGATTACCTTTTGTACTGTGTCAACAACCACACCAGATGATTACCTTTTGTAGTGTCAACAACCACACCAGATGATTACCTTTTGTACTGTGCTTTCCTTTGGGCAGTTTGGTCACATACTCAGCATGTTTCAGCTCATACCTGTTTAAAGAATTCAAGCATCACCTTACAAGTTTTACAGATCAGGTTTCCGACATTTCCTAACTACAGGTGTCTGTGACAACCGGTATGTGTGAACTACTGGCATGTGTGAAAACTATCTGAATGCGTGAACTACTGGCATGTGTGTGAATTACCAGCATGTGTGTGAACTATCTGTATGCATGAAGTACTGGCATGTGTGTGAACTACTAACATTTGTAAACTGATGACATGTGTGAACTACTAACATTTGTAAACTGATGACATGTGTGAAATACTACTGATATGTGTGATTACTGTCGCAAACTTGACATCTGTGAACTACTAGCATTAACTACAAACAATTGTCATTAATATGAATTGACTACTGACATTTTTACATCTGTTAAGCGATATCAACTAACATCTTTAAAATAGTGACACATCTGTTCACATGAACTACAAACATATGTTTAAAAAAGTCTTTTTTTCCACGCCTTTAGGTGTATTGGGAATACAGGGCTAGACCCATATTTTTATAGACCTATCGTCACTTGGTGAGTGATGTGGTCAGCATCACGTCGGCCAAATTTTACTTCTCAGGACTGTACCTGGTACCCACTCAAGGCTAGGTCAACCTGAGTCAAGGTCCCTCAGGACCTCAACCCACGACCTTCCGATTTGCAAACAGGCATCTAGTCAGAAACATATATTTAACTTGATATTTGTGAACTCTCCGTGTGGATTCTGGGGCCCTCTTATAGGGAATACAAGAACAGACCCACTGCCTACCCAAAAGTATGTCGTAAGTCTACTTATTGGGAGTTTCCTTCGAAGTCAGAGTGCATCTGCCTGAGAAGCAAGGAACCAGCAGTCTGTATACAAATGAGTTAGATCTGTCAAACGGATGCACACGCAACACTCAGATTCTGGAACAGGACTGCAGTCCAGAAGTGGATGAACAACAAGAACTTTCTGCCAGAGTTTACAGCTGGTGAACGCGAAGAAGAAGATATTTGTAAACTATTGACAACTGTTTACTGACATGGACTAGTAACATCTGTCAACTACTGACGACATCAAGTCCTGACATCAGCTACTGTCATGTGCTAACTACTACAACATAAGCCACAAAACACTTACATGTCTCCACTACTGTCATGTGCTAACTTCTACAACATAAGCCACAAAACACTTACATGTCTCCCAAGGCCACATCACATAGCAGCAACACTCCAGTACTGTCATGTGCTAACTTCTACAAAATAAGCCACAAAACACTTACATGTCTCCCAAGGCCACATCACATAGCAGCAACACTCCACTACTGTCATGTGCTAACTTCTACAACATAAGCCACAAAACACTTACATGTCTCCCAAGGCCACATCACATAGCAGCAACACTCCACTACTGTCATGTGCTAACTACTACAACACAAGATACAAAACACTTACATGTCTCCCAAGGCCACATCACATAGCAGCAACACTCCAGTACTGTCATGTGCTAACTTCTACAACATAAGCCACAAAACACTTACATGTCTCCACTACTGTCATGTGCTAACTTCTACAACACAAGCCACAAAACACTTACATGTCTCCCAAGGCCACATCACATAGCAGCAACACTCCAGTACTGTCTGTTTTGGAAGTGTGACAGTAGTTGGCACTCTTGGACACCATGTCAGCGAAATAGACACCCTTGCCAAACATGTAGCCAGTCTGAGGACAACAACATAAACACCATGTCAGCGAAATAGACACCCTTGCCAAACATGTAGCCAGTCTGAGGACAACATAAACACCATGTCAGCGAAATAGACACCCTTGCCAAACATGTAGCCAGTCTGAGGACAACAACATAAACACCATGTCAGCGAAATAGACACCCTTGCCAAACATGTAACCAGTCTAAAGATGGCAACGTAAACACCATGTCAGCGAAATAGACACCCTTGCCAAACATGTAACCAGTCTAAAGATGGCAACGTAAACACCATGTCAGCGAAAAAGACACCCTTGCCAAACATGTAACCAGTCTGAGGACAACAACATAAACAATATGTCAGCAAAATAGACAACCTTGCCAAACATGTAACCAGCCTGAGGAAAACAACATTAACACCATGTCAGCGAAATAGACACCCTTGCCAAACATGTAGCCAGTCTGAGGACAACAACATAAACACCATGTCAGCGAAATAGACACCCTTGCCAAACATGTAACCAGCCTGAGGATAACAACATAAACACCATGTCAGCGAAATAGACACCCTTGCCAAACATGTAAGCAGTCTAAAGATGGCAATGTAAACACCTCGTCACGGGTCTGCAACAACCGCCTCCATGGACATATCGATCACTCCTGCCAATGATCAAACACCATCCTTACTGTATATACCAACATCTCAGTCTGGCTACAAATTTATAACTCACTCATGACTGCACACACAGATAACTCACTCATGACTGCACACACAGATAGCTCACTCATGACTGCACACACAGATAGCTCACTCATGACTGCACACACAGATAGCTCACTCATGACTGCACACACAGATAGCTCACTCATGACTGCACACACAGATAGCTCACTCATGACTGCACACACAGATAGCTCACTCATGACACACACAGATAGCTCAATCATGACTGCACACACACAGATAGCTCAATCATGACTGCACACACACAGATAGCTCAATCATGACTGCACACACACAGATATGCTGCAACACATGCTCAATCTGACACACACACAGATAGCTCACTCATGACTGCACACACACAGATAGCTCACTCATGACTGCACACACACAGATAGCTCACTCATGACTGCACACACAGAGATAGCTCACTCATGACTGCACACAGAGATAGCTCACTCATGACTGCACACACAGATAGCTCACTCATGACTGCACACACAGATAGCTCAATCATGACTGCACACACAGATAGCTCACTCATGACTGCACACACAGATAGCTCAATCATGACTGCACACACAGATAGCTCACTCATGACTGCACACACAGATAGCTCACTCATGACTGCACACACAGATAGCTCACTCGTGACTGCACACACAGATAGCTCACTCGTGACTGCACACAGAGATAACTCACTCGTGACTGCACACAGAGATAACTCACTCATGACGGCACACTTACACTCACTACTGCTACACAGACCATGGAGCTGCGTGGTCTCCAGGCATGGCGTCCACCTTGAGTGCTAGAAGTTCTGGGTTCAAATCCCCGGCAAGAGCTGGGATTTTTTTCACGGACTTCTAGTAATTCAACCTGGTCTATGGGTAGTGAGATCAGATGCCCGTGTGCATTGTTGCGCATGTACAAAATCTCTTGGCGGTTGGAAACTGAAAAAAGTAGCCTAGCGGCGCTGCCCAGGCAAAATTTGGACCCAAAACCCAAAGGTATTTCAGGATCCTCGCAGGTGCTACAGAGCATGTGCACATGCTGAACTTCTTCGGACTCAGACTTGAGTTAGAAGACGAATGGAGCAATTACGAGTTACATCCGTGTGCCATGTTGATCCGTTGTTCAAAAACCTGCTACACAGACGTCTGTTACACCACTGCTACCTAGAACATTGTTACACCATACCACTGTTACACCATATGACTGTTACAGAACATTGTTACACCATACCACTGCTACACAGACCACTGTTACACCATACCACTGTTACATTGTTACACCATACCACTGCTACACCATATGACTGTTACAGAACATTGTTACACCATACCACGGTTACACCATACCATGGTTACAGAACATTGTTACACCATACCACTATTAAACCATACCACTGTTACAGAACATTGTTGCACCAGACCACTGTTACACCATACCACAGTTACAGAACATTGTTACACCAAACCAAGGTTGCAGAACACTGTTACACCAAAACCACTGTTACACCATAACAAGGTTACAGAACATTGTTACACCAAAACCACTGTTACACCATAGCACTACTACATAGATAGTTACACCAGACCACTGTTACACAACACCGATGCAACAGACCATTATTACAATCACCATAGCTACAGACCATTGTTACACCACACCACAGCTATAAAGACCATTGTTACACCACAGCACTGCTATAGAGACCACTGTTACACCACACCACAGCTATGCAGACCATTGTTACACCACTGCTATGGAGACCATTGTTACACCACACCACTGTTACAGACCATTGTTACTCCAAACCACTGCTAGAGACCATTGTTACACTCACCACTGCTTTAGAGACCATTGTTACACCACTGCTATACAGACCATTGTTACTCCACACCACTGCTAGAGACCATTGTTACACTCACCACTGCTTTAGAGACCACTGTTACACCACTGCTATACAGACCATTGTTACACTTACCACTGCTTTAGAGACCATTGTTACACCACTGCTATACAGACCATTGTTACACCACTGCTATACAGACCATTGTTACACCACTGCTATACAGACCATTGTTACACCACACCACTGCTATACAGACCATTGTTACACCACACCACTGCTATAGACCATTGTTACTCCACACCACTGCTATACAAACTATTGTTACACCACACCACTGCTAGAGACCATTGTTACACTCACCACTGCTATAAAGACCATTGTTACACCACTGCTAGAGACCATTGTTACACCACACCTCTTCTACAGACCATTGTTACACTACTGCTAAAGAGACCATTATTACACAACTGCTATACAGACCATTGTTACACTACACCCCTGCTATACAGACCATTGTTACACCACACCACTACTACAGATCATTGTTACACAACTGCTATAGAAACTATTGTTACACTACTGCTATAGAGACTAATATTACAATCACCACTGCTACAGACTACTGTTACACTCTCCACTGCTACAGACTACTGTTACACTCACCACTGCTACAGACTACTGCTACACTCACCACTGCTACAGACTACTGTTACACTCACCACTGCTACAGACTACTGTTACACTCACCACTGTTACACTCACCACTGCTACAGACTACTGTTACACTCACCACTGGTGCCTCTGGAGGTGCAATGCGCAGTCCCTGAGATAAAATACCAGCAAAGTTTGTTGTCCGAGATCCATGCCACAACAACATGCGGTTATGTAAATCTTTAAAGGGCCGGAACATCTTGGATTCTCCTTCTCTGCTCACTTTCAGAATCTGACAGCATGGAAACACGCATTACACTGTCTTTTAACATCTTGTAAATACTGTTCTGGCAACATATCAGCACCATTACAATGTCTAGCAAAATGTCACAGATAGGGAAAGGCAGTAACACAGAAACAAGAGGAAAATGGAGTGGGGACAAAAACAGAGGAAAGAAATGAGAAGAATGAGAGTAAAGATAGAGAGAGGAGATGAAGATAAGGGAAGGGAAAAGAGAAGATGGGTAGAAGAGAGAAAGAGGGGGCGAGGGAGGCAAGATAACAGAGTAAGGACAGAGAGGAAAGGGAGAGGATGAGAGGAAGGAGGAAGACAAAGGAGAAGAGAGGGGTACATGAGGGGAAGGGAAAAGAGAAGATGGGGAGAAGAGAGAAAGAGGGGGCGAGGGAGGCAAGATAACAGACTAAGGACAGAGAGGAAAGGGAGAGGATGAGAGGAAGGAGGAAGACAAAGGAGAAGAGAGGGGTACATGAGGACAGAGAGAGAGAGAGAGAGAGAGAGAGACAGAGAGAGAGAGAGAGAGAGAGAGAGAGAGAGAGAGAGGAGTGGGAATGGGGAAGAGAGAGAGAGAGAGAGAGGGGAGGGGGAGAGAGAGAGAGAGGTGGGAACGAGGAAGAGAGAGAGAGGGGGAGGGAGAGAGAGAGAGAGAGAGAGAGAAAAGATAAGAGGGAAGATATGAGAGGTTGGAACACTGAGTGCCGAATGCATTATAAACAGGAGCCACACCATAAATAGATGTGAGAAATCTAAGTGATGTCCAATGTGAATGTGGTCCAGAAACAACTGCACAAAGGCCACCCGCTTCTGCCCCATATGTAGTTGCTGCAATAGTTCCATTTCTTTCTTATATAGCTCGCCCTTCCCCCACCCTTCTTCTAATGCATACCATAAACAGTGGGCTCTCTCCTGCATGCTTGTCTGAAACTAAATTAACAGAAACAAAGAAAAACGACAGACTGCCAGCCTGCAGTTCTCAGGGAAATAACCAGAAACAATTATGGTAGCCACAAGTCACAGGTCTTCTTTTATTTGCGATTCTTGCATGAAAGCGAGAAAACTTCAAGGATCGTTTTTAAAAGATCAAGAGTTGTTTGGAGATTTCAAGGGTTTTTGGAGATTTCAAGGGTTGCTACAACCCCTGGCCACTGTTACAATGTCTGTACATAAATATGTTTGTCTGTGTAAAACCAGTCATTAACAACTAGTACACAAAATGAGCACAATCTCCTGATTTATCTAAAAGGCTATGGCAACAGTTTACTGATCCGAGCAGGAATGTATCCATGGTGGCCCTAGCTATCTGAAGACACATACACGTACCACTAGACAGTGACATGAAACATCTCAGATGACATACACGTACCACTAGATAGTGACATTCACATACCACTAGACAGTGACAGGACACATCTCAGATGACACATACCACTAGACAGTGACATGACACTTCTCAGGTGACATACACATACCAATAGACAGTGACATGACACTTCTCAGGTGACATACACATACCACTAGACAGTGACATGACATTTCTCAGGCGACATACACATACCACTAGACAGTGACATGACACTTCTCAGGTGACATACACATACAACTATACAGTGACATGACACTTCTCAGGTGACATACACATACCACTAGACAGTGACATGACACCTCTCAGGTGACATAACATTAGACAATGACATGACACTTCTCAGGCAACATACACATACCACTAGACAGTGACTTGACACACATCTCAGGCGACATACACCTACCACTAGACAGTGAAATGACATCTCAGGTGACATACACGTACCACTAGACAGTGACATGACACGTCTCAGGTGACATACACGTACCACTAGACAGTGACATGAAACACCTCAGGTGACATACACGTACCACTAGACAGTGACATGACATGTCTCAGGTGACATACACGTATCACTAAACAATGACATGACACTTCTCGGGCGACATACACATACAATTAGACAGTGACATGACACTTCTAAGGTGACATACTCAAATCAATCACTAGACTGACACGACACATCTGAGACGACATACACATATCACTAGACAATTACATGACATCTCAGGTCACATTTACGTACCACTAGACAGTGACGTGACACATCACAGGTGACACACACATTCCACTAAACAGTGACACGATGTGTAGAAACACATGTACAGAGAGGAACTTACATCAAGAACCTCCAGGTCATACATGTTGTGAGTGGAGGCGTGTGTATTCTTGGTGTAGGTTTTGAGTCTTTCAAATTCTTCTGATGTGGGATCCACTGGCTGCATAAATATCAACAAATATAAGGCGACACCCTCACAGATGTGCAATATCTGTCTGTCTTAAATATAGATATGTCAAACGTTCCCCCCGCCCCAACAGACACGTTACACTTCCTCTCTCACTCAAATACACATATGTTACACTTTCACTCATCCAGATATCTTTTACTTTCTTAAATACACACATGTAACAATTTCTTTTCCCCCACATAGGGATATGTTACACCTGTCACACACACACATGCTACACTTGTCACACATATTATCTACACTTGTCACACAGACATAATTTACACTTGTCACACGGACATAAGCTACACTTGTCACATTGACATAAGCTACACTTGTCACACAATAAAAAGAAACTCCACAGGGGAGAATGTACAGCAGGAGTCTACCAATCGTCAGCAGAAGTGATCTCTCGACAAATGTTTTAGCCCACGAGCTCCTAGACACTTGTCAGACACACTTATTACAGACATTAGCTACACTTGTCACACATTTGTCACATACACCAGCTACACTTGTCATACACACCAGCTAAATTTGTCATACACACCAGCTACACACATCAGCTACACTCATCACACACATAAGTGACACTTGTCACACACCTGTCACACACACACAGAGACATGCTACACCTGTCTCACATTCACGATACACTTGTCCACGCACACAAACTACACCTGTCTCACATGCTATACTTGTCTCCCAAACAAACATGCTATACCTTTCTTATACTCAAGCTATACTTGTCTCACATGCTATATTTGTCTTCCACACAGACATGCTATATTTGTCTCCCACAGACATGTTATATTTGTCTCCCACACAGACATGCTATATTTGTCTTTCACACAGACATGCTATATGTATCTCCCACACAGACATGCTATATTTGTCTCCCACACAGACATGCTACACCTTTCTTATACTCAAGCTATACTTGTCTCACATGCTATATTTGTCTCCCACACAGACATGCTATATTTGTCTCCCACACAGACATGCTACACCTGTCTCACACTCAAGCTACACTTGTTTCACTCACACTACACTTGTCTCACACACACGCTAACCTGTCAGACACACAAGCTACACCTGTCTCACATGCTATACTTGTCTCCCACACAAACATGCTATACCTTTCTTATACTCAAGCTATACTTGTCTCACATGCTATATTTGTCTTCCACACAGACATGCTATATTTGTCTCCCACAGACATGTTATATTTGTCTCCCACACAGACATGCTATATTTGTCTTTCACACAGACATGCTAGTATCTCCCACACAGACATGCTATATTTGTCTCCCACACAGACATGCTACACCTTTCTTATACTCAAGCTATACTTGTCTCACATGCTATATTTGTCTCCCACACAGACATGCTATATTTGTCTCCCACACAGACATGCTACACCTGTCTCACACTCAAGCTACACTTGTTTCACTCACACTACACTTGTCTCACACACACGCTAACCTGTCAGACACACATACGCTACACCTGTCACACACGCTACACTTGTCGCACACACACTACATCTGTCTCACACTCACGCAACACTTTCTCTCACACACACACACAGACAAGCTCACCTGTCACACACATGTGATACATATGTAAAGAAGACACAGCCTACCTCAAGTTGACATCTGAGTTTCTTATAGTGAGCTGTGATTGGATCTTCATCACCATCATCACCTTTGAGAAGTGAGTAAGCCACCTCAATCTCCAACAAGTTGTCCAACATGTCAGTCTTTTGCTACAATCACCAACATTTCAAATACACATCTCTATATGTAACTACATAATAAACACAGATTTTACTGATAGTTAACAATCATTTCAATAAATAAATATAGCTACTACATCATTAATCATTCACACTATTTAATGTATTACCGAAATCAGTTTTATGTAACGTATAACACCCTTAACCTCCCCTCCCTCATGCAACGTATACTTCCCTTCCAATGACAACATTTGTAATGTAAAACTCATTTCCCACATCAACATGTTATGTAGAATTCCCTTCCAACATAACATATGTTACGCAAAACTCCCTCTCACATTAAAACATTATAAAATATACCCTTCCCATATCAACCTGTTATATAAAACTCCCTTTCTACATCAAAATATGTTTTGTAAAACTCCCTTCCCACAACACCTATGTTATGTAAAACCCCTTCCCATATCAACGTCTGTTATATAAAACTCCCTGTCTACATCAAAATATGTTTTGTAAAACTCCTTCCCCACAACACCTATGTTATGTAAAACCCATTTCCATATCAACCTATGTTATTTAAAACTCCCTTTCTACATCAAAATATGTTTTGTAAAACTCCCTTCCCACAACACCTTTGTTATTTAAAACCCTCTTCCCATATCAACCTATGTTATGTAAAACCCTCTTCCCATATCAACCTATGTTATGTAAAACCCCCTTCCCATATCAACCTATGTTATGTAAAACCCTCTTCCCATATCAACCTATGTTATTTAAAACTCCCTTCCCACAACACCTATGTTTTGTAAAACTCCCTTCCCACAACACCTTTGTTATGTAAAACCCCCTTCCCATATCAACCTATGTTACATTAAAATCACTTTCTACATCAAAATATGTTTTGTAAAACTCCCTTCCCACAACACCTATGTTATGTAAAACCCCTTTCCCACAACACCTATGTTATGTAAAACTCCCTTCCCTCATCAGCCTATGTTATGTGAAACTCCCTTCCAACAACACCTATGTTATGTAAAACTTCCTTCCCTTATCAACCTATGTTATGTAAAACTTCCTTCCCACAACACCTATGTTATGTAATACTTCCTTCCCTTATCAACCTATGTTATGTAAAACTTCCTTTCCTTATCAACCTATGTTATGTAAAACTTCCTTCCCACAACACCTATGTTATGTAAAACTTCCTTCCCACAACACCTATGTTATGTAAAACTTCCTTCCCACAACACCTATGTTATGTAAAACTTCCTTCCCACAACACCTATGTTATGTAAAACTTCCTTCCCTTATCAACCTATGTCATGTAAAACTTCCTTCCCTTATCAACCTATGTTATGTAAAACTTCCTTCCCACATCACCTATGTTATGTAAAACTTCTTTCCCTTATCAACCTATGTTATGTAAATCTTCCTTCCCACATCACCTGTGTAATGTAAAGCTTCCTTCCCACAACACCTATGTTATGTAAAACTTCCTTCCCACAACACCTGTGTTATGTAAAACTTCCTTCCCACAACACCTATGTTATGTAAAACTTCCTTCCCACAACACCTATGTTATGTAAAACTTCCTTCCCACAACACCTATGTTATGTAAAACTTCCTTCCCTTATCAACCTATGTTATGTAAAACTTCTTTCCCTTATCAACCTATGTTATGTAAAACTTCCTTCCCACATCACCTATATAATGTATATGGACAATGGACAAAGTGTCAGCAGTCTCCTCACATTCTTTTCTACAGGGTTTGGTCCTTTCAGGAACCTAGTATACTCTGGGGATTCTGACTCTTAGTCATACACAGACTAGACTAGACTAGACTAGACTGGATACAGAATGAAAACGTGCATCATACTTGGCTGCAGAAAGAATATGGCATGTAAGGATATGCGATACATTCCTTGATCTTCTAGCCATGGATGTAAGAATAACAATTAGCCGTGCACGTGCAGATCTGCAAGTCAGTGCCGACGCACTTCACCCTATGCACAGTGAGAATCACAACAAGAATTGTAGCAGGTTAGAGAGAGGAAAATCTTGGATAGGTCAGTCAGGCTGAGGACATACAAGGTCTGACAATCAAGTAATGAGACTGATTTTTTTTATTGCTAAGACAAAAATGCCATCTATGAATCAAAGCATGAAATTCAAAGAGGCAACCTTCGTCTATGTTCTGGCAACTTTTCGCCGCCGCCCCCTCCCATCCCCCCGATAAGCAAACAACAAACAAGCCACCATTTTGTTAACTTAGTTAGAAGTGCATTGTTACGTAATCCGTATAGAGCAAAAAAAAAGCTAAAATTAAATTATGTTTAACCCACTGACTACCAGCGTCGCACGTAATGCGACGAGGCGACGTTTACTCCCTGTTGCCAACGTCACACTCCTTGCGATTTTAGCTTTGGATGCTTGCCGTCATGTTAAAATCGCGATTGTTGTGATGAATTTAGTTGCAGCCTTTAGCTTGTCCACTTCTCTATGATTAATTAAGGGAAATAACTTCGTAGTGCTCAAGGTACAAATTTGACGAATTTTCTTAGTTAGCTCCCGTGTCAGTAAGACTGACAAAATTTTCATGATGGCGTCAAATTCTCGGAACACTCGTGGTGGTCGTATTGCGGCAGTTTCTGATACTGATAGTTCTTGTGAGAGTATTCAGTCAGAGCCCATAGATTATGAAGATTTTGTGCCTGAGTCTGCACATGAGGAAGATATAATTGCCACTTTTGATTCAGAATCATCATCATCTGACGAGTCTGGGGAAGATTTGCCACGCCCACCACTGGTTGACGACTGGCAGTTTGATTTGGAAGGTTTTCCTGAAGTACCCCGATTTACTGGCACTTCAGGTTTATTTCTGCCAGAAGGAACAAATGAACCACTGGATATTTTCTTCAGTAAAGAAATTCTTGCTGTGTTTGCGAAAGAAACAAATCGTTATGCTGAGGCAAAGATCGGTGTAAAACCAGACAGCTGTTTTGCCAAGAACTGGAAACACACAACCCCAAATGAAGTGAGAGGGTTTCTTGTACTGTTGCTTCATATGAGTGTTGTAAAAAAGCCTTCTATTTCAGACTACTGGAGCATACATCCATTTATCCACTCACCATTTGCTGCCACCATCATGTCACGGAGGCGTTTTCAGCTCCTCCTATCTGCATTTCATATTGCAAATAATGCTTTTCAGCTGCCTGTTACAGATCCTCACCATGATCCATTACATAAAATATGATTTTTTTATGAACACTTGAGAAAGTTGTTCAAATCATTGTGCACTCCAACTAAAAAAATATGTATTGATGAAGCCATGTGCCCATGGAGAGGACGTCTTCGCTTCAAGGTGTACATGAAGGATAAACCCAACCCATGGGGTATAATAAAGATGTATGAACTGTGTGAATCAAGCTCTTCATATGTGTTTGACTTTGAAATTTATGCCAATGTGCCTGGTCTTAGCAATAAGCCAGTGGATGTTTGTATGAGGCTCCTGCAACCACTTCTAAATCAAGGTTACTAGTGCTACATGGATAATTATTATTCATGCCCTGAGCTGTCACATCGACTACTGCAGAATGGAACTATGTCAGTTGGAACTGTTCGTAGCAACAGAAAAGGTATGCCTAAGGATTTAGCAGCTCAGAAACTAAGTCCAGGAGAGACGTCATTTAGAAGGCAGAGAAACCTAGCTGTACTGAAGTGGAAAGATAGACGAGAAGTCAGTCTGATCACCCATCAGTCCACAATCCTTCCACAATGATTGAAGTTCAGACTAGAACTGGAAGGCAGATACAACCTGAAGCCATCAATGATTATTCCCATACTATGTCAGGAGTTGACATCAATGACCAGTTGCTGGCTTATGTCCCTCTTACACGTCGTTCTTTGAAATGGTGGCGGAAATTATTTTGTCATTTGTTTACTCTTACTGTTATTCAGAGTCACATACTGCATCAGAAACTATTAGTGAAAAATGGAAAGCAACCTCTGAAGTTGCAGAATTTTATTTCACAGCTGGGGAGAGCTTTTACCTTGGATTATTTCAGCAAAAAGAGAGCAGCAACACCTTGTACTCCAAAAAAAAGTGTAGTGTCCTTGAAGCGTCTGACAGACAGACACTTTGCTTCTCCACTTTCACCAACAGCTTCAAACTCAAAACCCAGAAGAAGGTGCACAGTATGTGTACAGAAAGATAAATGTATTAATCCAGGGGAAAAAAGGCCACAAAGGGACCATGACAAGTTACTGGTGCAGGGAATGTCAGGTGCCACTTTGTATTGAACAATGCTTTGAACTGTACCATACCACTGATAAATTTTGACTGTAATATTTGACAAATGTCAGTTTTATATATCTTCATCTGTTTTGTTGCATTGATATTCAATTGCACCCTGTATTATAACAACTTTTTTCCTTGAAATTTGTTCTTCTTTCAATTCGGTGCAAATAATATCAGATAGTATGAGTGATTTTGAACAGTTGATAAGCTGTGACATATTTTTAGGTCTGTATTGTCAGATAAAGGATTTTTCAGTTGCTTTTTTTGCAACAATCTACAGCCACATGATGATGATTATTCAGACAAAATAAACCCCATTTTTGTTCTTCAAATGTGTTCTCGGTTCAATTTTGTGTAAAATTACAACAATATAATAAATGTTTGTTGAAAATTTTTGAAAATATAACGTTTTTATTGGTCTATGTTGTTGTCAGATAAAAGATTTTTCAGTTGCCTTTTTTGCACCAATCTACAGCCATATGATGATGATGCAAAACAGAATATACGTTTTTTCCTTGAAATTTGTTCTTCATTCAATTCGGTGCAAAAATACAAAATATTGTGAGATTATGTCAAATAGTTGTGAAGCTATGGCATTTTTAGTACACACTAAAATACGTGGTATCTGGGGAAATGCAAGGGTTAATGGGCTTGGTAGTCAGTGGGTTAAAACTCAGAAAAAGCGCCACTGGGATAGTTGAATTGATGCGACAAGTTTATGGGGATAATTGTTTATCTCGTGCACAGATTTTCAGCTGGTATTCATGATTCAAAAGTGGTGTGGAAATGATTACTAATGCACCTAGACCTGGACGCCAAATTTCTGTTCATAATGAAAAACTCATTTCAAATTTCCTAGAAAGGATACAAGAAGATCGTTGTTCGACTGTGAGGATGATGGTAAATAAATTGGGTGTTAATACCAAGACTTTTCGTACAATTTTAGTGAAAGATTTGTATTCAACACCTGGCAATTTGTTTCTTCTTCGTGACAATGCACCAGCTCAAAGGGCGGCAGTTGTACAGGAATTTCTGGCCCAAAAACAGATGCGTATTCTTAACCATCCATTCCCCAGATTTGTCTCCCTGTGATTATTTTCTATTCCCCAAATTAATGTTGCCATTGAAAGGATGAGTCTTTGACAATATTGATGGCATCCGTAACATTGACTTTCAGGGCCCTAACTTTAGAAGAACTTCAGTGGTCATTCCAGTGTTTGTTAGATCATGCCACTTGCTGTATCACAATGCACAAGGAGTTTACTTTAAATCAAATACAGGTTATATCTTCAACTGTTGATTATTTGAATTGTTATGGAATTAGTCTCATTACTAAATTGTTGGAGCTTGTAATTCACGGGTTTGTTCAATTGAGGACATAGAACCTGGTGGGGAGTGGGCATAAGTGCCAGCAGAGTTCTGTACATCCCTTTCGATCTGCACAAACTGAGATAGAGACTGCAGACAACAAAACCTGTTGGTGATAGAGGTGACATTCAAGCCTTGATTCCTGAGAACTCTACTTATGTAGGTGGAGTTATTGACACCAATGAATCCATCATTAGAAATCTGCACAGTTCATGGGACTTCACGGTTTATGTTGTAGGCAGAAACTGACCAGACATACACAGACTCACTTTGATGATCTCTGCGGTGTCCAGGAGAACTGGTTTCTTCAAACCAAAGTCGTGTGGAACAGCTGTGTAGAATCTGTTAGTGGCATCTACTATTTGACTCTGGCTGCCTTTGTTGTCTATCAGCTGTAGACAAACATATCAACTGTAGACATTAGATATGTCAACTGTACAGATCAGATATTCAGACTGTACAAATATAGATATCAGATGTACAAACTGTACAGCTGTAGATATCGATATACAAACTGTACAGCTGTAGATATCAGATAAACAAGCTGTACAGCTGTAGATATCAGATATACAAATTGTACAGCTGTAGATATCAGATAAACAAACTGTACAGCTGTAGATATCAGATATACAAACAGTACAGCTGTAGATATCAGATATACAAACTGTACAGCTGTAGATATCAGATATACAAACTAGATATCAAGATAAACAAACTGTAGATATCAGATATACAAACTATAGATATCAGATAAACAAACCGTACAACTGTAGATTTCGGATACACAAACTGTCACACAACACACTTGGTACATGTCCAAAAACTGTCACATAAAACATTTGGTACACTGTCTCCAGGTAGATTTAAAAAAACTGGCACAGAACACATTTGGTACACTGTCTCTGGACAGGTACAAAAACTGTCACAGAACACATTTGGTACACTGTCTCTGGACAGGTACAAAAACTGTCACAGAACACATTTGGTACACTGTCTCTGGACAGGTACAAAAACTGTCACAGAACACATTTGGTACTGGTACTGACCTGCTGCAGCTCTGACAGCATAGAGTAAGCTGACTGGATCTGTCGCTTCGATAGTTTCCCTAGTGGCATCTTCTGCATGTCGATCTGTGGAGAAATGACACTCTTTAATGTCTTTCTCTTTCATGTCAATGTGTGGAGATGTCTTCTAACAGTCTGTCTTCTCCATGTCAATGTGTGGAGAGGTCTTCTAACAGTCTGTCTTCTCCATGCCCATGTGTGGAGAAATGACACTCTTTACTGTCTTTCTCTTTCCTGTCAATGTGTGGAGAAATGACACTTTACTGTCTTTCTCCTTCATGTCAATGTGTGGATACGTCTTCTAACAGTTTCTCCATGTCAATGTGTGGAGAAATGACACTCTTTACTGTCTTTCTCTTTCATGTCAATGTGTGGAGACGTCTTCTAACAGTTTCTCCATGTCAATGTGTGGAGAAATGACACTCTTTACTGTCTTCCTCTTTCATGTCAATGTGTGGAGACGTCTTCTAACAGTCTGTCTTCTCCATGTCAATGTGTGGAGAAATGGCAATCTTTACTGTCTTTCTCTTTCATGTCAATGTGTGGAGACGTCTTCTAACAGTTTCTCCATGTCAATGTGTGGAGAAATGACACTCTTTACTGTCTTCCTCTTTCATGTCAATGTGTGGAGACGTCTTCTAACAGTCGGTCTTCTCCATGTCAATGTGTGGAGAAATGGCAATCTTTACTGTCTTTCTCTTTCATGTCAATGTGTGGAGACATCTTCTAACAGTCTGTCTTCTCCATGCCAATGTGTGGAGAAATGACAATCTTTACTGTCTTTCTCTTTCATGTCAATGTGTGGAGACGTCTTCTAACAGTCTGTCTTCTCCATGTCAATGTGTGGAGAAATTACACTCTTTACTGTCTTTCTCTTTAATGTCAGTGTGTGAAGAAATGACACTTTTTACTGTCTTTCTCTTTCATATCAATGTGTGGAGTCATAACAGTCTGTCTTCTCCAAGTCAATGTGTGGAGAAATGACAATCTTTACTGTCTTTCTCTTTCATATCAATGTGTGGAGACGTCTTCTAACAGTTTCTCCATGTCAATGTGTGGAGAAATGACACTCTTTACTGTCTTCCTCTTTCATGTCAATGTGTGATGACGTCTTCTAACAGTCTGTCTTCTCCATGTCAATGTGTGGAGAAATTACACACTTTACTGTCTTTTTCTTTCATGTCAATGTGTGGAGAAATGACACTCTTTACTGTCTTTCTCTTTCATGTCAATGTGTGGAGACGTCTTCTAACAGTCTGTCTTCTCCATGTCAATGTGTGGAGAAATGACAATCTTTACTGTCTTTCTCTTTCATGTCAATGTGTGGAGACGTCTTCTAACAGTCTGTCTTCTCCATGCCAATGTGTGGAGAAATGACAATCTTTACTGTCTTTCTCTTTCAAACTCAGATGTGTGGAGACGACTTCCAGTCTGTCAAACTCCAGACATGTGTGGAGAAAGAGACTCTTTACCTCAAACTAATGACAGTGTGTGGAGAAATGACACTTTTTACTGTAAAGAGACTCTTTCTCAAACTGTGACAGTCATAACAGTCTGTCTTCTCCAAGTCAATGTGTGGAGAAATGACAATCTTTACTGTCTTTCTCTTTCATATCAATGTGTGGAGACCCACCTCTAACAGTAAAGAGACCCACCTCAAACTACATGTGACAGTAAAGACACCCACCTCAAACTACAGACAGTCAAAGAGACCCACCTCAAACTACAGACAGTAAAGAGACCCTTCTCAACTCCAGACAGTAAAGAGACCCACCTCAAACAGACAGTAAAGAGACCCACCTCAATGTGTACAGACAGTACAATCTTTACCCACCTCTTTCATAGACAGTAAAGAGACCCACCTCAAACTATAGACAGTCAAAGTGGACCCACCTCAAACTACAGACAGTAAAGAGACCCACCTTCAACTACAGACAGTAAAGAGAAATGACACTTTTTACTGTCTTTCTCTTTCATATCAATGTGTGGAGTAAAGAGACATAACAGACTGTCTTCTCCATGACCCACCTCAAAGAGACAGTAAAGAGACCCACCTCAAACTACAGACAGTAAAGAGACCCACCTCAAACTACAGACAGTAAAGAGACCTACCTCAAACTACAGACAGTAAAGAGACCCTTCTCAAACTCCAGACAGTAAAGAGACCCACCTCAAACTATAGACAGTAAAGAGACCCAACTTGAACTCCAGACCTTAAAGAGACCCACCTCAAACTATAGACAGTAAAGAGACCTATCTCAAACTCTAGACAGTAAAGAGACCCACCTCAAACTACAGACAGTAAGGAGACCTATCTCAAACTCTAGACAGTAAAGAGACCCAACTCAAACTACAGACAGTAAAGAGACCTATCTCAAACTCTAGACAGTAAAGAGACCCACCTAGAACTCCAGACAGTAAAGAGACCCACCTCAAACTCCATCATGGCCTTTTTCATGCTGTCCACATCAAAGATCAAACAGATCAGATCCTGAATGCTCCTGGCCAGCTTGGATTTGGATGTTGCCAGGTCCAGTTTTTTAATGTCATCATCTGCCTGTGAAAGGAGACCCAGTGAATGAAGGGGGACAGAACAGTGTTGTGTGTGTGGGGTGTGTAAAGGAATACAGAACAATGTGTGAGTGTGTAAATGGGAAAGTGTGTGTGTGTGTGTGTGTTGGGGGGGGGGGAGGTGGGAAGGGAGACAGAACAATGTGTGTGAGTGTGTAAATAGGAAAGTGTGTGTGTGTGGTATATGTGTGTGGGGGGGGTGGGGGGGTGTGAAGGGAGACAGAACAATGTGTGTGTGTGTGTAAGTGGGAAACAGTGTGTGTGTGTGTGTGTGTGTGTGTGTAGGGAGGGGGGGGTGAAGGGAGACAGAACAATATTATTTATATATTTATATATATATATATATATATATATATATATATATATATATATATATATATATATATAATATATATATATATATATATATATATAATATATATATATATATAAATAAATTATATATATATAAATTAAAATATTATATTACATATAAATTTATATATATTTAAATTAAAATATTATATATATTTAAAAAAAATTACGGCCTTAAGGTTTACCCCTTCTGTTTATTTATCTGTCTAGTTGATAAGTTCGTTGGTTCTTCTAGTCTGCTATTAGTCTGTCCTTTGATATGTTGTACCGATAGAAACCCACAGAAAGAAGTAGAGAGATAGAAGGACATACTAGACAACATAAAAATAAAAAACTACAGTTACCATGCCGGAAGTCAAACCTGTCACCTCCAAACGGCATGTGGGCCTTGCTACGGAAACAAGTGTACTAAGAGTATGACCAACTAGGAACCCTAAAAAAGCTGTCTTCATTGGCCACGTCTATCGTACAGCCTGAAATCCACAACGGAATATGGACAGAATTCATCTCAAACCATTGAAATGCCACCATTGGTAATAGAAATTTATATTAACCAAGCGTAGGTTGAATAACAAACACAACTACAAACATATCAGACTGTAACGTTGTGTCTAGAATACAACAATCAATGAAACATCAGACAACAACTGACGGGGCCATAGTCAATTTCCAGAGGGTAGAACTTGCTAGGCATCTTCTGGAAGTTCTTCCTGTTCTCCCAAGTGTTGCCAGTCTTGTCTCGGTACAGATCCCTGAAACTCTGCACAGCTGCGTTGTAGGAGCCACACTTCTCCACTTTATTTCCTCCAATTGTTGTTCCAACTCTGCCCCAGGACCGGAAGATCCACCAGCTGTAAACAGAAAGAAGAAGACCTTAAAATGCCTGCAGTAGAGAAAGAGAAACTGAGAGAGAGAGAGAGAGACAGAGCGAATGAAAAAACTTTATTTTCAAAGGGTCACAAATTAGGCACACAGGCCTGTCTTCCATTTGGTCCTTCCAAACACCCAACTTTCACACGGCAGTTGTACTTTTATCAATAAAGCACGTTATGTTCATAAAATAACATAGATATTATGAATATCCAGCAACAATCCAAAAGCACGGGTGGTTCAATGCATGTGCACACTCACGCGCACCTATACATAGATATGTATGTACGTACATACATACGCACACACACACACACACAAAGATACACACTGACAGGCACAACACTCACACAGAAACACACATAGACACAGACACACGCATAGACACAAACACATACACATGCAGACTTTATAAAATAGACACACACACAGATACACACAAAAGCCATACATATCCAAAGACATAAATGCAGCCATACACACACAGACATGCACACATACACATACAGACACACCCACAGACATACACACAAACTTATACAATTACCCATACATACACTTATACATACCCAGAATCCTACTTACACAAACACATGCATACATTACATGCATACATACATATCATATACACCTTTTTTTTTAAAATTATTAATTGATAATGCAATATGGATTATTAACTGCATTTAAGGTGGCATATAATCACTAGTATTTATGAAATTAAAAAAAGTTTGCGGTTAAATGAGTACGGACTATTTGTAGTTTTCAGATTGAGTGGAAGATGGTTACATAATTGAGCAGCAGAATATGCTAAACTTTTTTTAAAACATCTAGGTTTAGGCAAATTTAATTTGATTTGACTGAATCAATAAGAAAATATAATTTTGAGTATTTTGAGATAGGGTTTGGTGAATGATTTTGGCATTCTTAAAAAATAAGACCACATAAACCTACTACACGACAGTTGCCTCAAGCATCATATGAAGATCAATACTGAAAAGACAGAAGTCATGAGCATAAGTAGAGAGCAACAGACCATCGACATAAAGATTCTAGATCACAGCCTAAAACAAGTGCAAGAATTTAAATACTTGGGAAGTATCTTTACATCAATGGTAAAATAGACAGAGAGATCGAAGCAAGAATCCAACAAGCCAACAATGTCGCATACCAGCTTGCCCCAATTTTAAAACACCCTGCTGTCCCAGCTGATTTAAAAAGACAAATTATAAATACAATCTTTATACCGACATTAGGTTATCAATGTCAGACTTGGACATTAACAAAAGAACACGAGAGAAGACTAACCACCTGTGAAATGAGATGTTTGAGAATGGCTGCGAATAAAACCAGAAGAGATCGAGTTAGAAACGATGTGATTACAAGAACTATTGGAACCATACCCATCGTTAAATTTTTTGAGAAGCAAAGAATGAAATGGTTTGGTCACCTAATGAGAATGGAACCAACGATGCCAGCATCAAGAGCATACAACATGAAAATCAAAACACCAAGAGGCAGGGGAAGACCAAGAAGAAGATGGATTGAAGGAGTCACGGACAACTTGAGACTTCATAACATCACGTCATTTGAAGCGATTGAGCGCGCCCTGGCTAGGTTGCCGATCATCTGATAGACTACCACGCCTAGCGGCACAAGCAGATTTTGACAAAAGAAGAAGAAGAAAAAATAAATAAGTCTTAATGTCCATATAATAGATTTTTCTCAACTTAGTTTCTAGCAAAGACTTGATGTAGGGCCCTATTTTGTAGAGAACTCAGTTGTTTGAAATATGATTTTGAGCAACCATCCCAAATTTTGGAACAATAGTTATATATATGCATTTGGATTTAGAATAGGTAAAATATTTTACCTGTATTTTTGTCCAGAAAGTGCTGAATTTTGCCAAGTTGATACTTTTTGTGCTACTTTTTTGGTCTTGGCATAAACATGGCAACTCTAAGTTAAATGGCTGACAATTAAATCACCTAATGTTTTTTGTTTAACAACATTAACAATAGGCAATTTGTCAACAAAGAAACAAAGAACTCAAGTGGTGGCTTGTGTAGAGGTAATGTTTATAGCTTTTGCCTAGATGTTATTACCATGGACTTAGTTTTGTTTATGTTAATTTGCTTGCGAATACCATTTTTAAATTTTATAAGATTATCTATTTCTTTCTGTAAAGAGCGTTCTAACTTATTCCAATTGTCATACCTAGTATATATTGTATAGTAGTCAGAAATCAGGTCACATGTTTACTGAAATTTAATAGAAGTCATTAATATAAGTGGCAAAAAGTAGTGGGCCTAATACTGACCTCTGAGGAACGCCTATATTTAACTGTGTGGGTTTTGAAAAACAGTTACTGAGGGAAACTACCTGCTGCCTATCAGACAAAAATGACTTTATTAATGTCACTAAATTATCGTTAGTTTTTAAGATCTTTAGTTTACTGATTAAATTATTGTGAGCAACCATGTCAAAGGCTGTCCTGTAGTCAACAAATACCGCACCGCAAATGTTGCCATTGTTGATGTAAAAGCGCCAGTTGTCTGTCATTTGTGTCAATGCGGTGGGACAAGAGTGTTTAGGTCTGAACCCTGACTGGCTATCAAGTATCTGTTGTTATTAAAATGCTGATACGTTATTTTATGTATGTGTTTCTCTAATGGTTTAGATAGTGAGAATAGTAGAGAAATGGGTCTATAGTTGCCCAGAGAATTGTTGTCAGCTGAATCAGATTTAAGCAGAGGATAAACCTAAGCAATTTAAAAAATACTGATGGAAAGTAGTTCTTGGCAAGGCACTGATTATATATGAACGTTAAGGAATCACTAATGACTGGTGCAGCACATCGAAGGATTCGATTACTGATTCCATCCAAGCCAGAGAAGTTTGTCTGCTTAAAGTTGGAGAGATAATTATAAACTTCAGCAACAGACACAAGGGGAATCTTAAGAGGAATAATCAAAGAGCATTTTTCCTCAAAGAATGATGCTGAAAGAAAGACACACACATTCAGAGAGGGGCGAGGGAGAGTGAGAAAGACCTTGAAATGTCAGCTGTAGAGGAGAGGGAGGGGAGAGAGACAGAAAACAGATCTTGAAATGTCAGCTGTAGAGGGGAGGGAGGGAAGAGAGACAGAAAAACAGATCTTGAAATGTCAGCTGTAGAGGGGAGGGAGGGGGAGAGAGACAGAAAAACAGACCTTGAAATGTCAGCTGTAGAGGGGAGGGAGGGGGAGAGAGACAGAAAAACAGACCTTGAAATAGCTGTAGCTGGAGGGGGGGAGGAGCTGTAGAGGGGAGGGAGGGGGAGAGAGACAGAAAAACAGACCTTGAAATAGCTGTAGAGGGGAGGAAGAGGGAGAGAGACAGAAAAATAGACCTTGAAATGCCAGCTGTAGAGATAGAAACAGACCTGGAAATGCCAGCTTTAGAGAGAGAAGAAACAGATCTTGAAATTCCAGCTGTAGAGAGAGAGAAGAAACAGATCTTGAAATTCCACCTGTAAAGAGAGAAGAAACAGATCTTGAAATGCCAGCTTTAGAGAGAGAAGAAACAGATCTTGAAATGCCAGCTTTAGAGAGAGAAGAAACAGATCTTGAAATTCCAGCTGTAGAGAGAGAAGAAACAGATCTTGAAATGCCAGCTGTAGAGAGAGAAGAAACAGATCTTGAAATTCCAGCTGTAGAGAGAGAAGAAATAGATCTTGAAATGTCAGCTGTTAAGAAAGAGAGAAAAAAAAAAAATTGAAAAGCCAGCTGCAAAAACAGCTGCACACAAAAATGGCATCGCAAATCAGAAAGAAATCCACTCTAGGCCACGCTTCAAAAACTAAAATACTTCGCTTCCTTAATTCAAGTTTGTCAACAAAACATGCTTCAGAGAGAAGATTCATCTTTGCCAGCTAGAGAACAAAACAGATTTTCAAATTCCAAATGTAGAGAGAGAGAGAGCAGAAACAAAACAAACTTAGAGTGTCTACATTGGAAATGTCAGCTTAAGCAGAAAACATGTGTTGAACTGTAGAGACCAATTCTCTTGAATGTCACACCTAAAGAAGCAGTATCTAAAAAAAACACCTTGAAAAACACTGCAAAACAAGCTGCACAGGATCAATGCAATTCAGAAAGAAAACTAGATGAAACTTTTAGAGAGAACATGTCACAGCAATCATGGTCATATATTGGCATTTGTGGGGCCGTGTCATAAGTGGGAGGCATTAGATTTAGTCTTCTTGGGGAAACGTGATTAAAACACTGACAAATGACCAGCCCCATGGCTTGCTGCCATATTCACAGGGCTCATTTCCCACTGAATCATCTGTGTCTCAACTGTCTCTGAGTGACATCAGTTTGATTAGAGAACATTCAGGCAGGCAGATATACAGATGAAGACATGAGGACAGACTAATACAGGCAGGCAGATATACAGATGAAGACATTGAGAGAGACATACATACAGGCAGGCAGATATACAGATGAAGACATTGAGAGAGAGAGAGAGAGACATACATACAGGCAGGCAGATATATACAGATGAAGACATTGAGAGAGAGAGAGAGACATACATACAGGCAGGCAGATATACAGATGAAGACATTGAGAGAGACATACATACAGGCAGGCAGATATACAGATGAAGACATTTGAGAGAGACATACATACAGGCAGGCAGATATACAGATGAAGACATTGAGAGAGAGAGAGAGACATACATACAGGCAGGCAGATATACAGATGAAGACATTGAGAGAGAGACATACATACAGGCAGGCAGATATACAGATGAAGACATTGAGAGAGAGACATACATACAGGCAGGCAGATATACAGATGAAGACATTGAGAGAGAGACATACATACAGGCAGGCAGATATACAGATGAAGACATTGAGAGAGAGACATACATACAGGCAGGCAGATATACAGATGAAGACATTGAGCCGACAAGTGTAACTATAGCAAGGAAAGCCCACCTCATCTTGGTGTCGCTCTCCAGGGCCTGCAGCTTGTAGAAAGAATTGGTTCCTCTAGCAATATCCACCAGACCCAGCACGGCTGTCAAAGGCTCCCCGTGGTTCAGCAGAACATGAGCTTTCTCAGCCAGACCTGACACAGAACTCAGTTATCACACACTGACACAGAACTCAGTTATCACACACTGACACAGAACTCAGTTATCACACACTGACACAGAACTCAGTTATCACACACTGACACAGAACTCAGTTATCACACACTGACACAGAACTCAGTTATCACACACTGACAACAACTATCACCTGATACAATCAGACTAAACACATAGACAATAGACCAAACAACACACAAACAACAGAGACCAATCAAACAACAGGCCACAGAAACACACAAGAGAAACCAAACAAATAACACACAGACAACAGGCCAGATAAATAACACACAGACAACGGGCCAGATAACACGTGGACTACAAACAATTGAGACCAAACAAACAACACACAGACAACAGACGAAACAACAGAGACCAAACAAATACACAGACAACAGGAGAAATAAACACACAAGAGAAACCAAACAAATAACACACAGACAATAGGCCAGATAAACAACACACGGACAACAGCCCAAACAACATACAGACAATAGGCTAGATAAACAACACATGGACAATAGACCAAACAACAGAGACCCAACAAACAACACCCACAACTATCACCTGATACAATTAGACTAAACACACGGACAATAGATCATAACACACAAACAACAGAGACCAATCAAACAACACACAGACAACAGGCAAACAAAAAAGAAACACTCACAAACAACAGAGACCAAACAAAATACAGCAACAGGCCAGATAAACAACACATAAACAACAGAGACCAAACAAACAACAGACAGACAACACACCAGATAAACAACACACCGACAATAGAGACCAGACGAACAACACACAGAGAAGAGACCAGACATACTACAAACACCATACATACTACAGACTAAATAAACAACACACGGATAACAGATCAGACAAACAACACACAGGCAATTATGATCTGACACAGTCAGACTATACAATACATAGATAACAGAACATACCAGACAAACAGCAGACAGATAACAACAAACCAGTCAAAGATAACACAGACCACAACTATGACCTGAGACAAACAAACACAGAACAGACTAAAAATATATATGACCTGACATAAACAGACCAAACAACAGAGAAGATAAAGAGAGAGCAGTCAACAAGAAAGGGAAGGGCAGGGGGTGAGCTGCATGTGATAAAAATAAGGATAAGACATCTTAGTGCCAGCTGGTTGAGGTCCTCTACTCCACAGTGAGATAAAGAGAGAGCAGTCAACAAGAAAGGGAAGGGCAGGGGGTGAGCTACATGTGATAAAAATAAGGATAAGACATCTTAGTGCCAGCTGGTTGAGGTCCTCTACTCCACAGTGAGATAAACAGCAGAAGAAGATCTCATACAATAAACAGAATTGTGTTACTAATGCGGCCTAAAACAATAAACAAGGAAAAGGTACAGGGAGAAAAGAAAGATTACCCTATCTATCTTAATTTGCACCTCAAACCAGTGTTTGTGTGGGCCCCATTTTGGGAAAGAAGAAAAAAAGAACCCCCCCCCCCCCCCCCTCACGTGATTAACTAAAGTGCTAAGTTAGAGTTTTTCTGCCTGAAAGATGGGAAACCAACAGTCTAGATAAAAATAAGCCAGGTCCATAAAATGGATGTGTACGCAAAACTAAAGCCCTGGAACAAGGCTATAAAGTCAAGGAGTGGACGAACAACCAAAACAGTCTGCCGAGGCTTACAGCCCGTGTATACTAAAATGTAGAAGAAACCAGTGTGATGTTTAAGCAGCTAGGCTAACAGCTGCTGGTTGTTTGTGGCCTAGTGTTTCCATTCTGTAGAACAAACGCACTGGTGGCAGCACATTTCTCATGATGTTGAACAGCAGTAAAAGTGCTATGTAGTCTGGGAAACAAGTATGCTGTACTTTGTTCTCCACATTCTCTAGAAACAGTGGACAGTTTGACTGAAGATAGCCGACTGTGTCACTGTTAAGTCAAGCCAGAAAGTCCAGAATTCCTGTCATGCCATTCTCTAGAAACAGTGGACAGTTTGACTGAAGATAGCCGACTGTGTCACTGTTAAGTCAAGCCAGAAAGTCCAGGATTCCTGTCATGTCATTCTCTAGAAACAGTGGACAGTTTGAATGAAGATAGCCGACTGTGTCACTGATAAGTCAAGTCATAAGTCAAACCAGAAAGATGAGTATGCCCTCACAGTAGATGTATGGTGCTAGTCAATTATCAGATGCTACTCTGCACTCAATGGGTGAAGGAACCTTCTGCTAGCCGCCTGCACTACCCAAGAGATTTCCTGGTGCTCATGTGAGGCTGGGTTAAGCTGGCAACCAATCTGATTGGTCTCTTCTTCTTCTTCTCTTCCACCTTTTACCTCATCCAAGTGTCGGGGGGAGATGTAATGTTCATTGATGAGCACTGTCAAGAGCACTATTAAGACTGATGTTCATTTCTGTAAGGCTGTTCTTAATGCCATTACTCCATCTTTTCCGAGGTCTTCCACTCACTCTATACCCGTTGTAATGTTTCAGTGTTTCTAGCTGTAGCAGATACTACCAGGGCATTCTTGTTAGGTGTCCAAACCCCTTCATTTGTTGTTCTTTGATGACCTGTAAGACTAGCTTTCCTTGAAACTCCTGCAGCTCTTCTAAGGCATTTCATCTCTGTTGTCACAATTTTACGTTCATTGGAGGATGTAAGTGTCCACGTTTGGCATTGATAGCATAGTGTTGGACCAAAAATAGTTGTGATAAGATTCACTTTAGTACTCCGATATATCTGTGTGTCAACAGGGGAGATAGTTGACCTGATCTATAATTTTAAGACATCTGATTCAATTCCAGCTGTAGGCGATCTGGCAACAGACCACTCTGTGTTGATTTCTATAATGGTATGGAGAGCTGATGCTTTAGAAGCAAGGGCAAACAGCTGAACGTAAAAATGCCTAGTAATATCACAAACAGGCAAAAAGGTGCCAAAGATGGTTGTGCAAATGCCCTGAAAAAGATAGGCAACTAAGTCAGATCTCAAGCCAAGGACGAGATACAACAAAATATCACCGGAATCTGGGTCAACAGCAGCCCCTCCCTTGACTGTCATCTTGACCATCTTGGGCAGACTCTTGGTGAACTTGGCCTCTGTAGGGTGGACAAACATTGCACCACACATTACAAACATTGCACCACACATTACAAACATTGCACCACACATTACAAATATTGCACCACATATTGCAAACATCTTTCAGTCAGTCAACTTTTTAAAAAAAAAACAGTTAATTGAACAAAGAACATGAAATTAGCTAAACAAAAGACCAGTTAACTAACACAAAAAAAAGCCGGTCATTCAATAAACAAATGAATAGTTAACAGAACAGATAACAGCCAATTATTCAAATAACAAAAGAACAGTAATAAACCTCAAAAACGAGCAAATCAAATAAACAGTAAGCCAACAAAAAGAACAGTCTGTCAGCAAACAAATGAATAGTTAACCAACAAAAAGAACAGTCTGTCAACTAACAAATAAACATTTAACCAACAAAAAGAACAGTCAGTCAACTAACAAATAAATAGTTGACAAACAAAAAGAACAGTCGGTCAACTAACAAATAAACATTTAACCAACAAAAAGAACAGTCTGTCAACTAACAAATAAATAGTTAACCAACAAACAAAAACTGTCAACCAAGAAATAAACATTTAACCAACAAAAAGAACAGTCGGTCAACTAGCAAAAAAACAGTTAACCAACAGAAAGAATATTTAACAGTCAGTCAAGCAACAAATGAACCATTAATCATCCAAGAAATTCATCACTCAACTAAAATACATAGAAACACAGCATGTCTGCTCCGTATCTGTCCTCAGTGTAACCTTGACCCCACTAAGGTCATCAGAGAGCAAGGATCATGTAGGAAACTCCAGTGAAGACGGGCAGTGTCATTACAGCCTGCCTTGTATCTGGCTTCCATGGTCATATTTCTAGTTTATACATTAGTGACTAGTTTCTACATTACAGCCTTCGCTTCCATGGTCATATTTCTATAGTTTCCACATTACAGCCTGCCTTGTATCTGGCTTCCATGGTCATATTTCTATAGTTTCTACATTACAGTCTTGTATCTGTCTTCATGGTCATATTTCTATAGTTTCTACATTACAGTCTTGTATCTGGCTTCCATGGTCATATTTCTATAGTTTCTACATTACATTCTTGCTTCAAAGCTTCCATCCCCATATTTCTACAGTTTCTACATTACAGTCTTGTATCTGTCTTCCATGGTCATATTTCTACAGTTTCTACATTACAGCCTTGTATCTGGCTTCCATGGTCATATTTCTATAGTCTCTACTTTACAGCCTTGTATCTGGCTTCCATGGTCATATTTCTATAGTTTCTACATTACAGCCTTGTATCTGGCTTCCATGGTCATATTTCTATAGTTTCTACATTACAGCCTTGTATCTGGCTTCCATGGTCATATTTCTATAGTTTCTACATTACAGCCTTGTATCTGGCTTCCATGGTCATATTTCTATAGTTTCTACATTACAGTCTTGTATCTGGCTTCCATGGTCATATTTCTATAGTTTCCACATTACAGTCTTGTATCTGGCTTCCATGGTCATATTTCTAGTTTCTACATTACAGCCAGCCTTGTATCTGTCTTCCATGGTCATATTTCTATAGTTTCTACATTACAGCTAGCCTTGTATCTGGCTTCCATGGTCATATTTCTATAGTTTCTACATTACAGCCAGCCTTGTATCTGGCTTCCTAAGTCATATTTCTATAGTTTCTACATTACAGTCTTGTATCTGGCTTCCATGGTCATATTTCTATAGTTTCTACATTACAGCCTTGTATCTGGCTTCCATGGTCATATTTCTATAGTTTCTACATTACAGTCTTGTATCTGGCTTCCATGGTCATATTTCTATAGTTTCTACATTAGTGACTAGTTTCTACATTACAGCCTGGCTTCCATGGTCATATTTCTATAGTATCTACATTAGTGACTAGTTTCTACATTACAGTCTTTTATCTAGTTTGTACATTAATATTTAGACAGCTTCCACATTACAGTCTTGTATCTAGTTTGTACATTAATATTTAGACAGCTTCCACATTACTGTCTGGTTTCCACATTACAGTCTTGTATCTAGTTTGTACATTAATATTTAGACATTAATTCATTCATTCAGTAGCATGTCCCTCGCGGAACCTTGCTGCCATAACAACCCTCCGGAAAACCTTCCTATCCTGAGCAAGATGTCCCGCGTCTGATACACCCATCTGGAGATCATCTGCCACATCCTGCACCCATCTTCTCCTTGGCCTTCCTCTTCCTCTCTTCCCAGGCATATACCCCTCCATTATTGTTCTCTCTAGACTTCCATGACGTTTCAAGTGACCAAAATATTTCAATTTTCTTTGTTTTATTGTCTTTACTAGCCAACCCTCTTCAATATTCAGCTCTTGAAGTATGGATGCATTTGTTCTTTTCTTTACCCAAGATATTCTTAGAACCTGTCTGTAACATTTATATTCAAATGCATTTATGCGCTGTTCCGCTTGTTTAGTAAGTGTCCAGGTCTCACAGGCGTATGTTGCAATGAGAAAGATGCATGCTCTTAAAAATCTGACCTTTGTAATTCTATCTGTACAATTCATAATTTATTCAGTTGTTTTAGTCTTTGAAGAGCAATTGATAGTCGCCATTTAATTTCTTTCATTGTGTCACCATTGTTGGTAACCAGTGACCCAAGATATTCGAAAATTTTCCACCATTTCAATCTTTCCTCATTAACATATATTTCCTTCTCCATGGCAGTTTTGTTTGTACATTATCTTTGTTTTTTGCTATGTTAGAAATAAGTTATGATTTTCACTATTTCTTTGGAGTGAGGTTAATAAGTTTTCTAAACCATTTTGTGATGTTGATAGTAATACTGTATCATCAGCATAACGAATTTCTGGTATTTCATGACCACCGATGTTTAGGGCATCATATTGTTCCTTGTTTGTATCATCTCTTAAATTTCTCATTATATTTTCGGCGTACAGGTTGAACAAATACGGTTGACAGTACACATCCCTGACGGGACTCCTTGCTTGATGCCAAACCAGTCTGATGTCTAATCCATCTATTCTGACTGCTGCTTGTTGGTCTTGATAGAGCATTTTAATGAGCTGCACTATATGTGATGGAAAGCCCATATTCCTCATGATTTCCCAAAGCTTCTAGTTGTACACAGTCAAATGCTTTTGAATAATCCACAAAACATAAGAACAGATTTACATTAAATTCTCTACACTTCTCTATTATTAAACGCATGTTGAATATATGATCTCTGTTCCTCTTCCCTGTCCAAATCCAGCCTGAGCTACATTAATCTCTTCTTCCATCTTATGCATCTCTCATTATAATTTTTAGTAGAATTTTACTTGCATGACTGATCAGGGCAATAGTTCGATAGTTTGTACATAATTTCAGGTCACCCTTTTTTGGTATTGGAATGAAGATAGTTCTCTTCCAGTCTTTTTGGCCAAATACATATTTCCATATCTTTCACATAATGCATGATAGATTTTATGCTTTCTTCTCCTCCCGCTTTAATCAATTCAGCTGGTATCTCATCACATCCAGGTGATTTACCATTTTTCAGCTCCTTTTGCCCATGAAATTTCATCTAAAGAAGGTTCAGGTTCTGCCTCTATGTTATGGTTCATGTATATCATTCATATCATCACTGTCATTCATATCATACATTCCGCTGCAGTATTCCTGCCATATTCCTAGAATTTGTCTAGATTCTGTTAAAGTATTTCCCAACCTGTCACAAATAACATTTAACTGAGGTTGAAAATTTTTTGTCAATAACTTCATTTCCTTGAACATTTCGTGATCTCTTCCATTTTTATGATGCTGCTCTATTTTAATACAGCAATCTTGTACATACTGATTTTTATCCTTTCTTGTGTACTTTCTTATTTCTCGTGTTAAAAATTTATACTTCATCCTACTGTCATTGGTTTCTCCTTTCTTTTTCAGTTCCCTTCGTTGTTTTATTAGTTCTAACGTGTATGGTGTGATCCATGGTTTATGTTGCTTAGTCCTGGTGGGTATTAAGTCTTTAGCTGCTGTTATCAAGATATCCCTAGCTTAAATATATATAATATTTAGACAGCTTCCACATTACAGTCTTGTATCTAGTTTGTACATTAATATTTAGCCAGCTTCCACATTACTGTCTGGTTTCTACATTACAGTCTTGTATCTAGTTTGTACATTAATATTTAGACAGCTTCCACATTACAGTCTTGTATCTAGTTTGTACATTAATATTTAGCCAGCTTCCACATTACTATCTGGTTTCTACATTACAGTCTTGTATCTAGTTTGTACATTAATATTTAGACAGCTTCCACATTACAGTCTTGTATCTAGTTTGTACATTAATATTTAGCCAGCTTCCACATTACTGTCTGGTTTCTACATTACAGTCTTGTATCTAGTTTGTACATTAATATTTAGACAGCTTCCACATTACAGTCTTGTATCTAGTTTGTACATTAATATTTAGCCAGCTTCCACATTACTATCTGGTTTCACAGTACAGCTTGTATCTAGTTTGTACATTAATATTTAGACAGCTTCCACATTACAGTCTTGTATCTAGTTTGTACATTAATATTTAGCCAGCTTCCACATTACTGTCTGGTTTCTACATTACAGTCTTGTATCTAGTTTGTACATTAATATTTAGACAGCTTCCACATTACAGTCTTGTATCTAGTTTGTACATTAATATTTAGCCAGCTTCCACATTACTGTCTGGTTTCTACATTACAGTCTTGTATCTAGTTTGTACATTAATATTTAGCCAGCTTCCACATTACTATCTGGTTTCCACATTAATACTTATCTAGCTCCACACAACAGTTTAGTTTACATATTACAGCCTTGGATCTAGTTACCATTAATGTAATACTTATCTAGCTCCACAATACTGTTTAGTTTCAGATTACACCAACATATTTATCTAGTTTATCCATTCAGTTCTGTATCCAGTTTCCACACCACTGTCTTGTATCTGCCTGTCATATTACTGTCCAAAATACAGCCCTGTATCTAATATCCACAATAATATTGATCAAGCTACTACATTACTCTATCTAGTTTCCACATTACAGAACTTTATCAAGTTTCCACACTTTATTCAACTATCTAGTTTTCAGACTATTTCAACACTATTAGCTTTTGTATCTAGTTTCCATATTAGACTAGTATCTAGTTTCCATACTACAGACTTGTGTCAAGTTTCCATGCAATCAGATATAAACAAAGTGCACTACTAATGAAATAAACACAATATCACAGGCAGTATGTTAATTAATTACTATACAGACACAAATCATCCGGCCTCCTTAACCAGACATAAATATAACTGCCCAAAAAAACCAGAAAAATCTACCTGCATGCCCCTATAACCAGAGATCAATCTAGCTCCTCCCAAAAACAGACATAAAGCTACCTGCCCCTATTACTAGACATAAATAAATCCAGCTGCTCCCACAACCAGACATACCATCCGACTGATCCTATAATCAGACTCAAACCTAGTTGTTTCCACACATACCATCCGACTGATCCTATAATCAGACTCAAACCTAGTTGTTTCCACACCTGCCCCTATAATCAGACTCAAACCTAGTTGTTTCCACACCTGCCCCTATAATCGGATATAAATCTAACTGCACCTACCTTCCCGTGCTGACATGCCGCTCTTTGGTGCACTCTTGGATGTTCTGTGAGCTAATCGTTTCTCAATCTGGCAAATCAAAATTACAAACAGACTTAGTTCTGTCAGCATGGAATATCCACAACATATGTGACATGTCTACAACATATAGACATAGTTCTGTCAGCATGGAATATCCACAACATATGTGACATGTCTACAACATATAGACTTAGTTCTGTCAGCATGGAATATCCACAACATATGTGAGATGTCTACAACATACAGACTTAGTTCTGTCAGCATGGAATATCCACAACATATGTGACATGTCTACAACATACAGACTTAGTTCTGTCAGCATGGAATATCCACAACATATGTGAGATGTCTACAACATACAGACTTAGTTCTGTCAGCATGGAATATCCACAACATATGTGACATGTCTACAACATACAGACTTAGTTCTGTCAGCATGGAATATCCACAACATATGTGAGATGTCTACAACATACAGACTTAGTTCTGTCAGCATGGAATATCCACAACATATGTGAGATGTCTACAACATACAGACTTAGTTCTGTCAGCATGGAATATCCACAACATATGTGACATGTCTACAACATACAGACTTAGTTCTGTCAGCATGGAATATCCACAACATATGTGACATGTCTACAACATATAGACATAGTTCTGTCAGCAAGGAATATCCACAACATATGTGAGATGTCTACAACATACAGACTTAGTTCTGTCAGCATGGAATATCCACAAAATATGTGACATGTCTACAACATACAGACTTAGTTCTGTCAGCATGGAATATCCACAACATATGTGAGATGTCTACAACATACAGACTTAGTTCTGTCAGCACGGAATATCCACAACATATGTGACATGTCTACAACAAGCAAGATGACATATCAACAATATGAAATGTCTACAAAATACAAGCACGGCATGTCTACAATATCTAAGCATGACATGTCTAAAACAAAAATGACATGTATATAACATGGATCCATGTGAGCCACATATAGAGGTCATCCATCCAGCTGGATACATGTGAGCCACATATAGAGGTCATCCATCCAGCTTAATACATCCAAGCCACATAAAGAGGTCATCCATTCAGCTGGATACATCCAATTTGGCAGTCTGGTAGTCTTAGTTTCAGCTTCATAGCAAACAGGTTACCCCATCTTTGCTCCGCCCCTGTGCCAATGAAAAACACACAGAATGTTTATCACAGTCCCTTGTGGAAAGATTGACAGACTGCTGTCTCAGCATATCTAGCATACACTCGCATTAAAGCATACGGTAGCCATCCGAAGTGCTAACAAAAACAGTCCAACATTAGAAATGCAGTTCATCATTGATGATAGCAGAACTTGTCGCCAACAGATCAGCAGTTGCCCAGGCGATCAATTTTAATCACATAGGGGCACCGCCAACATTGCACGACAGGCATCGCGCCATTTTCTGAATCTACAATTCACACCACCACGTTGGTCACAGTCGAAAAAATATTCCAAATGCAATCTGCAGCTCACAGTGTCATGCCATGCATTCAACTCAGAAGCTGGGCGACGAAACTATATCCAGTCTACAAATGGAGCAAAAATGCATCGGCCACCGTCCGGCAGAAGCAAAAAATTTTCCTCTGCTTCGAACAGTGCCGCTGCCTAGCGTCCATTTTAACTGGAAGCTACATCCAAGCCACATAAAGAGGTCATCCATCCGGCTGGATACATCCAAGCCAAATAAAGAGATCATCCATTCAGCTGGATACATCCAAGCCACATAAAGGGGTCATCCATTCAGCTGGATATATCCAAGCCACATAAAGGGGTCATCCATCCAGCTGGATCCATGTGAGCCACATAAAGTAGTCATCCATCCAGTTGGATCCATGTAAGCTACACAAAGGGGTCATCCATCAAGCTGGATCCATGTGAGCCACATATACAGGAAATACATCCGGCTGGATCCATGTGAGCCACATAGAGGGGCCATCCATACAGCTGAATCCATGTGAGCCACACAGAGGGGCCATCCATTCAGCTGGATCTATGTGAGCCACATAGAGGGGCCATCCATACAGCTGGATCCATGTGAGCCACATAAAGAGGTCATGCATTCAGCTGGAATACATGTGAGCCACATAAAGAGGTCACCCATTCACTTGGAATACATGTGAGCCACATAAAGAGGTCACCCATCCAGCTGGAATACATGTGAGCCACATAAAGAGGTCATCCATTCAGCTGGAATACATGTGAGCCAAATAAAGAGGTCATTCATTCAGCTGGAATACATGTGAGCCACATAAAGAGGTCATCCATTCAGCTGGAATACATGTGGGCCACATAAAGAGGTCATTCATTCAGCTGGAATACATGTGAGCCACATAAAGAGGTCATCCATCCAGCTGGAATACATGTGAGCCACATAAAGAGGTCACCTATCCAGCTGGAATACATGTGAGCCACATAAAGAGGTCATCCATTCAGCTGGAATACATGTGAGCCACATAAAGAGGTCATTCATTCAGCTGGAATACATGTGAGCCACATAAAGAGGTCATCCATTCAGCTGGATCCATGTGAGCCACATAAAGGGGTCATCCATCCAGTTGGATCCATGTAAGCTACACAAAGGGGTCATCCATCAAGCTGGATCCATGTGAGCCACATAGACAGGCCATACATCTAGCTGAATCCATGTGAGCCACATAGAGGGGCCATCCATACAGCTGGATCCATGTCAGCCACACAGAGGGGTCATCCATTCAGCTGGAATACATGTGAGCCACATAAAGAGGTAATTCATTCAGCTGGAATACATGTGAGCCACATAAAGAGGTCATCCATTCAGCTGGAATACATGTGAGCCACATAAAGAGGTCATTCATTCAGCTGGAATACATGTGAGCCACATAAAGAGGTCATCCATCCTGCTGGAATACATGTGAGCCACATAAAGAGGTCACCCATCCAGCTGGAATACATGTGAGCCACATAAAGAGGTCACCCATCCAGCTGGAATACATGTGAGCCACATAAAGAGGTCATCCATTCAGCTGGAATACATGTGAGCCACATAAAGAGGTCATTCATTCAGCTGGAATACATGTGAGCCACATAAAGAGGTCATCCATTCAGCTGGATCCATGTGAGCCACATAAAGGGGTCATCCATCCAGTTGGATCCATGTAAGCTACACAAAGGGGTCATCCATCAAGCTGGATCCATGTGAGCCACATAGACAGGCCATACATCTAGCTGAATCCATGTGAGCCACATAGAGGGGCCATCCATACAGCTGGATCCATGTCAGCCACACAGAGGGGCCATCCATTCAGCTGGTTCCATGTGAGCCACATAGAGGGCCATCCATACAGCTGGATCCATGTGAGCCACATAAAGAGGTCATCCATTCAGCTGGAATACATGTGAGCCACATAAAGAGGTCATTCATCCAGCTGGAATACATGTGAGCCACATAAAGAGGTCATCCATTCAGCTGGAATACATGTGAGCCACATAAAGAGGTCACCCATCCAACTGGAATACATGTGAGCCACATAAAGAGGTCATCCATTCAGCTGGAATACATGTGAGCCACATAAAGAGGTCATTCATTCAGCTGGAATACATGTGAGCCACATAAAGAGGTCATCCATTCAGCTGGAATACATGTGAGCCACATAAAGAGGTCATTCATTCAGCTGGAATACATGTAAGCCACATAAAGAGGTCATCCATCCAGCTGGAATACATGTGAGCCACATTAAGAGGTCACCCATCCAGCTGGAATACATGTGAGCCACATAAAGAGGTCACCCATCCAGCTGGAATACATGTGAGCCACATAAAGAGGTCATCCATTCAGCTGGAATACATGTGAGCCACATAAAGAGGTCATTCATTCAGCTGGAATACATGTGAGCCACATAAAGAGGTCATCCATTCAGCTGGAATACATGTGAGCCACATAAAGAGGTCATCCATCCAGCTGGAATACATGTGAGCCACATAAAGAGGTCATCAATCCAGCTGGAATACATGTGAGCCACATAAAGAGGTCATTCATTCAGCTGGATACATCTAAGCCACATAAAGGGGTCATCCATCTAGCATGAAAACATCCAAGCCACATGTACAGTTCATCCATCCAGCTGGATTCATGTGACCCACATGCAGAGTTTATCCATTCAGCTGGATTCATGTGACCTTTACGTAGGGTTCAACATAACATGTAAAACAAAGTGCTGGAACATCTCCACTCACATCCATGCCCCAGGGAGCCAGGCTGTGTGCTGCTACAGCCTTGGCCACTCCTCTTTCTGACAGGCAGCCAGGAAATCTTCACTGACAACACAGACATTGTTTGCCTCTGCTTCCTTAATGCTCTTGCTTTGCTTCTTTACATCACCTGTTTTGTCAAATGTTACATCAAATATTACACATCACAATGTTTACCTGATCTATCATGATAACATATTACACAATGCAATGTCTATCCTCACAAATCATGATACATTATACATGTCAGTGTCTACCTCACCCATCATGTCACAGTGTCTACCTCACCCACCATATCACATTTTACATGTCACAGTGTCTACCTCACCCACCATATCACATTTTACATGTCACAGTGTCTACCTCACCCACCATATCACATTTTACATGTCACAGTGTCTACCTCACCCACCATATCACATTTTACATGTCACAGTGTCTACCTCACCCACCATATCACATTTTACATGTCACAGTGTCTACCTCACCCACCATATCACATTTTACATGTCACAGTGTCTACCTCACCCACCATATCACATTTTACATGTCACAGTGTCTACCTCACCCACCATATCACATTTTACATGTCACAGTGTCTACCTTACCCATCAGGTCACATTTTACATGTCACAGTGTCTACCTCACCCACCATATCACATTTTACATGTCACAGTGTCTACCTTACCCATCAGGTCACATTTTACATGTCCCAGTGTCTACCTCACCCATCATGTCACATTTTACATGTCACAGTGTCTACCTCACCCATCATGTCACAGTGTCTACCTCACCCATCAGGTCACATTTTACATGTAACAGTGTCTACCTCACCCATCAGGTCACATTTTACATGTCACAGTGTCTATCTCACCCATCTGGTCACATTTTACATGTCACAGTGTCTATCTCACCCATCAGGTACATTTTACATGTCACAGTGTCTACCTTACCCATCAAGTCACAGTGTCTACCTCACCCATCATGTCACATTTTACATGTCACAGTGTCTACCTCACCCATCAGGTCCCATTTTACATGTCACAGTGTCTACTCACCCATCAGGTCACATTTTACATGTCACAGTGTCTACCTCACCCATCAGGTCACATTTTACATGTCACAGTGTCTACCTTACCCATCAAGTCAAAGTGTCTACCTCACACATCAGGTCACATTTTACATGTCACAGTGTCTACCTCACCCACCATATCACATTTTACATGTCACAGTGTCTACCTCACCCATCAGGTCCCATTTTACATGTCACGGTGTCTACCTCACCCATCAGGTCACATTTTACATGTCACAGTGTCTACCTCACCTATCAGGTCACATTTTACATGTCACAGTGTCTACCTCACACATCAGGTCACATTTTACATGTCACAGTGTCTACCTTACCCATCATGTCACATTTTACATGTCACAGTGTCTACCTCACCCATCATGTCACATTTTACATGTCACAGTGTCTACCTCACCCATCATGTCACATTTTACATGTCACAGTGTCTACCTTACCCATCAAGTCACAGTGTCTACCTCACACATTAGGTCACATTTTACATGTCACAGTGTCTACCTCACCCATCAGGTCACATTTTACATGTCACAGTGTCTACCTAACCCATCAGGTCACATTTTACATGTCACAGTGTCTACCTCACCCACCATATCACATTTTACATGTCACAGTGTCTACCTTACCCATCAGGTCACATTTTACATGTCACAGTGTCTACCTCACCCATCATGTCACGTTTTACATGTCACAGTGTCTACCTCACCCATCATGTCACATTTTACATGTCACAGTGTCTACCTCACCCATCAGGTCACATTTTACATGTCACAGTGTCTACCTCACCCATCAGGTCACATTTTACATGTCACAGTGTCTATCTCACCCATCTGGTCACATTTTACATGTCACAGTGTCTATCTCACCCATCAGGTACATTTTACATGTCACAGTTCACAGTGTCTACCTCACCCATCAGGTCACATTTTACATGTCACAGTGTCTACCTCACCCATCATGTCACATTTTACATGTCACAGTGTCTACCTCACCCATCATGTCACATTTTACATGTCACAGTGTCTACCTCACCCATCATGTCACATTTTACATGTCACAGTGTCTACCTCACCCATCATGTCACATTTTACATGTCACAGTGTCTACCTCACCCATCATGTCACATTTTACATGTCACAGTGTCTACCTCACCCATCATGTCACATTTTACATGTCACAGTGTCTACCTCACCCATCATGTCACATTTTACATGTCACAGTGTCTACCTCACCCATCATGTCACATTTTACATGTCACAGTGTCTACCTCACCCATCATGTCACATTTTACATGTCACAGTGTCTACCTCACCCATCAGGTCACATTTTACATGTCACAGTGTCTACCTCACCCATCAGGTCACATTTTACATGTCACAGTGTCTACCTCACCCATCAGGTCAGATTTTACATGTCACAGTGTCTATCTCACCCATCAGGTCACATTTTACATGTCACAGTGTCTACCTTACCCGTCAAGTCACAGTGTCTACCTCACCCATCATGTCACATGTCACAATGTTTATCTCACCTGTCAAATATTTTACATGTCACAATCTTTACCTCACCTGTCAAATATTTTACATGTCACAATCTTTACCTCACCTATCATGTGATATGTTACATGACTGTACTGATGACATCCCACACAACATACCAACTTTACTGATGAGATTCCACACATCATACCCACTTTACTGATGACATTCCACACAACATACCCACTGTACTGATGGCATTTCACACAACATACCCACTGTACTGATAACATTCTACACAACATACTCCCTGTACTGATGACATTCTATACAACATACCCACTGTACTGATGACATTCTACACAACATAACCACTGTACTGATGACATTCTACACAACATAACCACTGTACTGATGACATTCTACACAACATACCCACTGTACTGATGACATCCTACACAACATAACTACTGTACTGATGACATTCTACACAACAAACCCACTGTACTGATGACATCCTACACAACATAACTACTGTACTGATGACATTCTACACAACAAACCCACTGTACTGATGACATTCTACACAACAAACCCACTGTACTGATGACATTCTACACAACATAACTACTGTACTGATGACATTCTACACAACATACCCACTGTACTGATGACATTCTACACAACATAACTACTGTACTGATGACATTCTACACAACATACCCACTGTACTGATGACAGCGATGACCTTAGAGTCAATTTTACTGACCACTCTGCCACCTAGCTCTGCAATGTCTTTGACAGTCTGGGATTTATCCTTAAGTTTTCCAGCCACCACAAATGACATATCTTGAAGTGGCTTGCTTCTGCAAGCATCATGAACAAAACTATCATACAAGAATCATTTAGCTGACAACTGTAACATCATACACAACTGAATCCAATAACATCAAACACAACTGAATCCACTAATATTACACACAACTTAATCCACTAAGATCATACACAAACTAATTCACTAACATCACAGAAGACAATGAGTCACAGAAAATACTGACAGTAACAGAAAACACTGACAGTCACAGACAACACTGACAGTCACAGACAACACTGACAGTCACAGACAACCCTGACACTGGTAGTCACAGACAATACTGACAGTCACAGAAAACAATGACAGTGACAGAAAACAATGACAGTCACAGAAGACAATGAGTCACAGAAAATGACAGTGACAAAAAGTACTGACAGTCACAGACAACACTAACAATCACAAATGACCATGACACTGACAGTCGCAGAAAAGACCACCAGTCACAGAAAAGACCACCAGTCACAGAAAAGACCCCCAGTCACAGAAAAGACCCCCAGTAATAGAAAAAGACCACCAGTCACAGAAAAGGCCACCAGTTACAGAAAAGACCACCAGTTACAGAAAACAATGACATTCACAGACAACACAAACAATGACAGATGACCATGAAACTTTCAGTCACAGAAGACAGTCACAGAAAACAACGTCAGACAGAAAACAACGACAGACAGAAAACAACGACAGACAGAAAACAAACAGTCACAGATGGCAATCACAGACAACACTGACAGTCACAGATGACAATCACAGACAACACTGACAGTCACAGATGACAATCACAGACAACACTGACAGTCACAGATGACAATCACAGATAACACTGACAGTCACAGATGACAATCACAGACAACACTGACAGTCACAGATGACAATCACAGACAACACTGACAGTCACAGATGACAATCACAGACAACACTGACAGTCACAGATGACAATCACAGACAACACTGACAGTCACAGATGACAATCACAGACAACAATGACAGTCACAGATGACAATCACAGACAACAATGACAGTCACAGACAACACTGACAGTCACAGATGACAGTCACAGATGACAATCACAGACAACACTGACAGTCACAGAAAATAATGACACTAAAAGAAGACACTTACGGTCCATCCACAGAATCAAGAGAGGAACTGACCAATCCTGAGCTAGCGCTGACTGTCACTTGAGGGAAAAGTTTGTCTCTCTTGACGTATTTGTAGACTTTTCTGAAATGATCAAACTTGCTCACTTGATTCTACCTAACATACAAAGCCATATGCAGTTTTATACCTTATTCCATTGCAGCCTTCTTTTCGAGTATAGAAGTTGTCTACCCACATATAACACTGTCTTCTGTCTGTCTCTACAAGTTATAAACCCACAGGTTACACTTTCTGTCACTACAAGTTATCCACCCACATATAATATCGTCTCTACAAGTTATCCACCCACATATAACATTGTCTCTACAAGTTATCCACCCACATATAATATCGTCTCTACAAGTTATCCACCCACACATAATATCGTCTCTACAAGTTATCCACCCACATATAACATTGTCTCTACAAGTTATCCACCCACATATAATATCGTCTCTACAAGTTGTCCACCCACATATAACACTGTCTCCTGTCTGTCTCTACAAGTTATAAACCCACAGGCTACACTGTCTGTCTCTAGACGCAGTCCACCCAAATATAACATTGTCTGTGTCTGTCTTTACAAGTTATAAACCCACAGGTTACACTTTCTGTCTCTACAAGTTGTCTACCCACATATAACATTGTCTCTACAAGTTGTCCACCCACATGTAACACTGCCTTTTTTCTGTCTCTACAAGTTGTCCACCCACATGTAACATTGTCTTTTGTCTGTCTCTACAAGTTGTCAGCCAACATGTAAAATTGTCTTTTGTCTGTCTCTACAAGTTGTCCACCAACATGTAACACTTTCTTTTGTCTGTCTCTACAAGTTGTCCACCCACATGTAACACTTTCTTTTGTCTGTCTCTACAAGTTGTCCACCCACATGTAACATTGTCTTTTGTATGTCTCTACAAGTTGTCCACCCACATGTAACATTGTCTTTTGTATGTCTCTACAAGTTGTCCACCCACATGTAACATTGTCTTTTGTATGTCTCTACAAGTTGTCCACCAACATTGTCATGAAATGAACAGCCAGCACACACATTGGACGAGTCGGGACCTGATATCCCTCGCGCTCAGCAAAATTTCAAACTTGGACCCGTCCGGAAAGGTATATAGTCCCTTATATTGATCTACACCTTGATCTGGTAAAATAGTCATTTCTGGACCCTCTAGTTGCTGTGATATATCTTAATTTTCAAACTTGCAACTGTAGGTTGGGTAAGAGTGTGTGTGTGAGCTCCAAGACAAGTGGACCTTTGCAGACATTTGTGTCCCCAACCAGGTGAACCAGTCTTCAAGGGCTTGGTTGAGCTCTGAGGCAGTTTGTGACCTGACTTGTGAACTTGACTTGTTGAGTCCCTGTGCAGTTCCGGTGTCCTCGATGGGGAGGTAAACTGGTACCAGATCAACTTGATTTGTTGAGTCCCTGTGCAGTTCCGGTGTCCTCGATGGGGAGGAAAACTGGTACCAGATCAACTTGACTTGTTGAGTCCTTGTGCAGTTCCGGTGTCCTCGATAGGGAGGTAAACTGGTACCAGATCAACTAGAAACATAGAGACCTGAGTCAACTACAGTCGAATCACCATGGACTGAGGGGAGCATCGATCTTCGAACTGGGTTAAGTAATCAATGAATTACCATTATGCTCTTTTCCCACAGCTCCTCGCAGTTCCCGTGATGAAATCAGGTCCATCTCAAGGCAATCTGGCTGCTTCAATATCTGGGTCGAGTCATTGTTTTCTGGGATCCATCCACTGAGATCTTGTGTCCAATTCACTATTTTATGTATATATTGTAATGAATACATGCATTCATTTTCATGGCTGACTTGGGTATCCCTATTTCACCATTCTAACTGTTTAGCTTTGATGTTTGTGTGAGTAATTAGTATTATATGTGTTAACATGGTTATGATAGTAAACTATCATAACCTGGGGGCTATCTTTTTAAAGTAGTGGGGGCGTCCAGCCAGTGTGCCTAGGAATATATATATATATATATATATATATATATATATATATATATATATATATATATATATATATATATATATATATATATACATACATACATACATACATACATACATACATACATACATACATACATACATACATACATACATACATACATACATACATACATATATATACATACATATATATATATATATATATATATATATATATATATATATATATATATATATATATATATATATATATATATATATATATATATATATATATATATATATATATATATATATATATATATATATTGTAGTGCCAAAACTTGAGTTGCATTACTCCAGAAATAAGTTGAGCGTATATTGGCCACGGGGCATCCCTTAGACCAATACGAACCAACGACTCAACATAATTATTTCTGAGTGCTGTTGGTTCTTAAGGAGAAATCCTTAAATCAGGAACGTGACAAGAGTGATATGTGACAAACATGTAACATTGTCTTTTGTCTGTCTCTACAAGTTGTCCACCCACATGTAACATTGTCTTTTGTCTGTCTCTACAAGTTGTCAACCCACATGTAACATTGTCTTTTGTCTGTCTCTACAAGTTGTCCACCCAAATGAAACATTGTTTTTTGTCTGTCTCTACAAGTTGTCCACCCACATGTAACACTGTCTTTTGTATGTCTCTACAAGTTGTCCACCCACATCTAACACTGTCTTTTGTCTGTCTCTTTAAGTTGTCCACCCACATGTAACATTTTTTTTGTCTGTCTCTACAAGTTGTCCACCCACATTATTCTAGCAAAAATAATCACCACAGAACTGGTACCAGTAAAATATTCAAGCAGCTCTACCTGGTGGACGAGACAAAACCATGGACATCAAATACTCACAAGAAGCCAACATCATGGAATTCTGCTGGGACTTTAAAAGCCTTTCTCTTGGGAGCCTTAGTGATGTTCATACACTTGGTCCATTCTGTGAGGTTACCAGTGCAAGCGTATCCTTCTGCCCTGTAGGTGAGGAGACACACAACATCAACGATAAGCATAACCAGATCAAGGAAACATACAACATCATAGTGCAGCACCATGTGTGGTTTAGCCATCTGTCCTGGTGCAGCACAATGTATGGTTTAGCCACCTGTCCTGGTGCAGCACTATGTGTGGTTTAGCCACCTGTCCTGGTGCAGCACCATGTGTGGTTTAGCCACCTGTCCTGGTGCAGCACCATGTGTGGTTTAGCCACCTGTCCTGGTGCAGCACAATGTATGGTTTAGCCACCTGTTCTGGTGCAGCACTATGTGTGGTTTAGCCACCTGTCCTGGTGCAGCACTATGTGTGGTTTAGCCACCTGTCCTGGTGCAGCACTATGTGTGGTTTAGCCACCTGTCCTGGTGCAGCACTATGTGTGGTTTAGCCACCTGTCCTGGTGCAGCACCAGGTATGGTTCAGCCACCTGTTGTGGTGCAGCACCATGTGTGGTTTAGCCACCTGTCCTGGTGCAGCACAATGTGTGGTTTAGCCACCTGTCCTGGTGCAGCACTATGTGTGGTTTAGCCACCTGTCCTGGTGCAGCACTATGTGTGGTTTAGCCACCTGTCCTGGTGCAGCACCAGGTATGGTTCAGTCACCTGTTGTGGTGCAGCACCATGTGTGGTTTACTCACCTGTCCTGGCGCAGCACCATGTGTGGTTTAGCCACCCGTCCTGGTGCAGCACAATGTGTGGTTTAGCCACCTGTCCTGGTGCTGCACTGTGGTTCAGCCACCTGTCCTAATGCAGCACCATGTGTGTTCACTCACCTGTCCTGGTGCAGCACCATATGTGGTTCAGCACCTCTGTATCCCAACCAGGTTAACAAAACAATATCTCAGGTAAACTTACCAAATTTCACAGAATACAAAATCACAGGTAAACATAAACAGGTAAACAAAACAATACCACACAGGGAAACATAATAATATTTAACAGACGCACCATACCATCTGTAAACATGACAATGTCAACAGACACACAATACCATCTGTAAACATGACAATGTCAACAGACTCACAATATCATCTGTAAACATGACAATGTCAACAGACACACAATATCATCTGTAAACATGACAATGTCAACAGACTCACAATACCATCTGTAAACATGACAATGTCAACAGACTCACAATATCATCTGTAAACATGACAATGTCAACAGACACACAATACCATCTGGAAACATGACAATGTCAACAGACTCACAATATCATCTGTAAACATGACAATGTCAACAGACTCACAATATCATCTGTAAACATGACAATGTCAACAGACACACAATACCATCTGTAAACATGACAATGTCAACAGACTCACAATATCATCTGTAAACATGACAATGTCAACAGACACACAAAATCATCTGTAAACATGACAATGTCAACAGACACACAGAATCATCTGTAAACATGACAATGTCAACAAACACAATATCATCTGTAAACATGACAATGTCAACAGACACACAATATCATCTGTAAACATGACAATGTCAACAGACACACAGAATCATCATGTCAACAGACACACAGAATCATCTGTAAACATGACAATGTCAACAGTCACACAATATCATCTGTAAACATGACAATGTCAACAGACACACAATATCATCTGTAAACATGACAATGTCAACAGACACACAATATCATCTGTAAACATGACAATGTCAACAGACACACAATATCATCTGTAAACATGACAATGTCAACAAACACACAATATCATCTGTAAACATGACAATGTCAACAAACACAATATCATCTGTAAACATGACAATGTCAACAGACATACAATATCATCTGTAAACATGACAATGTCAACAAACACAATATCATCTGTAAACATGACAATGTCAACAGACTCACAATATCATCTGTAAACATGACAATGTCAACAAACACAATATCATCTGTAAACATGACAATGTCAACAGACACACAATATCATCTGTAAACATGACAATGTCAACAGACACACAGAATCATCATGTCAACAGACACACAGAATCATCTGTAAACATGACAATGTCAACAGTCACACAATATCATCTGTAAACATGACAATGTCAACAGACACACAATATCATCTGTAAACATGACAATGTCAACAGACACACAATATCATCTGTAAACATGACAATGTCAACAGACACACAATATCATCTGTAAACATGACAATGTCAACAAACACACAATATCATCTGTAAACATGACAATGTCAACAAACACAATATCATCTGTAAACATGACAATGTCAACAGACATACAATATCATCTGTAAACATGACAATGTCAACAAACACAATATCATCTGTAAACATGACAATGTCAACAGACATACAATATCATCTGTAAACATGACAATGTCAACAAACACAATATCATCTGTAAACATGACAATGTCAACAGACACACAATACCATCTGTAAACATGACAATGTCAACAGACATACAATATCATCTGTAAACATGACAATGTCAACAGACACAATATCATCTGTAAACATGACAATGTTAACAAACAAATAATAATTTCTCCAAAAATACTAACATTAACAGACACAATATCATCTCCAAATATGTCAACATTAACAGACACAATATCATATGTAAATATGAAAAGTTTAACAGACATACAAAATTATCTATAACAATGACAAGCTTATGACTATTATATGACAGGCTTCTAAGTCAGGTAACCCCGTTCTGACTACAGGCACACCAAAGGTTGTATGTGTCTATGTCAGGCACACAACACTTACGTATAATACAGCTGTCCATTCTGGCACTCTGCACATTTGTCCAGGGCCCCAAAGACCATACAGTCAGCTAAAGCATCTAAAATCTAGCAGCAGGAAAAAAAAAAACTGCGGTCACAGTTTATCAACAGTACAATAAGATCATCTTCAATAGTTCAGCGAGCACACAAATACAAGGTAGCTTCAGTTTCCCAAATGTGTGTGCAGTAAAGAAACAAGTAACAATGCAATTATTTACAATATATTTCTGTCAAAATAGTTTGTTTCAGAAACTGTAAACTCTGTCATGGTCACACAGTCATTGGAAACATGTTTGCAATCTATTCTTTGACACTTCTTCCAGTAGCTTTGTGGCACACAGTAATATGCTTGCAATCCAATCTTCGACACTTCTTCCAGCAGCTTTGTGGCACACAGTAACATGCTTGCAATCCAATCTTCGACACTTCTTTCAGCAGCTTTGTGGCACACAGTAACATGCTTGCAATCCAATCTTCGACACTTCTTTCAGCAGCTTTGTGGCACACAGTAACATGCTTGCAATCCAATCTTCGACACTTCTTTCAGCAGCTTTGTGGCACACAGTAACATGCTTGCAATCCAATCTTCGACACTTCTTTCAGCAGCTTTGTGGCACACAGTAACATGCTTGCAATCCATTCTTTGACACTTCTTCCAGCAGCTTTGTGGCACACAGTAACATGCTTGCAATCCAATCTTCGACACTTCTTCCAGCAGCTTTGTGGCACACAGTAACATGCTTGCAATCCATTCTTTGACACTTCTTCCAGCAGCTTTGTGGCACACAGTAACATGCTTGCAATCTAATCTTCGACACTTCTTCCAGCAGCTTTGTGGCACACAGTAACATGCTTGCAATCCATTCTTTGACACTTCTTCCAGCAGCTTTGTGGCACACAGTAACATGCTTGCAATCCAATCTTCGACACTTCTTTCAGCAGCTTTGTGGCACACAGTAACATGCTTGCAATCCAATCTTCGACACTTCTTTCAGCAGCTTTGTGGCACACAGTAACATGCTTGCAATCCAATCTTCGACACTTCTTTCAGCAGCTTTGTGGCACACAGTAACATGCTTGCAATCCAATCTTCGACACTTCTTTCAGCAGCTTTGTGGCACACAGTAACATGCTTGCAATCCAATCTTCGACACTTCTTTCAGCAGCTTTGTGGCACACAGTAACATGCTAAGCATCCTTGAACCGCTGTCCTTTCAGTGCCGCCCATTTCAGGTGAGGGAACAAGAAACAAATCATCCGGTGTTAGGTCAGGAGAATGGGTGGGTGGGGGGATGTTCCAGGGCAGTCACATGATGTGACAAGTTAACTGCTTCTCCAGCAGGGATTGATGTAATCATGTGTTGTTGTCATGCAGTAGAAACCAATTGTTCTCCATCTTTCAGTGTCTTCTCTTCGGACTGCATCTCTTAAATGACGAAGGATAACAACATACATTTCCTTAATAACTGTTAGGTCTTCAGGAATGAAATTACAGTGGACAACGCCCTAAGAATGATTTTGAAAAAACATTTTTTTCTCCAAAATTCTAACAAAACTTTGCCTATGCTCTTGTCCAAATGAAATTTCTGTGTCCAAGAGGGTGATATCCCTTTAGCGGACAATTGTGTCATCATAGGACCATGCAAGGAACACTGTGGCTGGTCTCCTGTGGTGATGCAGTTGAGAAAACAGCTATCTTGGCCAGTAAGCAATGAACACTGTGTCTGGTCTCCTGTGGTGATGCTGTTGAGAAAACTGCTATCTTGGCCAGTTATAGAGATAAGACCTGCTGTGGGTGTCATTCTGGCTGTACAGAAGATTACATTTAGGGAACCAAGTACTAACAAACACAAGGCATGTGCAGTACA